CATATTAAATGCTCGGTAGTCCTACTGTTAAACAGTCAACGCTGATTACTGAACACTGATGATCTCGATACAAGTTCGAATTTCCAAGCAAATACTTAACCCTTTGCACTCGAAAGTTTTTCAATGGAAATATTTAACATTCTCTGTCGATATATATTGTTTGAAACTAATTTAACTCGCTACAGCAAAAATGTAAAGTCTTATATATAATATTAAGCTTTGTATAATGCATCGATACGTGGAATATTGAAATAAAATAACAATCTCCTTAATTCATGTGTGTTTTCTCATTAATCAGTTACAAAGAACATCGTCTGTGTCCCATCAAACAATGTTGCATATTTCTAGTGGAAAACTTTCAAGTGCAAAGGGTTAATTGAGCAGATACGTAATTTAGCTGCATATGTCGAAGGTTTTGTATATTTCGAAGAATCTTCGTAAAAGGGTTAAGACAATCAGTGATTTTAACCGGTTAGGTAGTTCCAGGGTGAAACGCGAGCGTCTGCGATCGGTTCGATAGATTCGTCTGCTTCGAGATCGTATCCGTGAACTTAGGAATTAGGGTTTCGACGGAGGAACGATGAAGATCGGTGTGTTCATGACGGAGAAAGGAGGATTATAAATATTGGAGATTGTGTAACACGGAAGCCGTAGAGGAAAGGAGGAAATGAACATGTGTTCGATAGATGCGATGGGCTAGTGGATGGAAAGAGGATTGGGCTGAGGGTAAAGGAGATTCTAGAGGATTCTGGCAAGGAGAATGGTCGCGGGGGTTAGAGAAACGAACGGGGTTGCTGGGAAACTGAATGAAAGGGACTCTTTCCACTCGAAAGTTTTTCCTTGGAAATATTCAACGTTTCTGTTGAAGTCAGTGACACATAGACTTCCTTTGAAAGTAACTTTCGCTAGAGAACACATAGAAATTAACGAACAACTCTGTTTTCATCATATTTCACGCGTATCATACGAAGCTCAATGAGTCGCTCAGCAGTGATTACGTCGATTTTTCGATACTCGATTTTTTAAACTCTGATGGAATAAATAATATTGCTTTTAGTTATTCAAAGGTTTACTCGTTTCATCGTTTTTATTTCATTCTCCACGCTCAGCATATTTTTTCAATACAGTGAGTTTTTCAATAAAATAACGAGTTATATTCAAGTTTCTGGCCATTTTTATATATTTTGATATTGCCTTTATGTTTTCACTGCTTTGTAACGTATACCGACTGTGACCATACATCCATTAAAAATATTTTCTTGCAAACATTGGCGTGTGCATGTGGTACACGTGGCACGGAACGTGTTAAGGGCTAACCCTTAGCAATCCATCTGATTTTACAATCTACCAGCAACTCCGAGACATTTTTAATCCTCGCGATGAATATGAAAAAATATAACATTTCTCAGATTTTTTGTTTGCTCTTAGGAAAAGATTTGCGTGTGCAGAAAATACAATAATCATAGAGTAGTTTCTTCACTTTCGATCATCGAAATGTTTAATGATATAAGTGGTGTCGCAGTAGAGCCTGCAGAGTGCAAAGGGTTAAAACATCATTGTCACCGTCACGTCCACAAAATCATCGCGATTAATTCCTCACAGAAGCCCCACCATTCAAATAAAAACACGATAAACCCGTTAGGTCGCGTCGCACAACAGATTCGTTCAAGAATAAGACGCGAGCTCGCCGAAAAACGCGTACAACGCACGGTCGGTGAACCGAGCGTCGCCCCGGAAGCTCACGGAATCCCATGAATCGAAGCTAAAGCAAACCCAGCGGGTTCGGGCGAACGCGAGTTCGAGTTTCCCCGAAAAATCGAGGGAAGTCGGTGGTCGCAAAAGAGGAAGATCGGGCGAAATGGAGCGCGCGAATCGTTGCCGCGCCGCGTCGGCCGGAAACCGTGCTCGATAAGCGGAGAAGACTCGGCGAACCGTGGGGCGGATCGCAACGGCGGGACGTTATGAATTAAATATATCGGTAAGCCGAAGATAATGGAATCCCTAACGAAATTGGTATCGACGCCGGGCAGGGCGCGTTCGGTTGCGGGGCAACCGCGAATGACGTAGACGTTTAATTAATAGCGGAGCCGACTTAAATGCTTAAACGGCACGGAACGAGTTCACTGGGCCAACGGAGACGCGCGTGTTACACGTACGTGCACACGTCGATCCGCGAGCTATCGCTAATTCGCCACGCACACCGACGCGACGCGACACGACGCGACGCTCCTACGGTATGCCATTTGTGGTATCCGATCGCGATACGCCGGCGAAACGCGACGGAGGCTGTCTCGATGGGACACGCCTGGCGTACGGAAAATTTCACGATACTGGGATATTATGCTTTCGATCCCATAGGAATGGGGATCGGAGTTAGTCCTTTGCACTAGAAAGTTTTTTACTGGAAATATTCAAGATTTTCCGACGAGTCGACGCTGTTTAAACCTAATCTAACGATCATTCGCAGATAAATTAAGCAACGAAGGTATTTTACTCAAATATTTCACATAACAATACAAAGTTTAATTTAAAGTACCAAATATTTAACTACATAGTTTTACTGTATTAAATCAAATGGTGAGTCACCTCTCGAGTGCAAAGGGTTAGTTCTTCGGCCGTTGTTCGTGGAAAAGAAGTCTTGTAGGAAACTCATTGAGATTAGAACTATCGAGCAATTGGCTAAAGTTTGTTTATGGAAGCTATAAGCGTGAAGTTATTAAGGTTTCAGTTGATTTTTATGTTAGCTTAGATGTTATCGAATCAGTTTCTTTAACCCTTGGCGTTATTTACTTCCGCTACTGAGCTCTATATTTGACTATCGACAATTTGAAAGAAATGCAAGGTTGTCCATTGTACTTCAAATATGGAGTTGGAAGAATTTTGTATTTAACACTTTGACTGCCAAGTAAACGCTTCTCAAAACTCCCAGGCAATGGAAACAATTATTAATAAACCAGAAACTACAGAGTCAAGATTCTTCGTAATAATTACTCTATCTTTCTTATATCTCATACATCCAATAATAATGACTCTATGTTTGTCGTATCTCATACATCCAACAAAACTTAGTTCGATACGTCACCAAAATTCGTCTTCAACGTTACGTGAAAAATAGTGTCATCCAAATGCACATGAAAAAATCAAAGTGTGAATCAATTTTATGTTATAGAAAAATAAACGACACGAACTTACGGGGGGACCTGATATTACGACACTTTCCTCCGTTTCTCTTAGAATTCAATTCCTCAGAATTCTCCGTTGGATTGATAAGAAAACGCGGCACCGTAGTTCCATAGGTTTGCACGCGTCTCGCTCGGCCCAAGGCGTCGGCCGCGAGCCAACAAAAGCGACTGGGTTAGGTGGATGCTGTTTGCCAGCAAGAAATCCTAATTTATCTGCGAGCAGCCGAAGCGGGGTACGCGGCCGTAATAGAGGTGCAATCGCAGGTGCAGATGGAAACCTTAAACGAGCCGGTTTCCAGCGGAACGTCGCCGTCTAACCCGTCACAGAGGGAAAGCTCCGGCGGCGGAAGTTCCGTCGCTCTCTCGCAACCTCCTCCTCGCGGCTGCACACGCTTGTTTGCAGTCGCGTCGCGGCCGATGCCGCCGCCGGCGGCGCGCACCTGCTTGTCTTCGAGTATCCTCGATGGAGGAGCGCAAAGCCCCGCTTTGACACGCGGGATTTGTTACCCCGGCGCGTTGCTCCTGACGTTTCTCCGGGCCCAGGCGTAAAATATACGCGGGCACGTTCATACTATGCAAATGCGGCCGGCTATGCGCCGTCATGGAAATAAAAATAGACCGCGACGAGCACCGGGGAAATGGAGACCGAACCACAGAGAATGTGGGCCCAGGATGCGACCAGCTTGAAGGTTCAGCTTGCGTTGCTCGGATAGATGATGGAATGATTATTCCTGTGGATTGGGAAATTTGATCGATCTATTGAAAATTGAGCGACTGTGTCAGATGTTTACTTGGACTAACACTTTAGTTATAGAATATCGTGTTAGACTCGTAACGGAGATCTCGAACTGAAATTAACAAGTCATTGGATCTCCATTCCCTTCGATTCAAATGAAATATATTTGTGTTGTCAATTGGTGCACCTCGAAGTAATATATGTAGATGATGGAATGATTATTCGCGTCGAATGGGAAATTTGATCGATCTATTGAAAATTGAGCAACTGCGTTAGACGTTCACCTGAACTAACACTTTAGAACTGAAATTCAGAAGACATTGGATCTCCATTCCCTTCGATTCAAATGAAATATATTTGTGTTGTCAATTGGTGCACCTCGAAGTAATAGATGTAGATGATGGAATGATTATTCGCGTCGAATGGGAAATTTGATCGATCAATTGAAAATTGAGCAACTGCCGCAAATGTTTACTTGGACTAACATTTTAGAACTGAAATTAACAAGTCATTGGATCTCGATTCCCTTCGATTCAAATGAAACATTATATTTGTGTTGTCAATTGGTGCGCTTCGAAGTAATAGATGTAGAGGATGGAATTCTCCTTTGTTTCTAGTAAATAATTAATGTGAAAATAATTATTATGTATTACAGAAATTGTTGGTTAAGGGGAATCAGGGGAAGGGGTATACTCGATTTCATACGGTTTGTTTTGGCAATTTGTGCAGTTGCGATGGGCGGATAAGGTGGTTCTGTGTCAAATATTTAGCTAGACTGACGCTTCAAGCGGCAGAGAATGCGACACAGGGCAAACAATGAGTGTAGCGAGAGACAAATGGTGAAGAAACATTAGGGGAAGTGGTTTGTTCAGTTTTATGTGCTTTGTTTTGATAATATGTCGTATCGAATGATGTGGATTTAGTCTGTAATTTTCCTAGCAATTATTTTACGGTAATTGCTGGACACGTTTGCTTGCTAGGATAAAATGATTCGCTTTACCATACCGGTTTATTGTTATTAATTCTATTTCATGCTGTGTATTCTCCTCTAACAACGAACCGCATGATCTGATTTCAGTGCAACGCGGCTGTAGGCGTGAAGGCGTTCTTCGACATGATGCACAGCGGACCGCACAAAGTGATGCTGTTCGGTGCGGCTTGCACACATGTCACGGACCCCATCGCTAAGGCGTCTAAGCACTGGCGACTCACACAGGTGAGTCTCTGCGTTCATCTTCGAGAATTAATTTCAACGATGAAACTGTCGTGCCATTAAGAAGCGTCTCTGCGGAGTAAGCAGTGAAAAACGTAGAGACGACTGTGGTCTTAAGATTAGAACGGTCAAAGAACGAGAAGTAGAAACAGTGAGTCATGGTCAGACCATCCTTATTCAGTAGCATGCTCGTCTAACAAGTTTTCATTCGGTAGAAGTCTAAAAACTATGGGGCAATTTCGGTCTTAAGATTAGAACGTTTAAGGAGCGAAAAGTAGAAACAGTGAGTCATGGTCAGACCATCCTTATTCAGTAGCATGCTCGTCTAACAAGTTTTCATTCGGCAGAAGTCTAAAAACCAGAGACAATTTTGCTCTTAAGATTAGAATGGTTAAGGAACGAGAAGTGGAAACAGTTAGTCATAGTCAGACGATCTATATTCAGTAATACGCTCACCTAACCAGTTTTCATTCGGTAGAAGTCTGAAAACTATGGGGCAATTTCGATCTTAAGATTAAAACGGTTAAGGAACGAGAAGTGGAAACAGTTAGTCATAGTCAGACGATCCATATTCAGTAATACACTCACCTAACCAGTTTTCATTCGGTGGAAGTCTAAAAACTATGGGGCAATTTCGCTCTTAAGATTAAAACGGTTAAGGAACGAGAAGTAGAAACAGTGAGTCAAATCCAGACGATCCATATTCAGTAACACGGTTACCTAACAGGATTTCATTCGGTAGAAGTCTAAAAACTACGGTGCAATTTTGGTCTTAAGATCAAGGAACGAGAAGTAGAAACAGTGAGTCATGGTCGGACGATCCTTATTCAGTAGCATGCTCGTCTAACAAGTTTTCATTCGGCAGAAGTCTAAAAACGAGAGACAATTTCGGTCCTAAGATCAGAACGCTTAAGGAACAAGAAGTAGAAACAGTGAGTCATAGTCAGACGATCCATATTCAGTAATACGCTAACGAGCTTTGATTCCGTAGAAGTTTCAACCAAGTACAGGATAAAACAGCGATTATCAGCCCCTTAATAATCCAATGATACGAGAAAGAAAACTTCAACTTATAAACGAGCAACTTTAAAAGGTCTCAAGGAAGTTCCTTAATATTCCAATTACGGCTTCCCCGTACAAACTACTGCCGTTTCGATTCTTAGTTCCCGAAACGAATGGCAAAACGAATCGAGCCCAGCCACAACCCCTCCTCGCGCTCTGTTCCAGCTCAGCTACGCGGACACGCATCCGATGTTCACCAGCAACAGCTTCCCGAACTTCTTCAGGGTGGTGCCATCGGAGAACGCGTTCAACGCTCCCCGCGTGGCCCTCTTGGTTCACTTTAATTGGACGAGGGTCGGAACTATTTACCAAAACGAGCCGAGATACGCCCTAGTAAGTATCCCGAAATACCGTTGGCCCGCGTCGCGGCGGGCGCGCCTGAAAACACTCGATCGACGAGCACCCGCAAAAGTTTTCGCGTTACCGTTTCCGTCGTGGTCGCGTAGCTCCGCTACGTTAATCTCGTACAACTTCTGCCGTTAATCGGAGCTGGGAGCGTCGAATCGATATAATAAACATATCGCATTACGAGCTGTTCGATCCGCGAAAGAAACAGAATTTCGTGAAATTATTCGGCGCGAGAAACATTGAATTATTCGGAAGATGGAGGTGACTATGATTTATGATCGTTTTCGTTGCGACTCGTTAATTCTTGGTACGATCGGGTTTAGGGTATGCTCAGTTTGTCGACTTTCTTCCAGGCGCACAATCGATTGGTCGCCGATCTGGACGACAGTAAAATGGAAGTCGTCGAGACGCAAAGCTTCGCGACAGAAGTAAGCTCCGCGCTGGAGAAGCTCAAGGAGAAAGACGTTAGGATCATTTTAGGAAATTTTAATGAGGTCTGGGCCAGGCAGATATTCTGCGAGGCGTACAGGTGCGTGTCTCTTTGTTCCGCTCGGATGTTTAGATGCTTTATCCAAAGTCCTATCGTCTGAAACGTAGCGAGGAGCAAATATCGTCTATGGAATTACGAAAAACATCCTCGTTGCTAAGGTTAAATCGAGAATTCCCTCTGAACTCTATCCTCTATTATTCACTGGTGTCTAAATTTCGCAAGAATCTTGGTCGTACAATTAAAACAATTAAACAGTAACAGAGACAATAAATTACATTCAAACGATGCTTATCCAACAGAAAAAATTCACAACAGTCAGAAAACGAAGGAAACAAAGGAGCTATTAAAGCTGTAGGCCCACGCACAACATTCACTTCGCACATTTTTCCTTCAAATCAGTAAAAACCGGAAAGAACCTTGATCTTACAATTAAAACAGTTAAACAACAACAAGCAGAGACAATAAGTTACATTCAAACGATCCTTACCCACTCGCAAAGATTCACTACAGTCAAAGAAACGAACGAAACGAAGGAGCTATTAAAGCTGTAGGCCCACACGCAACGTTCGCTTCGCACATTGTTCCTTCAAATCAGTAGAAAACTGAAAGAACCCTGTTCTTACAGTTAAAACAATTAAACAACAATAAGCAGAGACAATAAGTTACATTCAAACGATCCTTATCAACTCGCAAAGATTCACTACAGTCAAAGAAACGAACGAAACGAAGGAGCTATTAAATCTGTATTCACTTCGCACATTATTCCTCCAAATCAGTAGAAAACGGAAACAATCTTGCTGTTACAGTTAAAACAATTAAACAACAACAAGCAGAGACAATAAGTTACATTCAAACGATCCTTATCCAATCGCAAAGATTCCCAACGGTGAAAGAGACGAAGGAGCTGTTCAAGCTGTAGGCCCACACGCAACGTTCGCTTCGCACATTGTTCCCTCAAATCAATAGAAAGCAGAAAGATTCTTGATCTTACAATTCAAACAATTGAACAACAAGCAGAGACAATAAGTTACATTCGAACGATCCTTACCCCATCGCAAAGATTCACAGCTCTCAAAGGAACGAAGCTATTAAAGCTGTAGGTCCAAACGCAACGTTTGCTTCGCAGATTCGGGATGTTCGGTAGAAAGTATCAATGGGTGATAATGGGTACTTACGCGGAAGAATGGTGGCTTCGTCCCGGTGGCGGTTGCGACCCGGCCGAGCTCTCGGAGGCGTTGCACGGCGCCATTTTGACGGACCTGCTGCCGTTGACCACGGAGGAGCGGTACACGGTGTCCGGCATCGTAAGCTGCGCTCTCATTGTAGCCCCCCGAAACGGAAGTTCCGTCCGGAAGGTTATCCATAGCATCGAATGACGGTTCTATTTCGAATGTTTTGCAGACGCCGGATCAATATCGGGTCGAGTACGACTCGAGACGGGGCACGGAGTACTCGAGGTTCCACGGATACACGTACGACGGTATATGGGCCGTCGCTCTGGCTATACAGCACGTGGCGCGCAGGATAAGACACTATCGTCGCAATCAGACCATATCGGATTTCAAATACAGGGACGCGCTCTGGGAGAAGCTGTTCCTCGAGGCCCTGAAGAACACCAGCTTCGAGGGAGTCACGGTGAGACAACGGTTCAACCCTTTGTACTGCGCTCAGCCTTTTTGACGCTGAGTTTAACACGCTCGCTACCGGCATATTTGCGACGATCGATGTCTCATATTCTGTACAAAGAGTATATTACGCATGTTTTCGTTTAATATCGTAATATGCTACAGCAGGAAGTCGCGAAGATTTCTCTTGTTGATTATTATTTGTGTTTCGTGGAGATAGCGCGCTTCATCTAACGCGTTGACGTAAATGCTGTTTATAGCAAGTATATTCTTAGTATTATGAGTATAATCATCTTATTCTGAAAGAACGAAATCGTGGTCTCACTGAGAATCTATTGAAAATCAGCAACTGCAACTAATTTTTATAGTATTCCTAAAATTAGAAATGCTGTAACATTTCTTCGACCTTTTATTTTCCTTGTTGGTACAAAATTTGGATCTGTGAGAAATGGAATAATTTTAGGGTAATTTCTTTAAGATTCATTAAAATATTTAATATTATAACTGGTGCAACATTGGAGCCTACAGAGTTCAAAAGGTTAATAGAATATTACCGCGGAGACTTGTTTAAAGAAATCCTGGTAGCGGATGGACCATTTGAGGATTTTATAGTGTCAGTGGACTTTCCATAGGAACTGATTCACACAGCAACTCTTAAATAGGAAAAGAGAATGATACAGATGATTGATCGTTTGTTATCAGAACAATTGAACGATTCGCTGGCTCTCAGAAGCGTTCAGAAGCGAAATGTTTACTCAGAGGCGAAAGATCGCGAGTGCTTGTTCATCGGTTTACGTTTTTAAATATGCTTCGTTCGAATATAAATGGAATTGAGAATTCGCGTCGTATAATTCGAAGTTCTTTCGGGATTTTCCGTCCATTGTCTCGCGTGCAGCGAGTGACGAGTGTCTCCGCAGCGAAGCCAGCGGAGTGCAAAGGGTTAATTCCCCCGAACGGAAGGGAGAGAGAGAGAGAGAGAGAGAGGAAAAGAGAGCAGCGTTTAGTTCCGCGAACAATCGGAATCCTTTCCCAAAATTCGTCCACCGCTGCATCGCGGGCGAACCGACGGGAAAACCGATCGATCCGACTTTCCGATCCGGGGGCATTAAAATAAATGGAAGTTTCCGCTCGGTCGACAGTTCGAGCGACGCGCTGTTGGGATATCGAGTATATTCGACTCGAAAACTTGATCGAAATTAATCTTGCTCTATTTTCGTTCTCGCCGGTGCCGCCCGCGGAATCATTAAATTCCAGCGATAAATCAGATTTCGCTCGAAATCAAGCGATATTCGATTCTATTGCGCATTACCCGGCTGTTCAAACAACCTCGCTCTTACCGGGATAACATTCGACGTTCTACTTACATTCGAATAACATTCGATCAATCTGCCTTAGCCAGGAAAATGAATTCCCTTGAACAAATACAAAAGGTTATTTGCGGAGCAAACATCCCGCTGTATTTCGAAACTGTTGCTGCCTCCGCGGAACCAAGGGAAACCATATACGTATGCATCCACCGTAATGCTAAGATCGTTCTCAATTCGCCTCGAAAACATCGGTTTGCGACAGTAATTGAATATTTAACGCGTTGAATGCCGTGCGGGTCACCGGTGACCAACCGAATCGAATTGCTATAGTTCACTTAACCAGTTGAGTGTGGAGTTTAATTTGAAAAATGTCTCATTCTGCGCAATAAAATCAAATAATGAAGCGTATACTCGTCAAATGCAGGCCGATTGCAATTAAAATATAACCCAACGAAAAACTGAAGCGAAACGAAGAAGAATTACATGTTTGTCTCAAAAAATAAATAATTCACCGTTGAAAAGTCAGCACCGTCAAGAGTTTTAAGATGACGCGTATACTCGTCAAACACAGTTAACTGGTTAATTGAACGACGATCATTTGGAAATATCTGTATAATACAGCGACATTCGGCTAGACGAACGTGGAATAGTAATACAATTCAATCGAATGATTTAATATTATACTTTTTCCATTCTGTGTATTTTCTCTGTGAATCAATTTCCCTCTGATCTCTTGCTAGTAATTCAATCATGAATTGTTCAAACGAACATTTCATCTCGAAATGTCGACATTCACTCTCGCGAAGTTTATTCGCAAAATTATCAGACTATCTGTCGTCAGTGATTTCATTCGCGTCTGCACGTTAATATCTGTGACACTTAAACAAAAACTATTAAAACGAAAGAAAAGTGTTAAAGACTCGAAAGTGCTAATTATTATTATATTATTATTATTATTATTATTGCTTTTAGTGTTATATTGATTCTTCAATACTTGCGCGATTTAATATTCTATTTTCTCCGCTTTGTCTAGTTTGCTCCATGAAATGCGCGGCATTCAACGTGTTAACCTTTGAACTCTGCGCTCCAATATCGCACATGATATTAAATATTTTAATGAACCTTAAAGAAACTACCCTAAAACTCTTCGATTTTCCATCCAAATTTTGTACTAAGGAAAATAATAGATCGAAGAAATGTTATATTTCTAATTCTCGCTAGGAATACTATAAAAATCAGTTGCAGTTGTTAATTACAACGCAACCTGGAGTGCTAAGGGTTAAATATACAAACACACAAATATACAAATATACAAATACCCAAATTTCTAATACAAAATAGTACCAATATCGCGTAACCGTGTCCAATTTACGGAAGCGTTTGCTCGAGTGGTTCGAGTACAAGGTACACTTCACCCTTCGATTGATTCGCTGCTGGAAAGTTCGGTCCCTTTGTTTGTTCCAGGGGCCAGTGCGCTTCTACGATAACGAGAGGAAAGCGTACATTCTGTTAAAACAATTCCAAAGTGAGTATAAGGCGGCTTGTCCCCCGGGTTGCCGCGTATCTGTACGCGCGGCGTTGTTGCAGGCGGGAACGAGGTGAAAGTCGGCGAGTTCGACGGCGTGACCGGCGTCTTGGACCTGACCAGGGGTCAACCTTTGGTCTGGCGAGGCAGGTCGCCGCCGAAAGATCGGACGCTCCATATCATCGAGCATTCGACGGTGAACATAACGATTTACGCGGTCCTAGCCTCGGCTGCTAGCGTCGGCATCGTCATGGCGGCCATTTTCCTCGCCATCAATATCAGATACAGGAACCAAAGGTGATTAGGCTGAAACGACGCAGTCTCGCTTTCGACCTCATTGCGAACGAGTTACTGAATTCTCATCTGAATCCAATTGTAAGCCTGATAAGGAGAGCTTGATCGGGGACTCGCGAAGCTTCTCGCGGAGACGTTCGATCGGGCAAGATTGCGATCTCCAGTGAAAGCGGAGAACGCGTTACTTATTGTTTTGGCTAACGTTGAGCGACCTTTGTCTTGCTGGGAACGAAATGTTCACGCGTTTAACACGTTAAGCGCCATGTCAGTCACTGGTGGCTGACGCTTCTGAATGACTAAAAAACAATCGTAACGTACAAGACAACCGATGTGAAATAAAAATGTTTAATAAGGCAACTAAGTTGATAGTAGTGTAACGCAAACGTTGCAACGCCGAACAATTCATGATCATTCCTACTTTTCTTTGCTACGAAAGACAAACTCTATGGGAAAACGCTTAAGATTTTCGTGGCGCTTAACGTGTTAACACTAGGTTTACGGTACGCGTCAATCTGACGCAGATTGAATTTTATAAACATTATTTGGTAAATGTTTCAATCGGTTTTCGTTGATCCAATTACGAATATGAATCCTGATTGTCTATTTCTACGTCTACAATTTCCAAAATCTAAATGAACGAATATCAACTTCCCCAGGAACAATAGAATAAACTGTACAATAAATGCCCGTAGACCTAGTGTTAACACGTTCATTGTAATTTACGCTGTTTCCCGCTGAACTCTCGAAATTGGAAATATTGAAGTAAATGAATTTTCAACTATGTTTCCTAATTACCAAACCATTTGACGAACGTATTCGACGATACAGGGCATCCGATGTGACATGAAAATGTGAGCCATCAATGGTATACGTCGTCTATTGTGATATTTTACCGTGAACCGGTGGTACGGCGTGAACGTGTTAACCCTTTGCACTCGGAAGTTTGTCACTAGAAATATTTTAACATTTTCTAATGAGATAACGATATTTTGTGAAACTCGCAGAGAAATAACGTACATTGAAGAACAAAGCTATTTTATTTCAATATTTCTCAAATTGACGCGTTGTATAAGGTATAATATTAAATATCAAATTTCATAGTCTTACAGTGTGAAATCAGGTGATGAGTCACCTCTCGAGTGCAAAGGGTTAAATTGGAAATTGAATGTTTCGTAGGCTAGTGTCAAGAGATTAGTATTCTTCGCACGCAACGATGAATCTAATATTTCTAACGCTTTCAAAAACACCTAGTGTTCTATAAAGAAATCCATGGAGAACGATAAAATAAGAAACAAGAGAATGCAGGATCATTTTTAGACGTCAGTTGGCAAGCCGCAGGTTACTCACCGTTGGCCCAAATACACGATTCCTTCGCTCCCGCTCCCTTTCCCCGTGTTTTAGCTCGTGTAATCATTTCCGTCTCTCCCCTGTCTCTCTGCGTCTGTTTTCTTCTGACGACCGACCATCTTCAACGTTTCAGATACATAAAAATGTCATCGCCGCATTTAAACAACCTCATTATCGTCGGATGCATGCTGACCTACAGCAGTGTAATTTTCCTTGGGTTAGATTCGCAGCTGTCCAGCGTAACGGCATTTCCGTATATTTGCACCGCGAGAGCGTGGCTGCTCATGGCTGGTTTCTCGTTGGCCTTCGGCTCCATGTTCTCGAAAACATGGCGGGTACACTCGATCTTCACCGACGTCAAGCTCAACAAGAAGGTGAGCTCACGCGACTGCTGGTCCCGCTCGCGTGTGCCAGGGTCGCCTTATCCGTTGCGCGCTTCGGAAGCCCAGAGAATTCGCAAAAGATGAACATGAGAATGTTGAAAACATTGAAAACGTTGACATTTTGAAGATGTTTATCTTTTATTCTTATCTACACGAATCTTAACTCTTTGCGGTCCGAAGTGCTCTTGGTTTCTTAGTTCGAGGTTCACGTCGACGTTAGTTCATTCGATTACAGCTTAACCCCTTAACGCACAGTTTTCTTGAAAAAAACCGGCCAAAGAAAATCAATTTTGGTATACTGCGCTTTTGTTCCATAAGGCTATATTTTATTCTTGAATAAATAAGTGTTACAGCTTACAATCCCGTGTAAATGATAAATATCAATAAAACGATTTTTTTCTTTCTTTTCACATTGTTATTTTCACAATTTGGCCTGTTTAGCGCGCTCGAATTACCTCGAGCGTACAAGTTAAGTGCTTGATATGACGCTCTACTTATTTATTCAAGAACATTTGGGAGTCGAAATGTTACCTTTAAATGGTACAATTGTGATATTATAAATAAATATAGAAAAAATTGCTAAAACGGGTAGAGGTTGCAATAAAATAGAATGTCGAGTCTGACCACATAGGACTGCTAAGGGTTAAGCAGAGATTCGATTCCGTTCGAAGACTCGTATCCAACTTTCGGAAACGAAAACGATTTCTTTTGTAAACTATATTTGACACTAAAACTACCGTTGATTGCCGCACGATTTTACTCAGAAAAATATAAGAAATGAAAATCATGTAACTGTATTAGGTGGTATTACTTATAATATAGGAAAGTTCTCAAATAATCATCGTTTAATCGAATGAATTATAATGAATCGATTCTGTTATCACCGATGATCTCCATGGTATTCAACGTGTTAATATACAGATTAAAATACAACTCAATTAATATCTTAATCAACGAATTTCGACGGTTCCTATACAAAAATGTTTAGAAATCAATTCAAGTGCTCGATAGTTCTACTGTTAACCTCTTCAGGAATTCTTTTTTAGAACAAACACAGCTGACTCCAGTGTTCATTTGGTTATATTCTGTTAAAACTAAATTGAACAATACAAAAATATATTTCATTCATGTCATTCATGTTAAATTAAAATCTTATATACATATATGCCAGTATCCTTAAAGTTAATTCTCAATTTTCCTCCGCGTAGATCGCGAATATTTTGAAATATTCAAATTAATGTTAAATAGAGGAACGAAGGTTGGATACGAGAGTCTATAGCATCATAGTTTCTATGGGAACCATAACGCGGCCCTGTCGCGCACGTGAAAGCCGCCCCCGGAATCGTTCTGTCTCAACGTGCACCATTTTGATCGTTCAGGTCATAAAGGATTACCAGTTATTTATGGTCGTCGGTGTATTGTTGGTTATTGATTTGGGGATTATGACGACGTGGCAGGTCGCGGATCCATTTTACAGGGAGACCAAGCAAATGGAGCCCTATGTACGTAACAACGATCCCGATCGAACGGTAAATCAACGAAACGATCCGTACGGATAAGCGGCATTAACGTGTCCGTGGCTTCTTTCGTTCCAGCCTCATCCATCCAGCGAGGACATCATCATTATACCGGAGAACGAGTACTGCCAGAGCAATCGGATGACCGTTTACCTGGGCTGCATATACGCGTACAAAGGTCTCCTAATGGTGCGTAATCCTTCGTCACCCTGTATACAACATTTTTTAAGGTGTCGGGAAAAATTCGGCAAACTTAGGCCAGCATTCAAACGAGTCTTAATATTTCAGTTAGCTTTATTGAATAGAAAAATAGTCGGCTCACGACTGCACGAAAAATGAATACATAAAAAACGCAATAAAACGAAAATACGCTCTCCGTCGACGGGACTGATCCCGACGGCTCGACGAGAAGTGCCATAACGTCTCAAGCATTTGATTTTCCTCCCCCAAAATTACCGGTGCGCATTTCGGCGCAATTCAAACGGGCGTCGGCACCTCTTACAATTTCAACCTAGATAATTAACCTCTCAAAAGTCTCCTAATGGTACGTAATCCTTCGTCACTGTGCACAATATCTCAACCTAGATAATTAACCTATTAAAAGTTGGTCAAAGATTCTTTTTAACCAGTTAACACGTTGAATGCCATGGGAGTCACCGGTGACCCCAGCCAAATCGAATTACTATAGTTCACTCAGTGAGATGGTAATTATTTGAAAACATTTTTGTATTACAAACAATACTACCTAAGACGTTGACATTCGGCTAGATCGCCATGTAATAATATAAACAATACAATTCAATCAAATGATTTAATATTATTTTGTGTCTTTTACTGTATGAAATCGTGCGGCATTCAACGTGTTAACTGTGTTTGACGAGTATACACGTCGTAAAGCTTGACACGATGCTAATTCTTTCAGCGATGAATTCTTTATTTTTTCACGTAAACATGTAACTCTTCATTGTTTCGCTTTGATCTTTCATTAAAATATACTCTACGTGCATTCGTCCTGCGTTCGACGAGTACTCGCTTCATTCTTTTATTTTATTGCGCGTGGAACGAGAGGTTTTTCCAACTAAATTCCACAGTTAACTGGTTAACCAGTTAACTGTTTGCGCTCGGAAGTATTTCGCTAAATATGTTTAACATTTTCTAATTAGACAGAGACAATGTTTTTTTAAATGAACTCAAAAGTAAAGCTTGACACGATACTAATTCTTTCAACGATGAATTTATTTTCTCACATAAACATGTGATTCTTTGTTTCGCTTTGATCTCTCATTAAAATATACTCTACCTGCATTCGTTCGACGAGTAAACATTCCATTTTTTTATTTCATTGCGCGCAGAACGAGAGGTTCTCCAACTAAATTCCACAGTTAACTGGTTCATGGAACTACCGAACATTCCAACCGATTTTTCGAAATTTCTCTGTAAACTCCGTCTATGGACTTCGATCGATTTACAATTCAGTTTGCATACCAATTAATATCTTTAATATTTCTCAGAGAAACATCCGTTATCTTAATAATTACGACATCAGGTTTCGATCTATCTGGCATTAATTTTTCAAAAAATCAGTTTCAAGCTCGATTCTAGTGTTAAAGTAGATGAATCGAAAAATTGCATACTGCTACAATGAATATCTTTAATATTTCTAAGAGAAACATCCGTTATCTTAACAATTACAAAGACATCAGGTTTCAATCTATCTTATTAATTTTCCAAAAAATCAATTCAAGCTCGATTCTAGTGTTAAAGTAGATGAATCGAAAAATTGCATACTGCTACAATGAATATCTTTAATATTTCTAAGAGAAACATCCGTTATCTCAACAATTACAGAGACATCAGGTTTCAATCTATCTGGCATTAATTTTTCAAAAAATCAATTCAAGCTCGATTCTAGTGTTAAAGTAGATGAATCGAAAAGTTGCGTGAGAAACTCGATGATATCAATCGAGAAACTAGTGCCTACGAGCGGTAAGTGAAATCGATATCGAACCCTTAACTCAATACAGAGGAGCGTTCACCGCGAACTAAAGTAAATCACTAAGTCTAGTTAGTACTCGGGGTGTCCTTTATCGAAGGCACGCCGCACCGTCGCGTAATCGTTTCAAGCGGCGCGGTTTCCAGATGTTCGGCGCCTTCCTCGCTTGGGAGACCCGGCACGTGAGCATCCCCGCGTTGAACGACAGCAAATACGTCGGCATGAGCGTCTACAACGTGGTGATCATGTGCGTAACCGGCGCGGCGATCAGTTTCGTGCTCGCCGACAAACAGGACGCGATGTTCATCATGCTCGCGGTCTTCATAATATTCTGCAGCACGGCCACCCTCTGCCTGGTCTTCGTGCCAAAGGTGCGACGATTCGTATTAACATGAACATTCGCCCCGCGACACTGTCGACCTTTAACCCTTTGCACTTCAAGAGTTTTCTATCAAAAATACCCAACGTTTGGTGTACACTATCGGTGTCTTTTCGGTCGCCCCATAAGTCCGTTTATTTTTCATATAAATAATAATAATACGTATAAAGTAATACATATAAAATCCTTCTAACTTCACGACCTGTCGATCTCGAGTACTTTCTACTGACTAAACTGAAGCATAAAGGTTATTTATAATATATTCTATATCTTTCCAAGTAATCTTTTCAAACAATATAATATATTCAATATCTTCTCAAATGATATAATATAATCTATATCTGCCCAAATAATATAATATATTCTATACCATTTCAAATAATATAATATATTCAATATCTTCTCAAATGATATAATATAATTTATATCTTTTCAAATGATATACTATAATCTATATCTTTTCAAATAATATAATATATTCTATATCTTTTCAAATAATATATTACATTTTACATCTTTTCAAATAATACAATATATTCTATATCTTTTCAAACGATATAATATAATCTATATCTTTCCAAATAATCTTTTCAAATAATACAATATATTCTATATCTTTTCAAACGATATAATATAATCTATATCTTTCCAAATAATCTTTTCAAATAATATAATATATTCTATATCTTTTCAAATAATATATTACATTCTACATCTTTTCAAATAATATAACATATTCCATATCTTCTCAAATAATATAATATAATCTACATCTTTCCAAATAATCTTTCCAAATAATACAATACATTCCACATCTTCTCAAACGATATAACATAATCTATATCTTCCCAAATAATCTCTTCAAATAATCACAGTTTAACAGAGTAAACGATAGTAATCCGACTCGGTCGGTCGGTTTCACCGGCGACCCCCGCGGCATTCAACGCGTTAACCAAAGAATATTTCATCGAGCCGAAAACGGATAGAGACTAGACCGATAGCGTGCACCAGGCTTCGGGCAGTGTAACGGAGAATCGCGATCGCGCCGCTCGACGTTCGAACGGTTAACATCTGTCCGGCCTGTTTCCGATGGCAGCTGATCGAACTGCGAAGGAACCCGCAGGGAGCCATAGACAGACGAATGAGGCCGACGCTTCGGCCGCCGTCGAAGACGCGGCGGGACTCCAGCATGAGCGAGCTGGAGGAACGATTGAAGGAGGCGACGCTGGCCAATCAGAAATTTCGTAAGCAACTTATGGAAAAAGACTCTCAGCTTCAGGTAAGCGGATCCTCCCGTGCTTGGCAGGATTGAGGATCAAAGATTATTCGACGCGTGACGGAGGATCAGTAGATTGCGGATTTTTCTGTGTTTATGGGGAATCTGGCGGTGCTACATTGTTCTACGGAAGATTTTTCAAGGAAAACTGTGCCCCACGGTTGCTCTATTTCTTGAACCCCTTGTCTTATGATTTATTTCGTAACTATGATCGATTCATCGTTATTTATTAGGAAAATGTACGACTACGTCTACTCCAAAGGTTAATAAAACGCTAAAACCTTGACAATCTATTTAACTCCTTAACTTATATATCGTGTCAGACTCGTGAAAATCTTAAACTGAATTTGAGAGATCTAAGTGTTATTTATTTTTGAATATAAATTAAATATTACTTTTCTATCAAATTTGTATTAAAAAATAAATAACACTTAGATCTCTCAAATTCAGTTTAAGATTTTCACGAGTCTGACACGATATATAAGTTAAAGGGTTAAATAGATTGTCAAGGATGTAGCGTGAAAATCCGCAGTCTAATGAGCAACGCTAGAGAATCTTCCATAAGCTACGATTCCAGTTGTCTCCTTGTTGCAGATGTTTCAAAGAAGGCTCGAGGACGTGTCGAACACGCAGGAGGCGATGGATAGACTGACGGTTCCCAGGCAAGAGGGCACGCTGAAGAAAGAGGGTAGCTTATCTTTTCACACTTGAAAAATACGACCTCCATTCATCTGTTCCGTCGACCACCTCAACCTCTTAGCTATAGCCATTACACAGGCTCCCTCGTATGCCATTATTCTGTACGCCTTTCTTCAATTCCTTTACACTCGGAACTGCAAACTCCGCCGAGCTTCGAATATTAGCTAACAATACATTCATCACCGAGACGTTGAAACTTACGATGTGTCGCTATAAATTACAAGAAAAATCAAAAAGTCTCAAGCCGATCGTAACAATCGCATGTTTCAACGTGTGCGGCTTTTACAATCTGCGGTGAACTCGGCCGCACAGGGATACTCCGCGGTCGGTCAGAAGGTTAAATCAGATGATCAAAGTTCCGCTGTACCGAACTACACCACAAGACTGTTGTCGCAGGTATGTCCGTCAACACGGAGACCACGGACATCTCGATGTCGATGTGCAGCCTGAACTCGACCACGATCTCGCAGCCGGAGCCAGACTACGCGAACACGAACGGCGTGGAGCAACAGGCCCCGAAGTGCGTGCCGATCCCCCCTGAAAATCGGTCCTCCCGAGAAACAGGAGAATAATCTGTTAACTTCTGAAAAATCCTCCGCAGGAAGAAGACGTCCTTCTCGAAGCTGCCGGCGATCGCCATTGACGCGGAGCGCGTCCCGCTCGTCCCGCAGTCGGAGATCGTCAAGCAGGTCGCCGAAGGCGTGCTCTCGGCCGTGCCGTCGGCGCTGAAGCACACGACGGAGGAGTCGGACACGACGCGCAGGAGGAGCAGACCTTCCGGAACAGGAAAGGAAAGCGAACCTCTGATCGAGAGGAGTCCGGAGCCGCGTCCCGATGGCAAGACCAACGTGGAGTTCGTGCCGGAGATCGTCGAGGAAGGCGACGCGGTGATCCTCGAGGAGACGGAGATCCCCAGACACGGCAAACCGATCAGATACAGGGACGATCGCAGGTCTAGGCTGCCTACACCACCGCCAACGAAGAACGTCTCCTTCGGCGAGCTGCACGAGCAGGACTACCTCGAGCAGGCCATTCTGCCGCCGCCTATGCAGTTCGTGCCGAAGCATCGGCATTCCGGTAGGTCTAACGAGGAGAGGACTAACGAATCTGCTTTCGAATGAAATATGCATGGAGTATGTATCTAGATAGGAGAAAGCTTTGTGAGTTTTTCGATGAACCTCAGTTTTTTCGGTAGCTTTGATGCTTTCACCCGGAGTGTTACGTTCATTTTTGGCTTCCGGGAGTGTCCACTAGGAATTTCTTCCCAACGTTTCGCCAGCATTGCGAACACGGCTCTCTTCCGAAAGCCAAAAATGAATCTTTTTCTCGAGAACGGAGGACCGTTATCGAAAAGCAACTTAAACCTCACTTTTCTCGAATAGTAGTTTCGATGCTTTCACGGCCTGGAGTGTTACGTTCATTTTTGGCTTCCGGGAGTGTCCACTAGGAATTTCTTCCCAACGTTTCGCCAGCATTGCGAACACGACTCTCTTCCGAAAGCCAAAAATGAATCTTTTTCTCGAGAACGGAGGACCGTTATCGAAAAGCAACTTAAACCTCACTTTTCTCGAATAGTAGTTTTGATGCTTTCATCCCGAGTGTTACGTTCATTTTTGGCTTCCGGGAGTATCCACTAGGAATTTTTCCCCAACGTTTTGTCAGCATTGCAGCTGGCTTCATCAGGGGCTAAGGGAAGAGTCTCTTTAAAGAATGTTGAGAAAAAATTCCTAGTGGACACGGCTAATTTATCGGAAACAAAGTTTAACCTGACTTTTCTCGAAAACGGAGGACCATTAAGTTGGCGCTGTACTCTCTTCGGATTCTAATGAATCATTAAGAACTCGTACTGGCAAGAATTAACTCTTTGAGGTGTTTCAATTCAATCAAACGATTCAATATCTGATTTTCTCGGCATCATTCGGCATCATACATCATACGGCATTCAACGCGTCAAGGTTGAATTGTGTAGCGAATTCTATGCAGCTTGTTTTTCTTTGAAATCGTGGTAGCTGCATCGAATGCAATTGCAAACGAGCCACAGGGCAAAGGGTTAACACTAGATTTACGGGCATATCCTAGTTCCTTCCATCGTCCACACAAAAATTGATATTCATTCGTTATAGAAATGAGAGGTTCAAAAATACAATTAACGTACACATTGGTACAACTGCATCAATGAAAACCAACCGAGAAATGTAGCAAATAATATTCATAAAATTCAATGCGAGTCGAATTAACTTGTAAGTCTAGTGTTAACCAACGAATGGTTCCCGCAGCTTCGGCGGCCGCGTCCTCCTACCAGTCCTTGAAGAGGAGATCGTCCGTGAAGAACAACGGGATGGCGCACTCCCATCACGAGCTGTTCCAAACACGGCGGACCAGCGTGCCTATAAACTCGATCAGCTACATCTCGACGGAGAACGTGTCGAAGTCCGAGAGGACCGAGGTCTCTTTGGGCTCGTTCGACAAGTCGTACGTGATCGGCGAGTGCGGGCACAGGCGAGCGCTGTTCACCGGGACCGGATATCGCTGCGAAAAACACGGCGGAGGCCGCGGACACTCTCACGCGACGCTGAACGGCTCGGCGGAAACGCCGCCGGTGCCTAGACGTCAGAGGAAGCGGTACGACTCGCAGAACGCCAGCTCGCCTAGCGTTCCTGCGGTCGTCAGCGCGAGCTACTCCGATACCGGTGAGCTGTTCTTGCTCTTCGCATGGAAACGCTTCGGTCTTTGAGATTTCTTAAGTTAGGATACGGTGTCAATGATCGGCGATGCGAAGCTGTTCGTTGCAAGTTACGAGGTTAACGCTAGAACTACCGTGCCAGTCACAATGACTGGTTTCGATTCTTTTGTTTAGCAAGTATTGATATCTTCAAAAAATTTGTATAGAGATCACGTACGAATCGTATTGAATACTCGGTAGTTCTAGCGTTAAGCCTCTAACGGAATGATGAGATTGTAAAATGTTAATCCTCTGCATTTAGAGGGTTCCACCAGAAATATTTGAACATTTCCTGACGAGATACAGACGATGTTTTGTGAAACTCGATGAGAAAATACATCGAGGAGCTATTTTATTGAAATTTCTCAAATTGATGCTTTACAGGAAGTATAGTATCAAAGATCAAGTTTTATAGTTTTACTGTATGAAATCAAGCGGTGACTCACCTCTCGAGTGCAAGAGTTAATATTTATAGGAAATGTGGTCGAGTGGAAAATGTTGACACATTGCGTACCGGTAAAGAGGAATCTCTTTTACATAAAGACACTTAGCTATGCAACTTCGCTAATTGCCACAGCATTGAAAAGATATAAAATTTCACTCGAATCGATTATCTATTTAAAATATATTACATAACAATATATCTGAGTTTTTCTATGATATAAGTTGACCTCAGTGAAAATTGCCATCCGCATTAATCAAAATTATCCGGTACGCAATGTGTTAAGTTGCTGACTAAGCCAACCCGCTGATTCGACGTCGGCAACGTCTCGAACCAAATTCCGATTTGATTCCAGAGAAATGCGAGGAGTCCGTGTCGACCATCATCCAGCGGTCCGTGTCGGAGCGCTCGCGGGAGAAGTGTCTCCGATTACGGACCGACAGTCACGCGATAGCGGAGTGTCCTCACCGCGCGGCTCGCAGGATACGAGAGTGCAGGCACACGGAATCGAAGCTCAGGCAGCAGGCTCGGCTGGAGTACGTGCAGAGCACGCCGAACGTCGCCACGATCCACAACAACAAGTTCGGCAGCGCGAATCCGCGGGACAGCGGAGGTTCCGGCGGAATAGACGGGAACGGAGCTGGCGCCGGAACCGGGATCGGCCTCGGAATCAGCAGCGGCGTCGGCGGATCGGTGGCTACCAGCGCCGACGTGGTCGGCGGGTCGACGGTGAACGTGTCGAAAATGTACAGCGCGGTGTCGGACGGCGAGCTGCTGGACGTGACGATCCTGCCGATCTTTCAGAAGCTGCTGACCGAGAGGCACAAGAGCTCGAGGGGCGGCTACGGCGCCAGCGTGGCCAGCTGTCCGAATATATCGATCAAATGCGACATCGTCGAATACCTTTAACGATCTTCCAGGGAGGCTAGTTTGAAAATTGCTCGCGCGGTGTCGGCGATAGCTATCCTCGTCGATGAACGGAAGGGATGGAGGAAAATCGGGGATCGACTGTGCGGATCAACCGCCCCCTTCGGTTTCGATGATCCTTCACTCTAGAAATCGACGCGTCGGACGACTCTTTCCTCTCGCAGACGCTCGCTCGGTTTAGACACTCGTAAAAGACGGATCGAAGCTGACGATTTTTCGGAATTCCAGTGTCCACGGAGTCCCGCGCGTATGCGACAGGAAATTGTTTAGAATATCGATTTCTGCCGCATGTTCCGAAGCCATTGAAACCAGCGGGGAATAGTTGATCCGCGAGTTTATCGGGGAACGGAAACACCTGCTCGACGCAAGGCGTCGTCGCAACTTGTTCCTGTCCCCGACCGAGTGGCGATCGGTTTCTAAACTTTGTTCGTTCGAAGACCGCAGAGCGGTTCCTTTGTAATCAGCGATTCGCAAGCCGATCACGATCCCAACCGTCGCGAGTCGCGTCCCCCGTGCGACGCGATAACGATTATCGCGGCCGCGATCGTCGCGCGGACAACCTGCGCGTGCACCAACGAGCGCGACGCGTTCCCACTCATCGCGATACCCGCTCCCGCTAGATCTCGGATAAACCGTTTTTTATATATCGGCGACCTTTTAACCTAACGCGTACACCCGGGAGCAAGGGAGCTGGAACGCTCGTCGTTGCCTCGCGCAGACGGTCGCGCGGAGAAGACATCCGCTCGCTCGGCTCTTCTGTAACAACTCCGCGCGACGGGACAATGTGATCAGCGTACTGAGAATCGGAACGATATCAGTCGAAAATAGTACAAAACGAGATGATTTTTGTCTCTGAAACTGGTCTTTGCTTTGCTTCGATTCGACTTTCGTGGATGATGGTTTATCATTGGATCGGACTTTAACGTTAGAACCAACGAACCCGACGACGACGTCGAGTCGTGGGTTCTAACGTTGAACACCCGTGTGTTCATCGATGAAAAACGTTTGTTGCGTTCCCATGTAACCGGGGTAGAATTTGATAATTCTACGAGACACGGATCACGTGACTCGCATCGTTACGATTCTTAACGCCGCAATTGTGCAATCCGGACGTTTCGACGCTCGCAGGGGCATCGACGATCCGCCACTCGGAAAATCTAGATCGCGTCGATGCGCTACTTTTCATGCATCAAGTTGTTACTGCACTGCGGATTTTCATGCGTTTATAGGTCGTGGAGCGTTGACAGAATTACATTGTTTTTTATATTACATTGAATCCGTGCCGGGACCGCGGACGCGAGAGATAGAATTCCGGTTTATCTCGGTTCAACGATCGATGACCAGAAAAACGCGGCTTCGGATAAAAATCTGTGAGTCGCTTATTACGAAAAAACAACAAAAAAAAAGAGAGAGAAAAAATACACCGAGCAGACAGGCATACCTGTATCTATCGATTCGCCGTACAATCAACGGGATTTCTTTTTCCGCGCGTGATCAGTTTCGAATCCATCCATCTCGGCTGGAACAGCGTTGGTTTCCCGTGTCTTCGGCAGCTTCGTATCAATCGCGTTCTTCGATAATCTTGTTTTCTCGTTTGTTCCGTTGTGAAGACCTCGTCGCATTTTCCAACGTGCCACGGTAAGAGAACGGATCTCATTCGATTAGGAGGAACGACGGTGAAACGATCGGTACGGTAGCACCGATCTTGGAGAGAGAAACTCGCGGGTCAATGGGGATGACGCGTAAGTCTACGTGAAGCATATCGCTGGAAACGTAACGATTTCGACTAATTTTATAGCGTACGATGTTCGTACGGTTATCGGCCGCTCTCAGCGATCGTAGGGAGAACGGAGGAACAGGAGCGAAAATCATTTTCTCGTTACGCTTCGCCTCGCCTCGCCCGGGAAGTGATTCTCGGTACCAATATGGTGGCGGTGTTACCCTTTGTTGCCGTGCCGACGGGATTGATAATTCTAAAGAAAACAGCCGCGGCCCGTTTCACGACGGCGGCTCGGTACGCGAGATCGGTTCGACGGGAAGCGAGTTTAATCGACGATTAATCCGTTGCCTCTTGTTTAAGGTAGTCAATTCACTCGCGGCGGAACAGCGAGCGGAAGCGTGTCTCTCGCCGCGGGAAAATGGCCGGCGTCTCTTCGTCGACGACGTCTATTTTAGTCTAAAGAGAAATAAAAAAAAAAGTTTCAACAAACAAATTCTGAATGTGACGTGCATGCCTAGTGAAAACAGAATCGATAAGGAAGAAAAACAATTAATGAAAACGTTGTACTTATGTCCGTTTCGGTTGACGATTTCCCCGGTTTCCGTTCGTCGGTTCGTTTTTCTGTTCGAGGAACAATTGAGGAAAGAAAATGGCGGAGCCTACCGGACGGAACGGTGTCGAGTGAAAGCGTCCGGATGTTCGGAAAACCGTATTATCGATACTCAATCGAGAGCCTAACCTGTAAAACTCGCGTCGCGATCGGTTGCTTTGAACGCCGCCCGACCGAGCGAGTCTTGTACATACGATTACTCTCGAAATAAATGTCATGTTTACAGGTAAAGACTAGACACTTGTCACGTAAAACGATTGTGTGCCCGTTTTCTCGTAATTCTCTTTTGTTTTTCGTCGTCTACTCTCTCTCTCTCTCTTTCTCTCTCTCTCTCTCTGTCTTTCTCTATTACATTCTTCTTTTTCCTCGTCGTCTTTTCCCTCGATTGTTCGAACAATCGGGACATTTCCCATCGTTCACCGGCACCCACTTGCGCGCGTGTACATTTCTTTTTCTAACAACAACAATTACCGAAGCAATACTCGTCGTCGTCGTCGTCGTCGTCGTCGTCGTCGTCGTCGTCTCTTTGTAAACTTGTATTCGGACACCGAATCACGTATCGCGAACGCGACTCGACTAATGAACGAACGTGAACAGACTCCGGTATGATTTCGAATAAGTAAGAGTTGAATGCTAACAGGTCAATTATATTCAATTTTATCAATAAAGTTGATTCGTTCGTTTTATCGGCTTCGACTTCTTCAAGACGGAGCGTTCGGTTTCTCACGATTCACTCATCTCGTACATGAAAACATACACACGTACACACACACGCATGCAGGACACGTACACACACGTGTACATGTACAAGTAAATTCGAAACCTTTTACATGCTGCCGTTCTGTCTCTCTTTCTTTCTCTGTCTCTGTATAGTTGGCCGGGAATGAAATTCCCGGCGGCGCGAAAGGACGATTACTCTTCCTGTTCAAGAATCATAAGCAAACGATTCATCTTAATTCGTGAAACACGCATTCGAACACAGTACAAAACGGAACGCGCGTTTCCTCGAGCGATTAAACAGTACGTAAAATCGATCATCTCGATTGTACGATTCAACGTTTGTTGTCTACGTTTAGCATATAGTACAACGCAATCTTCTGTTAATGTAAAGTGAATAGAGTTTAATAAACGAACGATTTGATACGAAAAACTCGACTTACACGTTTTATTTCATCAGTCCTTCGCCATTACAACTTGCAAAATATTCTTTCCTTCCTCGACGAACGTTCTACATAGTAATAAGAGTACTGATAATTTCAGCGTAATTCCTCAGTTATCAATAAGCAATTCGGAGGAGTTGACATGATACGTGCGAGATAAGTTCGACAACTTCCGTCCAACATTTAATATTCATCGCTTACAGTCATTCCTATAAATACCCACTTACATTTTCTTTATGTCCGCGACCGTTTACGAAACGGAACGGAGACGCGTCAGTTCAATTCGGTTAGCAAAAAACCGCAGATACGTCAGTCAATTCTACATCGTACGCCACGAACTCACCGCAATCTCCGAACACGTGTGTCAACGATTATTGTTCCAGTTTGCATACCTACTACTGCCACGAGGAAATTATCAATGATTCTTCCCACGTTAACACATTGAGCGCCGGCAACATATCTCATCAATGAGTAGCCAAAAAAAATATTCAAAACATTATACATTTTCGTAAAATAGTACATTTTAATTGCATATTCGTCATAATGCGCATTATTGCGGGGCCAGCGCTCAAGCGATAGACTCATAATCCCGCGTTTTGGGGGGCCGGCGCTCAATGCGTTAAAAGCGAAAAAGTTGAACGTAATTCAAGCTCCGCCAATTAAACGGAGAATCGAATCAGTTGCCGCGACCGCTGCTGGCATCTGCACCAGTAACGTACGAACCCCTTCGAGTGCCTAACCTAATCTCAGCCCGGAATATTCGCAAGCGTTTCGCTCGCAACGGTTACAGCGATGCTCTGAACCGGTTATGTACGTTACTGTGCGCGAAACGATCAATTTAAGAATTTGCTCGCAAGCGAAGCGTTTCGCGCATCCGTGAGCAGTCGTCGCGGCGCATCGTCGTTTCAACGAGCGCCGATAACAGTATCTGGCCGACCGACGATCTTGTCAGTCACGTCGGACGCCTTTGTCGGAGCAATTCACTGGAACCGAGTCCACGAAAAATCGTGAGCCGTTCGAAAAGCAATCGCCATCATGCTGCGATCGTTTAGGAAATTACGCTTGTCCCGGGGTTTCGCAACGGCGGCAAGCGTGCCGGCACCGGAAACCAATCCGTCCATCATGTATACCGGCGTAAGTATGGGCGTCGTCTTTTTCTGAACAGAAGAATGTACACGGCAAACACACGACGAATATAAACGCTGCGGTATTTAGAATCTGGCGTAAGCGTGGCCGAGTAATTGGTCAATGTTAACGTTTTACGATCAACCGATTTACATCACGACTCTAATTATAAAACCTGTTTTATACCGCGAAGATCGGGACGAGTAATGTCGAGTCTGTAGTTTGGCTTAAGTATTTCCTATTCGGCTTTATTATTAGCTAATTGTACAATTTCAGAATGGCGAATGGTGCAAAGTAATTTTAGAATTATCAGTTATTCGTGAGAGATTATCTTTAACACTAGAACTACCAGTCAAAATGACTGGTTTCGATTTTGTTTAGCAATTATTGGTATCTTCGAAGCATTGAATGTTCGAAATGATTCTGAAAAGAAATAGTTTCACTAGAGTACTGTAATGAATGTCTGAAGAAACTGAAAGTAATCTATTGTTACAATTTTTAATTTAATTTCTTAACACTTCCAGCGATTAAATCTGTAAACAACTAGTCATCCCGGGAGACGCGATTAATTGTTTCAATTGATATTGGAGGAAGATTGTTTTATGTAACACTGTATTCGCGGAAATTATTCGAAAATCGCCGGTAGGCGTATCGTTCGGTACACGGTTGCAAACGATACGAATCTTCGGTTTAGAGGACAACTTTCAAAACACGTCGCCGTTGTACGAAGAAGAAAAAATATTTGCAATATTTATTTTTGTATTTCTTTGACACTTATTTCTGTTCCCGTCGTGTTAGAGTTGAACTTGAAGATACACACGTTGTCGGAAATTCATTGTATTCAAAATAACGGTAACACGCGCATTGTTCACGGCTGTTGCATCAAGTACACGAAGCATATGTTAATCATATACTAAACAACAATTAGCAATTCCACCGTCATTTTAAGAAATTTAGATACTTACAATATGATAGACACTCCCTATCTTATCTTCTCGCGAAATACACACCGAGGGTATCAATACAACCTCTTAAACGGTTATCTATATACTCCACGAAGATGAATATGTACATTTTGATACAAAACAGATATTAAATTGCGTAATATTATCAACGCGTAATAGTTTGCAATCCACGTGTTAATTTCCAGTAATACGTTAAGCTAGACACACTTTCCAATGAAACAAATTTGAAAAGAATTCTTTAGCTCTTCGACTGTACTTCTACCCTAAGACTGACTCCACTATGGTGTCCAACAGGGGATCATTCTCCATCGCAACTGAAATTGAAAGTAAACTAGAAGTCAACGATAACGTTGTAGATTTTCATCGATAACGAATGGCACCGATCGAAATCGGGCAAAACCTTCCCCACTTTGAACCCAGCAACCGGAGAGACGATCGCTGAAGTTCAAGAAGGCAGCGCGGCGGACATAGATGAGGCGGTGAAGGCAGCTAACAAGGCATTCAAACTCGGTTCACCATGGAGGACCATGGACGCTTCTCGGCGCGGCGTCCTCTTAAACAAATTGGCCGATTTGTTGGAGCGAGACCGTACTTATCTCGCGGTAAGGATTTATTAACACTTTGCACTCAACAATATTTTTCATGAAAAATATTCATTACTTTCTGACTAAGTATCGACGATATTTTTCGCAACACAATTGATTATCTTATATAGATTAAGAGACAGAATTATTTTACTTCGATGTTTTATGTGTTGATTTAACACTAGATTTACAGACATTTATTATAATTCATTCTATTGTTCCCAGAAAGATTGATGTTCCTCCGTTTAGATCTAGGAAATCAAATGTTTAAAAATGTATTATTAGGAACCATAATCACGTAATTGAATCAATCAACATCGACCCGAACATTTACCAAATAAAGTCTATAAAATTCAATATGAGTCAGATTGGCTCGTTTTTAGATTATAATACAGAAATGTTCTCAAGCGATCATCGTTTAAATAAGTGAACTATGGTAACTCGGTTTAGTTGAGTCATCGGTGACCCCCACGACATTCAACGTTAATTTATCATTTAAAAAATCGTATGGCGAAATTCCTTATGGCACAGACGTGTTAATAAATGCTTTCAGTCGTTAGAAACGTTGGACAACGGTAAACCCTATTCTGCGGCGTACGGTTTCGACGTAGGCGCGAGCGTGGCGACGCTGAGATACTACGCAGGATGGGCTGACAAAAATCACGGTCAGGTAATTCCCATGGATGGGCAATACTTGGCTTATACTCGTCACGAGCCGGTGGGTGTCTGCGGTCAAATCATTCCATGGAACTTTCCTCTTCTAATGATGGCTTGGAAATTAGCACCTGCTCTGGCTACAGGTATACATCATCGTCAACGTTCACTGATCAAGAACCTGATTATCTAGTTTGATAATTGTATGACTGAGTTACTTGTCGTCCTTTACAGGAAACGTTATCGTCTTGAAGCCCGCGGAACAGACGCCGTTGACGGCTTTGTACATGGCTCAGTTGACCAAGGAAGCTGGATTTCCTAGCGGAGTCGTGAACGTGGTCCCCGGCTTTGGCAGTGCTGGGGCTGCGCTGGTCGCTCACAACGACGTCGACAAAATTGCGTTCACAGGCTCGACCGAGGTCGGGCAGCTGATCAAGAAAGAAGCTGCGACGAGCAATCTGAAGCGAACCACGCTGGAACTGGGCGGGAAGTCACCTAATATAATCTTGAGGGACTCCGATCTTGATACCGCCGTGGAAACGGCTCACTTTGGCCTGTTCTTCAACATGGTAAGAAGATTCTTGTTGATGAAATTGTTGTCTAACCCTTTGCACTCGGAAGCTTTTCACTAGAGACATGTGTAAATTAAGAAACATCTATTTTATAGAAATATTTCATATACTGATGCATTATACAATACTTAATATTACGTATAATATTTGGGAATTTTGTGATATCAAATCAAATGGTGACCGAGAGTCATCTTCCGAGTGCAAAGGGTTAACCCTTAGCACTCCAGATGGTTTTGTAATCTGTCAGCAACTGCTGATTTTTATGGTATCTCTAGTGAAAATGAAAAATGTTATAACATACCTTCGATCTTTAAATAAAAATCTAATAATTGATAATAGAAAATCTAATAATATTAGGATAATTTCTTGAATTCATTAAAATATTTAATATTATAACCGGTGCAGTATTGGAGCCTACGAAGTTCAACTTAAATGAGTTGTTTATAGTCGTTGCAATGAACATTCAACATTCTGCATCTCATTCCTCATTCTTTCCTTCAGGGTCAGTGTTGCTGCGCCGGATCGAGGACCTTCGTCGAAGACAGTATTTACGACGAGTTCGTGGAGAAGAGCGCCGCGCGAGCTAAATCCAGGGTCGTCGGCAATCCATTCGACTTGAACGTGGAACAAGGCCCACAGGTACCGACGAAATGGAACGCGACGTTTGGACGACGCTGATTTCTTTCTTACATTTGACAGATCGATCAGGAGCAAACGGAGAAGATCATGTCCCTGATCGGTGAGGGAAAAAAGCAAGGAGCGAAACTGGTGTCCGGCGGATCGCGCGTCGGTGATAAGGGTTACTACGTCGAACCGACGGTATTTGCCGACGTGACTGATGACATGACCATTGCTAAACAAGAGGTAGTGTATTAAATAGTGTAACAGACTGTAAGTTGAACGCAATGTTAAACGAACACCGTTGTTATGGAAATGATTGCAGATTTTTGGGCCGGTCCAGCAAATTCTGAAGTTCAGCAGTTTGAACGAAGTAATTAATCGGGCGAACGCCACTGACTACGGATTGGCAGCGGCGGTTTTCACGAAGGACATCGACAAGGCGAATTACATCGTGCAAGGTCTTCGAGCGGGTACCGTTTGGTAAGTATCTCGAGAAACGATTCTCCCTGGAATCAGTTCTCGTATAATCGGTATATGTTGTTTCAGGGTGAACACGTACAACAGTTTGGCGCCGCAAGTGCCGTTCGGTGGTTTCAAAATGTCAGGACACGGAAGGGAGCAGGGCTCGTACGGTCTCGAAGCGTACACCGAGGTCAAAAGTGTGATAATCAAAGTTAAACAAAAGAATAGTTAAACTAAACGACCCTCGCGTTTGTAAATTTTATGAGAATGAAGGGAGGTGAACTACGGATAGAGTTACGATCAGATTTTTATACTTTAAAATATACTTTTAAGGAAACCATGCCAGCAACGCTGCGATCACACAGTTGCGTGTTTATATAAATAGTCGATGTATTTTTGTACACATTTCGTTTGACATTGTTGACGATAGAAACGTAGATAATATCGCACAACCGAGGAAACGAGTGACAGAACGAAGATTAAACAGTAAGCTTCCAATCTTATTATACAATTTACAAAAGTAGCATCAATAAATAACTTTATTTCTTTAGTCTTGTTTATCCGCGATATCTACATTCCTAAATAATTATGAATAGACTGAGATAACGTAAGTATTACGTAATAATATGTACATGTGCACGGAGAACTTACAACGACGCCGAGGGGATCGTCGAGGGCTAAGTATATTCGCACATGTGCCCGCAACCGGTCGGGCACTGACGATTGCAGCGGAACCACTCGCTCATGTGCAGAACATGTCCGCCATGTGTACACCCTTGGCACCACGCGTACATTCCTCGCACCACCTGATAACCATAGAATTCGTGTTTCATACAAAAGACATAAATAATACTACCTAAAGCGATGACATTTGACAAGATGCAATAATAATAGAACAATTCAATGAAATAATTTGATATGTTTCTTTCATTTTGTGTATTTTGCTACGCGAAATCGTGCAGCATTCAACGCGTTAAAAATAGTGTCATCTTACTTGGTGGCAAACGGAACAAAGTGCATGATGCGACGAATGACATCGGTCGCATAGCCATGCCGCTCTCTGCAATGGTTTCGTGCAAGCCAAGCAACACGCGTGTATTACTGTCGATTGCTGGTTCAATTGCGAGACACTGGGGATCCAAACTGACTGGATTATCTGTGAACATATGATGTTTGAATATTTGATGATGAATATATTGCTATTCCCCATCCTAATTGTTATTTAACCCTCTGTGGGCCCATGTAACTTTGAAGTCACATATCAGTATATTGGCATCTTGTTGATTTATTTTTGTTTGCATTCAAAGTGGTAAATAAAATGAGGTAATCGATTAACTGCAACTTTTATACGCTCAGGCGTGAAAGTTTAACGTCATTGTAACTTGAAAGTTACGAAATATGTTCGTTTGATGAAATTATGGAAACTATTGAATACATTGTTCATTCGTATTCATATGTGGATATTTATTAACTTTGTACTGCATAGATTTTGTTATAATCGTGAACAAAAATTCGGCCCATAGAGGTTAATCAAATATTCTTTAAATATGGGATATGAAAGGCTGACTAACCTGTGTAGCTACGTTCCAAAGTTTAAACCTCGCAAGCATGTCTAAATACTCTAGTATCCAATGTTCTTGAACAGCTGTTTCAATGTTCAAGTTCTTTCGCTTCTCACCTAACGCTATCAGAATCGACGCAGATGTTTGTATGTCTCTGAGGGCTGCGTGATGTTTCAACGCTTCCTCGATTAAATTCGTCGGGTCCCAAAATTGTGGTTTCGGTATGTTCGAAACGGTTAATTGACTCGGTTGATCCTCGATCATCAACGAAGCACAGTCCTCGTTAATATCTGGTGGGTGATTAGGGAATTGTTCTGGTGGCGGAGATCTGTCTTTTATCTCGTGTCGCAGGGGAAACGCCTCTTTGGATAATGTCCAGTCGTTATCGTTGTTCATTATATTATGTACGTAACTGGAAGTATATTCCATCGTCATTGGTTCAAATTCACTTTCACCGAACAAGAAATCCCCTTTCGATGAGCCTTTGTTGTCGATGAACGTTCGTTTGTAGCTGTAAGTTTATATTGCAGTAGATAGCAATATTAGCGTGTAAAGTTTAGAAGTTTACCTGGGTAACAAAGACCCTATAGAATGCTGGTTTTCTGGTGTTTCGTCAGTCTCGGTCTCGTCATCGCCTCCGCTAGTCGCTCCTGTTACTTCTCCTTGCAACGATTTCACGTCGTTCTCGTGTCCTTCGAAGTAAGTATCATTGAGAATCATTGAACAATCCTGTTTACATCCTTCAAGATATGAAGATATCTGTACCTGCATTCAGCTGATCTATGTTAGGTCCAATCGTAATCTGTGCTAAGTTCAATGTGTTTACGATATCCTCCTTAGAAGCAGTTGGAGGTGTTTTCAAAATAGATCCCATAGGATTGGCATATAAAGTTTTTATGATACTCCAAACTGTACTGATCTGATTGAAATCATTAATCGTATTAGAGCAAGCGCAGGATAGAGTTTTGTTAAGCAGTCACTTACATCATTTCTACCAGCGTTTCTCGCAACCCCGGCATTATGATCGCAAATGTCATTTAATCTCCCAGACAGCAAGTAACCCTCTGCGCACGCCTTGAACCATTTTGGCTCCCGTGGTACGCTTATAGTAAATCTATGCATTACGCTGGATGCCATGCAAAATGTATCATTCGTTGCAACTGCCTTTCTACAAAGAAATGTCAACTGATGTCTCGTGTTCCCGTTTTATAAGCTTTTGCGAAATTGGGTTCATTTATACGGCGAATTTATTAACCTCATTATATTAGTGAACTGTTTCATTGCGGTTGTAACATGAACATTTACTTTACAAGCATATGCAATATCTCCTTTCGGATTCAATGCAATACCTTGTGGATTCGCTTTACTTGCTGGTCTAGTAGCATCGTTGAACACATGATGATACAAAGTACAGTCCTGCATTAGTAACGATTTATTAATGTATTATAGTACCGTCGTCAATCCTTCAAATTTTCTATTATTCTTTTCCCGTGAAAATTACCCTGCTAGTCGATAAAAATGATTGTGGATTGCCTCTCCATGCTACACCGGTCGGAACGTCTTTATGCTCGTTGAAACTTGCGAATGGAATATATGGTCTACGTATATCCCATACATTTATGCTACAGTCTACAACAAGAGCGCAACTGGATATATGATATTTTCTTTGAGGCCTCCATTTTATACGGCCTACCGATGCTATGGTATGTATGACATAATCGCAACTGGGTTTACCCGAAAGATCCCACACCTAGGTACGAAGTTTCAAAAGGAAAGTAGTTGATAAACGGTGGTTCTGTGATAATATGGAACATGAAGAAATACCTTTATAGTTTTATCTCTGGAAGCAGTTGCAAGCCATGTAGTTTCAGGGTGCCAATCACATGCAAATATAGGACCACTATGAGCGGTAAAATGTTGGAAATAACGATCTGGTTTACGCAAATCCCATTGCTGAACATGTCCATTTTCAGAAACAGCAGCAAATGTATGTGGAGAGTGAGGACAGAATTGTACATCGCGTACAGATTCTGTGTTACTGAAATTATTGATATTCTCTAATGCTTTTCATTATGAAACTTTCCAATACTAGAAAAATTAAAAGATCAAAGCTAATTACCTATAAAAGGTCCTAGCAGCTTCTTTTATTCTTAGATCGAAACACTTCATAGTACCATCTTGAGAACCAGATATGAGCCACATAGGTTCAGTCATATGAAAACTTACTTTATTTACAGTCCTTTTATGATCAATAAAGACATGTTCCTGCTTGGATCTTGACGATTTATTTAAATTCCATACTACCACTGCACCGTTTGTGGCTGCAGTTGCCAATATATGATCTAAATACCATAAGTATTATGAAACATTTGTTAATTGTTCTTATACATGTATCTATTTTACTTTGTATTTACATATGTTCAATATAATTTTTATAAATTATATAGTGTTAACTTACCATCTATTAAATTCCATGCTACATCGTTACAAGAAAAATTTAAATTCAAGTTTTTTCCAACACGTAGATTACAAGCCTCTTCGAACCTATCTTCCAATAATGTAAATATTTTAAAAACTGCAATAAAAAAATAGTAACTTATCATTATTGATAACAAAACAACACAAAATATTACTTATTTAGAAGCTATCAAATTACCATTACGTCCTGCTATAACAACTTGACTATTGTCTTTGTTCAGTGCCAATGCATTTGCTGGACCTTCTTGAGTAATGCAAACAGTCTTAGAAATCATTTCGGAGTTCTCTGAGTTTGTAACAGGTCATAGCACGCCAGTTCTGGGTTTACCAAATGCAATCATTCGGTAAGTAACAGTTACTCCATAATTAGACAGAATCAATAATGAACACGTATAAATTGAAAGACAAATCCATACATTCCTAAATTAGTATGCAGAATAAAATGCTCACAATGTTGTTTTCGGGTTGCAGTCTTTGCTTACGAAAAGATAAGACAGGTAATAATCATAGATTTAAGTGTTGTATTCTGTCAGTTTCTGCAACCACCGGTCGGTATCATTTATCTATCAGTTTAAGGCTTTCACAACGGATGGCGCCTGACGACAATGACTTTAAAAAGAGGGTATTCATCATGGTTGCCAAGCAACAGCATGTAAACAAAAACACAATTTCTTATGATTTTGAAGTTTTTGCTAGAAGAAATAGATTATTTTAGTTGAAAGGAATCTGTAAGTATATGGTGAATTGCACTTTATAAAATGTGTGTTTCATATCGCACTCATTTATTTCGATATTGTATATATTGTACTTTCAATCAAATTAAAAGAAATCATTATGCAAGGTTCTATTCTAATTACACTGTCCATCATAATGAAAAACGTGGTCTTTTCTACGTAAAACTGGATGACAAGTGTAAGACATACTACTTGAGCAATCATAATTTAATGTCATTCTAATTTATATAATAAGAGTACATGGATTCGTATAGAACATTCTTCATTGTGCCTTCTTTAACTGTTTATTAATGTAACTAATCTTTCCTTTTTTACTAGTAAGAGCTGTACTACAATATGTAGCAGATGGAAGAGTTTTAGATATGCAAAGTATTAACGTACCATACAGATACACAGGACATGGTTTAGCAAGATTACTTGCAGAGGTACAATCAATTTTTCTAATATTTATTGTTATACATGGAATTTGATATCATAAATTACATCTAAATTATATTTCCAGACTGCATTTACGTATGCCATACTAAATCATTACTATATGTTCTTAACATGTGAATATATGCAAAAGTATTACCTTGCAATTAAGAATCCTGATCTTGAGGAGCTTGTTGTTGGACCACAGAATATATTAGAAGGATTTGGTTCAGAACCATTAGATCCGAATATTATTTATGAACTACCGGATCCTGAAGATTTTTCAATATAATCTATTTAATATTTTTATTACAATGATTATTCAAATTTTATGAAATAAATAAATAAATCAACTACATATTTTAATTGCATTTATATAATCTACATTCTATTCATTTATAAAATGGAGGAAATAGAATACACAACTGTGATTGAATGGTATTGTCGTCAGTTCTACTATAATGGAATGTTAATGTATTGCAAAGAAGCATGTGAAGCATATCCAACAAGTGAACGCTTAAGAATTCTATTAAGTCTTGCATATGCCCTAAACAGAAAAAATCAGGAAGCAATTAAAGAATGCTTAAGTATGTTAAATAATGCTGATGCAGCTTTAGCAGCATTGCTTCTGCAGAATATAGCATATGCGAGTAGCGAGAATGTTGAGAAGACTACTTTGATGCAAATTGAAACCAGAATTAGAGATGAAAGAAGGAAAGCATCTCCATATGCATTGGCATTAGCAGCATTAGTATTGACTTTAGTACAAAAAGTTGAGAAATCTAAAGATTACATAGAAAGAGCTTATAAACTAGACTCCTCTAATATAAATGTTTTGTTAATTAAAGGATGGGTAGATTTATTTATAGTGAATGAAATCAATTTGGACACATCAAATTTGTTTGAAATGGTTTTAAAGGAACAACCAAAGAATGTATATGCTCTTCTTGGTTCTGCAAAGTATAAACAACAGCATGGTGACAGTGCAGGGGCAATATTAACATTGAATTCATTGATTGTACGTTATCCTAAATTGTACCTGCCTTTAATAGAAAAGTTGCACAATCAACTGACGATGAAAGATTGGGACCAAGTTCTAGAGACTGCTAACAGGATATCATCTATTGATTCAAATAACATAGATGCTTTAAAAGCACGAGTGTTTATAACGATTTGTAGGAACGGAAATTACGAGGAAGGATTGAAAGATCTACAACCATTTTTTAGAAATTTGATACTAACAGAAACACGGAACGTTACTGTTTTAGTTAACAACGTTCAATTATTCTCGCGATTAGCGTGTAAAAATCAAGAGATTCTGTTAGAACTTGCAAGAACCGTGGATCGAGTATTGCAACAAAATTCTAAAAATTCAGATCTTATGGTTGAGCTGGGGAATATATATGTGTCACTGGGAAAAGCAAAGGATGCAGAACATTATTATAAAAGTGCTATTAAAATAAATGAGTCCTCTTTCTCAGCTTTGATAGGCCTGGCGCAATGTCAACTTTCAGACACCTCAATTGAGGGGCTGAACTTGGCACAGCAACAAATTGATTTCCTTATGGAGATGCAATCCAACTCGATGAATGCAGAATTACTTTTTATGTCTGCAAAGGTAAAGACCAGTGCTCCGAGTCAAGCTCTAAATGACTTAGACAATGCAGCTACTATCATATTAAATAACTGTAAACATGTACCATACGGATATGATTACATAAAAAGATTAAATCCTGATCTGTGCTTAGATATTTGCAAGCAACGTTTAGTTTACTCAATAACAAATAGTGTAACAAATCTGGAGGAGAAAGTAGTAAATGATGAAGAGCCAAGCTTGTATTTATTGGAACAGCTCACAGATGCATACCCTGGTTTAATTACAGCACAATTGTTGCTGAGTAAAGCTAAAATGCAGAGTGGTGAGTTGGAGGATGCTGCCAATATACTGAAGAATATTCTGAATAATGTTGATTCATCTAATGCAGAAGCACACTTATTAATGGCTCAGATCTTGGCTTGTCAGGGAAACTACCAATTGGCTTCTCAAAGTCTTGAAGTTGGTCTGAGCTATAACTTTAAAATCAGGGATAACCCTATTTATCATTTAATCATAGGCATCGTTCAGAAAGAAAATAAAGACATTGAAAGTGCGATAAAAAGTTTCCAAACTGCAATGTCCTATGCGGGACTACAGCCTCGTGAAAGCAAGCTGGAAACTGTGCATATCTCAGCGTCGGATACAGCAACGTTGTATCTCGAATTGATTTCTGCATATGGCAAGATGAGACGATTCAATGAAGCAATTACCCTAATACAAGAGGCAAACTTAAGGTTTGGGAACACTATTGAAGAAGGTAGAATACTGATAGGACATGCAGAACTACTTTTAGAAATGGGAGAATTGGACGAGGCCATCAAGTGCTTGTCTAGAGTAACTTCAGATCAGCCTTATTACCTGCAAGCACACACACGTCTGGCTGAAATCAATTTAAAGTATAAAAAGGACAGGCTTGCCTTTGCTATGTGTTTTAGGTTTGTTCTTCATTACACTTCCTTATTCGTATCTCTTTAAGCATTGTCTACATTTATTTGTTTACAGAGAATTAGTGGAGCACTGTCCTGGTCCAAAGACATATAGTATGCTGGGTGATGCATATATTTCCATACAGGAACCAGAGCGAGCAATAGAAGCATATGAACAAGCCATGAAACAAAATCCTATGAATAAGTTGCAGATAGCCAGCAAGTTAGGGAAAGCCCTTGTAAAAACACATCAATACACAAAGGCTATAAATTATTATTGGGATATGGTGAGACAAGAAAATTTCAAGGAATTGAAGTTAGATCTTGCTAAGTTATTCGTGACAATGAAACAGTATGATAAAGCAGAGTCTACATTGGTACAAGAACTGCAAGGCAGGTATTATTTATATTAAATATTTGATCATGGTACTCATTCGATGCAAATAATTCGATATTTCAGAAGGACGTCGGGATTCTGATTTGCAGAATCTAGAGGTACGCGGTCAATTATTGCTTTTACTTGCGAAAACAAGAGAAAAAGCAGATAATATTCACGGCGCTCTGACTGCGTTGAAAGAAGCTAAAGAGAATCAACACAGGTACATACAACGTCTAGGAAGTTCTACTATGGAAGATGAGAAGCAAATCTTGGCGAATATCTGCCTGACTATGGCCAACTATTCGTCATCTTTAAGAGATTATGATCAAGCAATAACACATTACAAAGAAGCTTTGAATCATAAGCCTGCGAACGTGCAAGCTCTTTTGTCACTGGCAAAGATATACATGCAGGTGAATGATCGTAATTTCTTGAGTGGAGTTTCCTATAGATTTCTCAATAATGACCCGTATCTTTGATTCCCAGACTAACAATTTAGACAAATGCGCGCAGAGCTGTGCAGCTTTGTTAAACGCAGATCCGAACAACGAAGCGGCTTCCATCATGATGGCAGATCTCGCGTTCCGAAAGGTAGATTTTGACACAGCAGCATATCACTTCAAGCAATTGTTGCTAAAGCAACCAACGTACTGGACTGCACTCGCAAGGCTGATAGAAGTCTCACGCAGGACAGGTAGAAGATACTTGAAAGAACTGCTGAAAGAATTGGAAATTGATTTATATTCTCTCTACATCAGGGAACATGGATGATCTCGAGGAATGGCTTCATCGCGCAGAGTTAGGGATGAGCGGATCAAACTTGGCAGCTGGGTATTATTACTGCGCTGGCTTGTTAGATTGGCGCACGGGAAGATTAAACTCCGCGCTTCGTCAGTTTAATTTTGCAAGACGTGATCCTGAGTGGGGTCAACAAGCAATATATAACATGATTGAGATTTGTTTAGATCCGGACGATGATTCCTCTCTTTCCAACGAAGTCTTTAACGACGATGACAGCGAGTACCAAGACTCTAGAACGATGGCCTTGAAAACTGCCTACCGTCTCTTGCAGGTAAAGCTACCAGCTCATAAAAGCTGCTTCTAACTGTTCAAAAAGTGTACACTCAACCATTCTGCTTCAGGAATTAAATCCCAAAGGCAGTCCTCACGAAATGTTAACGCACAGGCTGCTAAGTAATTTCTTCCTGCTGGCTACAAAGCAAAAGTCGAACATAGAAAAGGCCTTGCAAGATTGTACTGCGCTAGCCAGCCAAGAAGCTCTGAGGGATCACGTAGGGCCAGCCCTTGGCATGGCAATGGCTCACATCCTTCTCAAACAAACTCCCAGAGCCCGGAACCATTTGAAACGCGTCAGCAAGAACATATGGACCTTCGAGGACGCCGAGTACTTGGAACGCTGTTGGCTGCTCTTAGCCGAGATTTATGTGCAATCGAACAAATACGACTTGGCTAATGAGCTGCTGAGAAAGGTCTTGCAGCACAATGCTACTTGCGTGAGGGCTCATGAATTGTCTGGCCACATAGCCGAGAAAGAGCAGAACTATAAGGAAGCTGCTCTGCAATACAGCCAAGCTTGGAGGTACGGTGGAAAGTCCAAACTTTCTGTAGCCTACAAACTGGCTTACTGCTCCATGAAGGCTAAAGTGTACGCTGAAGCAATCGACGCCTGCAATGATATCCTAAAACAGAGTCATGATTACCCACGCGTGAAAAAAGATATTCTAGAAAAATGTATCAATAATTTACGCACGTAATAAAAGGTCTGGTTCACAGAAAATCAACGCAGTGTTGTTTACATTTTTTTTCTATCAGAAAATACTCTCTGCGTGACTCTCAAGCTCAAGTAGACGTTATAAAGTGGCTGAAATCCAGATAACGGGCAGTCCTTATCGAAGAACCATAGACTCTACTTACCAAAATTAACTTATTCGAGTAGATTCGGCTCGAACCGCCTTGTAGATACCTATAAACGCATTCGTAATCGTTGCAAACGTCAAGTAGGAGTTCCGTGAATCACAAATGGATTCGAGTATCTACGAAACTGACGAAACCGTCGTGACTCACGCGTCGCGACGTGACGAGGACGTTTTGCGAGTGGTCGTCACCGACGGGAGCAGTGACATAGCACTGTCCTTCCTTTACAGGATTCTTTCCGATGAAGTATTCGGTCCGGATCAATCGATCTTCGTAAGCGTGTACGAGTTCCCGGAGAAAGCGGTGTTTCTGGAGAGCGTAGCCATCGAGCTCACGTTCTTCAGCCCCAATCTTCTGCACGGTAAACTCTTTTTAAAAATAAGAAATAAGAGATTCTAGGAAAAAAGATCTCATCGGATCACGGATATTTTCCTAAACCAAACATCTAGCGAACTGCATTGAAATCGCAACACTGTGGAACTATTAATGACTGCAATATATTTCGCGATTAATTTGTCAGAGGAGTAGTTAAGCAGCGGAAACAGATTTATGCGTGTGTCTGTAAACACTATCTGCTGTAGATATAACGTACGGTCACGATGCGTCTGTCGCATTCAAAGACGCAGACATTGTGTTCTGCATCGGCTCAGCGAGGGAGTACGCGTTCAGCGAGCAAGAACACACGGATTTATTCTACAAGGAATACATTTACGCTGCTAGGGATTATGTAATGATGCTCTGCTGAATTCGTAGAATATTTCATTGTTTTACAGCGCTTCACTCTCCGCTATAGGGTGAATTCATCGAGAAATATGCGAAAAGGGACGCAAGGATCATAGTGCTTGGGAACACAGCTGCTACCGTCATATCTCGCTACGCAAGGTCGATTCCACGAAAGAATATAACCGCACTGTCGTTCTTCAACATGCAAATGGCTGTTGCACACGTACGCTATGCAGGTTCTTTGAAATCGTGTTGCATTCTTTAACCAGTTAAGTGTGGATATTAGTTTGAAAAATCTCTCCTCGCAATAAAATCAAATAATGAAGTGTGTACTCGTTAAACGCAGGCCAAATGCACTTAAAATATAGCCTAACGAAAAACTAAAGGGAAACGAAGAATTACATGTTTGTCTCAAAGATAAATAATCCATCGTTGAAAAAGTTAGCACCATTAAGAGTTTTAAGGTGACGTGTATACTCGTCACACAGTTAACTGGTTAATAGACTCTTTATGTTACTCTTTCATCCTTTCGTTATTGAAGTGTCCAGAGACTATCAGTTCTGCTCGTCCAAAATCGTCGTTTCAGCTTCCAAAATTGAGAAAACGGTTCCAGATCGCAGCTCAAGCAGATTGCCATCCCACAGAAGTGAAGAACGTCATAGTGTGGGGCAACAACAACAGGTATTGCTTTCTGGATTGCAGGTATATGTACCTGGCGAACGGAAAAGAGGTAACCGACGACTTGAAGGTGTGGCTGAGGAACGACCTCCCATCGGTGAGAGTGTTGAACAGTCTCAATGGAAGATACATTTCATCGGACTCCAAAAATGAAACATATTTTAGTAGATCATGCAGAACACCCTGCGTAGACCTATGTACTTGAGGTCCATGGCGTACGCGTTGGCGGAACACGTGAAAATCCTGTGGAACGGCACTCCAAAGGATCAATGGATCTGTATGGGGGTGCTATCCGATCATTCGTATGGCATCTCAGCCGGAACGTTCTTCTGTTACCCTGTTTATTGTAAAAATAAAGAGTACGAAATCGTGCAGGTAATGGATTCTGATCCTTATTCTTCTCTTGAAACGCTTTGGAAGGTTTATTGGTGATTATATTCCATAGGGTCTCGTAGATGATGAGTACATCAGCAGGTACATCTTGGACATCTGCAGGCTGACGATAAGGGATGTTGAAATCGCTTTGGAACTGTGTGGTTTGGATAATTGAGCTTCTCTGAACCTAATCTCAACTTTCTATCTATTGGAAATTTCGCGATTTTGGTTGAATTTTTAAGTAACACTCCGTTCAGTCTGTCTTTCTTTCTGTGGATCGAGCAGCAATTCTTGTTTTAAACATTCGAAAGTAATGAATTGCGATGCCAACGCTATTTCTGCACGTTTTATTGCCTCATTAGAAGACAAACATTTATTTACAAGTGTCCTGCGCGACATACAGTTTAGGAATTCATCAGGGAAGGGGCGTGTAGCGAGTTAATGGAGCCATTTATTTGTGCATCGTTAACATGGCACTGTTGTTAAGCGAACGAGCGCTCGTCGACGAAAGGCCGATGATTCCCAGCGAATGTACAGAGTGTCTCGAACACTAGCCCCAAGATACGGTGCCCGTCAAGGCTGCATACCCTTAAGCATTTCATTGAATTACACGTCTCGGTGACTTTATACAAATATATAACGCTTAATCGTGGGACACCCTGTACACGATACATACACAATCCTTCTCTAATAGAAAATATACAAAAATGCAATAGACAAACGATACGGATCATCTAACAGTCACTACTAACACATCGACAGGCTGCAGGTATTCATGCAAATGTAAACTTTAACTTATAAACGCTCGAACCAGAAGTTCGTTTCTCCGATCAAGAATTTCACCGCGACCTACAATCAAAATTCCGTTCGATTAGTCACTGTACAAACTTTCTTAGAATCCTCGATCGAGGTATCAGCTTATCAAACATTTCGACACACTCGCAATCGAGAGATAAGTAGGGTAATTCCGGGGGAACGGGCGTACGGTAAAAATGGCCACTTCAATTGCCTCGTGCAAATGATTGATATTGCTACAATCGATGTTTCTTCATTATTAATTCAAATATCTCTCAGTGATTTTCTAAGAAAGTAAATAAAGCTTGTTCAAAGATCAAACCTAAAGAAGTTCTCGAACGGAAGTTACAAAAAGTGAATGTCACTCGATTATTCTGGATTGAAATTTAATACCGCTTTTCTATTATTGATCGTCATGTTCTGAAGTAAGGGTAGATACAAGTGAACCAGGAATTTCTCTTTTTTCTTTAGTTAGTTATCCACAAAGTTATCAAAGGTATGAAATGATGCGTTTCGAAGAAAATAAGGCCATCTTCCCTAGAATTACCCTAAATGGTTTCGCGGAGAATCTCGCGTGTCGGACTTGATTCAAAGATCTAGGTACATGATCCGCGTGGCGGAAATCGCCCCGCAGGCGGCGAGGGTGCTCGCCACGCAGACCACCGCGGTGGTGGTGCCCGATTTGCTGACGATCGTGCCCAGGCAGCAGGAGAGCAGGAATTGCGCCAGGAAGACCATCGACGAGACGATCGCGACGTCGGTGCCGAGGCCGCGCACCCCCTCGCTTTGCACGGCTTCTCCCTCGGCTGTCACCTCGAACTGCAAAGCCAGTTAATTGAGTTATCGCGGCGAATGCAACGGGCAGACTGCGATCCACCGTTGCATCACGCTGCTGCAGCGGGTTTAATGGTATTAAACAATGATCTCCGTCGTGGATACTTGTCGTGCTTCGCACTGTATCAAAATGGCTACGCTAACTCGTGAACAGATCGCGAGGCTTATCTTCTGTGAACGTGTCCGTTTAGACGGCCGAATGATTTTCTGGGAAACTCGATGGCTGTTTGTATCACGATTCGAGTAACGAAGATATCAAGTATCCTCGTTGTTCCTCGCGTTTGTCGTTGACACGAGAGGGACGTGAATGTCAATTGTTCCTAAGGAGTCTAGCGTTACGCGTCTCTGGTTACACGTAATTGTTCGCAAGGCTGATGCGATGAATTTCAGCGAGATGCTCCGTCGGGAGCAATCAAGGTTCCTGTGGAGATTAAAATGATTCTCGACTCACCGTCGACGAAGCGTGGTAATGTGCAACTAATAAGTACGGCATGGTGAACAGAGTGGAGTACATCACTCCGGCTGTCCAGGAGAAGATGATCACTCCCACGGGATGCTTGGTCAGAGCCATCATCATCATCCCAGTGCTGTAGAACAGCAGGCCGCAGACGTAGACTCTTCGAGCTCTGTTCAGCCGAGAGAAGTCTCGTGAGAATGGTATGAATTATGAGAACCACTTGGTTATTTATCGTTTCAGTGAAGGGGAAATTACTTGTAGCGTTCTATCAACCTCTCGATGATCAACGAGTAACAGGAGCAGGACAACGAGTACATGGACATCCCCCAGCAGCCGAATCTAACACCGCTTTCGTATAATTCTCGCTCTTTGCTACCGTCTGGTGCCTGTAATAAAAGATTAGCCGAGTATAGTGATATTATAGTGATTCTTTTCTAGTAAGTAATATAGGATGTTAATGAATGAACGTGTTAATGTTGTTACGATAGTTCAAGGTTTAAATTAACCTGCGGATTACCGCCATAGACAGCTTCCCCGACGAAATCCGTGAAGTAGAGGGAATAGCAGACATGGGCCATCCAGCAGAACAAGTTCGTCAAGCACACCATACGAAGACTGTGCGGCATATACACGATAGACATCAGGTACTCCCTTAAAGTGGCCTTGGGATTCACGTCGGCGACATCCTCGGCTCCGGAAGCTCCGAAATTGGTCTCGTGCGCTATGACGTCTGGCACTATGGGTACCTGTCCTGCCCTTTTCTCTGGTTCCTGTACTGGCAGCGGCTTCAGAACGAATTCCTGTCCATTGTTAACAGTTTCGTCGCAGTTAGATTGATTGCTTGCAGCTGGGAATGTAGTTCTGTACTGCTAAAATAATAACTACTGAGAAGAACGTCTGTTTCTTTTATTTTGGAACTTTGGGACTTTGGGGCTTCAGAACTTTGGAACTTTGGGACTTTGAGATTTTAGAATTTTGGAACTTTGGGACTTTGGGACTTTGGAATTTTAGAATTTTGGAACTCTGAGACTTTGGGACTTTAGGACTTTGGTACTTTGAAACTTTAGAATTTTGGAACTTTGGGACTTTGGGACTTTGGGACTTTGGCACTTTGGCACTTTGGCACTTTGGAGTTTTAGAATTTTGGAACTTTGGAACTTTGGAACTTCGGGACTTTGGCACTTTGAAACTTTAGAATTGTGGAACTTTGGAATTTTAGAATTTTAGAATTTTAGAATTTTAGAATTTTAGAACTTTGGAACTTCGGGACTTTGGCACTTTGGAACTTTAGAATTTTGAAACTTCGGGACTTTGGTACTTTGAAACTTTAGAATTTTGGGACTTTGGCACTTTGGCACTTTGGAACTCTGGAACTTTAGAATTTTGGGACTTTGAGATTTCAGGATCTATAAACAGTTACAAGACGAATATTTTCATAGTGTCTAGGTTAAGATAATCATCTAAGAATGATTCCTAACTCACATCTTTCTTCGCAGCAGGTTCCTGATCATTATCCAAGGTTCCATAAGACACAGCCTCCTCCGTAGTAATCTTATCGTGCTCCTTCTGCTCGTCTTGCGTCTCTTCCTTGGCCATCTACAGAACACATCACATTAGAACATTCTCGCTTACATTCCTAAACAACGAACCATTTGTTCCTTAAACTGTTCATAGTCGTCTCTCTCCAGCAGCTCCAAAGGGATCTCCTTGAAGCTGGTAATGGTGCAGAACACGCAGATAATGAAAATAATAGTGATCAGTGTGAAGGTCGCGTGTAGATGTCCACCAAGCATCACTCCTATCGCTGTAGCATCCCAATTTATCCCTCCCAGACCGTATCCCATGAAGCCTCCTAAGCCCGCCATTATGGTGAACGTGCTCAGACCCTTCGCGTGGTCCTCTGTAACACGGAAAACGAACAATACGTTCCATCACACTTCCAATATTTAGAGAACAGAATCTAGAAGCAACTGTTATTAGCATAAAAACGATTAATATTATTATTACAGTGGTTACTATATTACAGATAGTGAAAGAGTGGATCTTGAGTAATCGAGAACCAAGAATAAATATATGTATTTAATAAAATATGGAAACAACACGGACAACACGTAAAAAATACAACTCAATGCCACGGAGGCCAACACACGACTCTCCCGCAACTCTCTTACATTCTCTCCCAAAAATCCTTCTCTCCCCCACAAGCATTCTTCTCACTCATCACAAACACTCGGATGCACCCCTGGAAAGTTGGCCCTGCAGTCTTGGGTTCGCGACGTTGCAGGCCACCTTCCTTCGACCGTTTTACAGCCTGTACTTCGCTCACAGTCATTCTTACATTCACTCTTCTGAAAAATACCTCAACCTACGCTAAGAATTCTACATTATTTACTTGCCAGGTGTAGTAACGTCGAGCAGATACGCCCTAGCTGGGCTCTGACAGGCGTCGGCGTCGAAATCGAGGAGGACCGTGCCCAGAATCGTGAAGAAGATCCCCCAGGAGTGCGAGGGTGGCTTCACAGCATCCTCTTTCCCCTGTTTCGCCGTAGTACGATGACCAAGAGGGACCGTGTAGTTCGCGTGAACTGCAGGCGTGTCGCCGAAAGCGTAGCCCATGTCCTCGCCGTTCGGAACTAGTATCAATCCTAAGGAAATAACGACGTTGCGAATGAATTATTGCTTATCAGTTGATACCAGTTGATCCTCTACAATAACCTGTAAATACATTGAATATAATCACCTATCAACACTCCAATTGCCAGCAAGAAGATAAACGGTCTCCGCCTGCCGTGCTTCGACCGACACCTGTCGCTCAAGCTACCTAAAATCGGGGTGACGAAGAATCCAATCAAAGGACTCAGCGCCCAAACGAGCGTCATGTGCTGATGATCGACACCGATCTTCAACAAAGTCGGCGAGACGAACGCTGTTTCAGCTGCGTATGAGAACTCGATCCCCATCACGGCTGCGGAGACGCGTACTAACTCTCCTCGCGACTTTTTCCTTAACAGAGATAGTCCTTCTTAGCACTTACTATCTTTTGTTTCAACTGTTGAACTACCAAATCTATGATTGAGAAGGTAACGTGCTTCTCTGAGAAATGAATGAGGAAATCGATCTATCGCGCAAAGTGTATTATAAATGTAATATAAATCAATTTCAACTCACGTTTATTATTACAAATAACCTCTTATAAAATAGTAAAGATCGAACGAGCCTTTGGTTGTCGAAATCATTCCAGATTTATTGAGATTCCAATGTATTATAAATCAATTGGAATCTCAATAAATCTGGAATGATTTCGACAACCAAAGACTCCTTTGATCTTTGCTATTTTCTAAGAGGTTATTTCTAATAATAAACATGAGTTCTATAAAGTCAACATCATCGAGTACCTATAAATATGCGCATAATCCTCCAAACTTCTCTCGAGCTTCGGCGGGCCCCGGAAATGGTTCAAGAAACCTTCAACCCCCTGATCCAAAGGTATGCCGCTCTTCCACTCCTTCCAAACCTCCCATTTCTCCTTGAACTTGTCACGAACATCGTGGACCCTACCGGCGAATCCTTCGTATTCGTGCAGTTTATCCACCATGGTTCACTCTCGGCAATCGAATCCTTCTCAACAACACTTTCCCCTCAAACAGAGCCAAATCTCATCGTGTTCCAACCGACACGTCATCCCGAACAAAACACCAGTTCTCTTCGCTCCCCGAAAGATCTTAATCGTCTTTTAACCGGTTAACTGTGTTCGACGGATACACGTCATTTTAATTATTTATTTCTTCAGATAAACATTTGTATAGGGTAGACCAAAGCGAATCGGATCGAAATAAACATCCAGTTTACATTCATCGCCTCTTAATTTCGACAGGAAAACCTAAATCTTTCTTATTTTATCATTAACCGCTTACAGACGATTCATTAAAGTAGGTATATCTACAAAACCTTCAACAAATGAAGTGGAATAAGCTAAATAGATGCCTATACAGATTAAATAATAAAAAGAGGAAACTGTACTAATCTTCTGCTGCTTGAGTAACTAAATTATTTGCCAGCAACATAGTATTCCAAACAAAGTTTCATCCCACCAAAATGTCAACATTCGTCCCGAAAGGATCGACCCTTTGCACTCCGAAAATTTGTCACTAGAAATATTCAATTTATTTTTATGAGACATAAATGACATTTTTTTCAACTAACTTAACGAGGAATCTATTCCCAAAATAAGTATTTCCACATTTCACGTATCGACAGATTACTCAAGACTTAACGTTAAATACGAAATTTTACAACTTCGATGCACCAATCGAGTGGTGACGAAAAAGCAAAGGGTTAACATCCAGCGCTTTCATTTCTCTGACAAACAGAAAACGCTCCGATCCGCCTCGATCTACCATAATCCTCTTTCATTTCGGTATTTCGTTTCAATGCATATTAAGTACGTCTAGCCCGCGTTCGTGCACGCGTCATCGGTTGATTCGATCACACACCCCGCGAGAGATTTCGAACGATTCCACAGTTAACCGGTTAAAGTTGAGAATTTACCAAGGACCATTATCGATAGGTTCGCAAGCACATCCTGCCGAACAGATCGTGCACCGGAATAGATCGAGAGGGTTGGTCCTGAGGGGTTGATGCTTCGCTGGCGAGACACGAGACCCGACTGGCGGTCCCGCAAGCTCGGTGGCCAAGACGAAAGCTCGAGCGACGTCGACTTTCACCGAGGCCTCTCTCGCCGGGGTCGGGCTCTTCGTCGCTGCTCGCCGGTCCCGGAGGATGTAAAATGAGCTTTCCGTGTACCGAGGGAAACCTGCTTACCGGGAGGCTTGCTCGTTACGGTTGATTAAAATCGCTTCTGTCGTCGGACCGGCTCGATGGAGCCTGTTGCCAGCCTGACATCGGATACAGCTCGGACTTTATGGAGTGATAAGGATGCGGCCTGCGTCTGGGAGCTGCGAGTCGAGCTTTCACGAAGCGCTCTGCGTCCTGCGAACACGATAGCAAATATGTAGATTTCATGAGGATCGGTGTTAGACAAATATTTGGTTTACGATGGGATCATTTAGTACGCGTGTAATTAACACTAGGTTTACGGGCACTTATTGTACACTTCATTCTACTATTCCTAAAAGAATTGATGCTCGTTTATTTAGATCGTGGAAACTGGAGATTCGATAGCAGGTAATTGGGGTACATGTCAGTGTGATCGCATCAATCAAAATCAATATGCGTCAATTTGACGCGTTCCGTAAACCTAGTGTTAATTTCAATAGTTTCTGTTGATGAAACTCTGCCGGATAAGGATTTCATTTTCTTATCAAGCTGTTTGAGCTTGCAGTTTTTATGGTTCTTTTCGTTTTAGATTCTTTTGTTCCACGTGTTCTTTGGATCTTTCCTATTGAGCAATAGCTTCTATCGCTACTGAGAATAATCCTCTTGCATCAGCTCAAATTTAAGACAGACCCTAATTTAACCTCTCAATCGGGCACTTCGCGTAGGTTAGGATCTAAAATTAAATAAGATGTTCGCATGGTTTAAGCGTATGGCGGGGACGTGTCATTATGATAAATTGAATCGTAGGCGTGAGACAGGGTTCTATGCGATGGAGTTGTCGATGCGTATTGCTGTCGTAAGCTCCGACAAAGGGGAAGCTCGGACCAAGGCCACATACGCAACAAGACCTAGTTTGTAGGACTTCTCTCGGCAGTTAATACGATAGTTCGATATGCTTGCGACGGTGTAGCGCCGAGCTTTCTTGAAAAATCCGCTGGCGTTGTCTTGTCGCCGAAGACCATCAGGTAAATTCGGTTAGACCCTGGCTCACTGCTGATACGAGTGCGCATGTTGCGTCTCAAGAATTTTTCATTACTTGCTCTCTAAAAGGATTTTTCATCAATTTCAATGTTTGTAGACCGAGAAAAATTAAAAGACGATGCGAATTATTTTTTCGTGATCCTGAACACTAGAACTACCAAGCATTTAATACGATTAATATGCAATCCCTATAGAAATTGTAATAATTGATTATTATCAATTCCTTCAGACATTCATTATAGATTCAAGATCATTTCGAATATTCAATGCTTCTAAGATACCAATAATTACGAAATAAAAACGTTGAAGCCAATCATTTTGTACGATAGTTCTAGTGTTAACTAGCATTGTCTTTCGGTTTTTATAGATTCAAAACCATTTCGAATATTCAATGCTTCTAAGATACCAATAATTACGAAATAAAAACGTTGAAGCCAATCATTTTGTACGGTAGTTCTAGTGTCAACTAGCATTGTCTTTCGGTTTTTCTTTTCCCTTGAACGTCGCGACTGCGCGAAGATAGTTTAGAGGTAAAGGATAAGTATACATCGTGATGTAGAAGAGGATATTCTCGTTTTATAAAGCATAGACATCGCACATTCGAGGCAACAGTCGATCAACGTGTTTCGTTTCATCGTGGACCACTCGTCCGTATTATTCCGTCGTCCTCCGCAGATGGAGCGTAAGCCTGATTACACAACGAGGGATTGCTTGATAAGAATAAAGACGACATTTGCACGTGCCTTTAATAGAAACTGCATCTGAAATCATTAGCAGAGCATCGGCAATCGGCGCAGACTGCGCAAGGCTAACCGTAAGGCTGCAGACTAAACAAGTAGACAAGAAAATTTCCTGTTTACAGATACACAACGTAATTAAACAAGATTCAAGTATTCAGCTAGCTAATTAACACGTTGAACGCCTCACGATTTCGCAGAGGAAAATACACAGAATGGAAAAAATATGATATTAAATCATATTTGATATTTGATATTTGATTGAATCGCATTATTACTATTCCACGTTCGTCTAGCTGAATGTCACTGTATTATGTAGCATAATTTACAATATAGAAATGTTTTCATATAATTGTCGTTTCATTGAGTGAACTATAGCAATTCGATTTGGTCGGGGGTCACCGGTGACCCCCATGGCATTCAACGTGTTAATATTAGAACTAGCAAACAGTCAAATAGATAAATGATTATTTTTGGCGTTGGTATATCCGTTAGTCAAAGAAATTTCTAAGGAAATTAGCAGTGTCTCTTCGATCGATGCGAAAGAAGAAATCAGAAATAATTTTCACCCGTCCGGTAGTTCGAATGTCGACGAACAGTCCAGTAACGTCGCGTTAACATCATCGACTGTACGTTTAACAGTGAAACAAACGAATTCCTCTCGTTCGCCCCCGACAACCCGCACACCCCTGTTGTTTGCTCTGTTCTTAACGACACGAGTGTGTTTACACGCGCGTGCATCCATCGTATCTCCGCAAACGAAGCGTCCTCGGTCGAAGCTTTTTCCAACGGGCGCCGATGTAATTTCCGCCCGGGAAATTGCACTTTGTCGATTCGATCGTGTCCCTTTCGAAGCGGATTTCCAATACGATTTAATACGCGCGCGAAGGAGGGAATTCCGAGAGACAGCGGTCGCTCTTGTCTTTCTCGTTTTCCTCGATTCTAATCGTCCACCGCAAAAATTCGCTCAGCCAACTAGAACGATGTTCCAAAATATTTCGGGCGTCGCTCTATAATTCGAATTTTACTTAGAAATCCTTTCCATTGAATTCTCGAAATTCCATGGAGATTCGTTCATTCAACGGGCGACGAATTGTTAATTCGTTCGACGCGAGTTACTTTCGGTGGAATAAGCGATTCGCTGTCGAGTAGAACACGCCGCGCCGTTCGGGAAATGGAAGATTACGTTTCAATGCATCTAGGCTGAATGAATATCGAATCTGGAAATCGAAATAAAGCGTAACGCGTTTCCCCGCGGTAATCCTATTCATCGAGGCGCGCCGTTACCGTCGCAGAAATTGAAACGGACGAACGTACGCCGCTTGCACGTGGCGAAACGAGCGCGAAAAACGGCCGCCGAACGAACACGATGCAATAGGGATCATCATTGATCCGCCGTTCGCAGGGAAATTGATCGTTTTCCACGTCGGACGGCTGTTTTATCGGGAAAGCCGAGGCTCGCCCGAAGGCCAATAAGCAGAGGCTGAACCGACGATGCGAACAGGGAATTCCTTATCCTGCTACATTCCCATTTTCCTGTTTTATTAGAGAAAATTCTGTCCCAGAGTATTTTCCCATGGGATAATTTCATGTGTATTACACAATACTTTCATGTGATTTTTAACCTTGCAATATTCTACATGTGATATTATGCTAAGACAATAACGTGATATTTTATTATTCAATACTTTACTTCATATTCTTCTATACAATAGTGTACAATATTTGTCTACGCAATGAAGTCCCATAGAAACTGTTTCGACGAAGGAATTCCTTAGAACTGATGAGGGGCAATATTTCCGATTTCTCGTCCCATATCCCGAGATTTCATTAAAGCTTATTAAACAAATTGGAGAGTAATATTGCTCCAGCGATCTCGCTCTCTTCTAGGAATCTTAAGCCGCTTGTTCGTATCGTGATCGTTGTCCCGCGGAAACGAACCGGAGACTCGATGAAATTTAATCGAATAATCGGATTGGACGCAGCCACGGTCCTGCCGAGCGGAAAGATTCCTCGTCATTACGGACAACAGCGTCTCTGATGAACGATATTTTCCTAAATAAGATAAAACTTCGAGGAATCAATAACCGCCGTGCTCCGGCAGACGGTTAACCTCTCGATCTATAGACTCAATGGAAATTCGCCGTGAAGTTTCTGAACAAAAGCTACATGGATTTGTTCTTGCTAATTTTTAAATGGACTAACTATAAAGTGAAACGTCGTTCGTGGAAAATCTACGCTAGCTTTTTGGGCGACTAAACGGTGACGCGATTGCAAGTAAAAATCAGCAGCACCGTAAACAATATTGATTTCTAAGAAACGTTTGCGTGAAAATCGAAGCTTATCTACTAACGCCGATAGTATCGGCGAAGTTTGTGTATGCAGGGTGGTCTGCCGCAAACAGTCAGTGTTTGAACACCTGTACATGGACGCCCGCCAGCGTAAAAACGCTTTATTAATAGCAAATATTATTCTGACCGCCGGAAACACAAGCAATTCGTTTGCACAGCTCGCAGATCGTTAATTAACGTTAAAATCGGCATCGAGAAATCAGGGGAAACAAGAATGCGAGGTGATAAGCACGCAATGCAGACAGATTCGTTTCCTTGATCGATTAACGAACACGATGCGAGCTTTTTAACGTTCAACGAAGTCCAAGGATAGCTCGTATGAGACATCGCGGACGATACGCGAAGGTAATTAAACTCCGTAGGTTCAAAGTCGAGTTCAACTGGTTCCGATATCGAACACGCGACTCCTTAAATAATAATAACGCGATCATTCGATGCGCCGTTCGATCCTGAGCTCCGCCATCTTGGAATTCCAGCCGCAATGTCACGAGGACTTACGAAAAAATTAGAGATTCCCCTTTAAAACTTGTCGTATGTTTTTCTTTTCATCTTTTTATTAAATTCCCTAATACACAGTTTATTATTTTCCGAAAGAATTCAATGTGTTTGCTGTCGAAGATTAAATATTACGAAATGTGTCGATTCGCCTTGTCACTGGCTAACCTGCACCCGCCATCTTTACGCAAACGTGAAGTTACGAACGTGACAGTACTATTGTTCGTTTTCAGACAGAAAAACGATGAATAATTGATTGGTGCAGCCGATAGTTTTGTTTCCATGACGACCAGTCCTACATATAAAATCGCTTCGACGCGAATCGAGTTCCGATTGTTAGCCGAGAACAAGGTTAACAGGAAATTTCTCGGCGGAAAGGGTTCGTGCCGGAACAGGACAGAAACCGTCCGATGAACTCTGATGGGCTGTTCTCGCCTCTGCTGGGAATAAGGAACTAATTCGATGGAGTCTCCGTTATCCGAATTAACGTAGAAGCGTTGTGCATAAAATATTACGAAAGGACATTTCTCTATTTACATGTCCCGTGAAAACTGAACGATAAGAATGGAGATTAATAAATCTTTTCTTTTCTAGCGAAAAGAAACAAGGCAAAGGAATAATTTCATTTATTATTTTATTATTGTATTCAGTCGTTTATTATTAAAATCATTATCCACTGTTACAAGTGCACTTTTTAATTATTCGCAGCAGGATAGCTCGATACGTTTAACCTCGCCAACGTTTAACTTCGCGTTGCACCAAAAACGATACTGGTAGTCAACAACAACCGACACTGGTGTACGAATACTTCACTGTGTCAACGTGCATGTGTCCGTGTATGGTAGCAGTCGATAGTCGAGGGCCGAATGACGCCACGGAGCATATTTTCTGTGAAGCGGCGAGCGTTAATTAAATTAAGGAAGGAGGATGCCTTCGCGGAGAAAGAGATTAAACTGTTGTCGACGATAATTGTCACCGGTCCTTCTTTCTTTCCCGCTCCGTGCGTTGCAGCTCGACGGCCCGGTCACTTGACCCCGCCAATAATTGGCGGAATTGCCGGAATTGTATCGCGTAACAACCGTTTGACTGACAGAAAAGGGAAAGAGACGGGACCAGTGGTTAATTAGTCGCCGAGCGACGCTCCGCGCTCCGTTTCTTCGGATCATTACGCCATTGTGGCGTGACCTTGAACAGGAAAACGTTTCTCCAAAAATTATTCGAATGATTTTTTTATCTAACACAGCTGAATGAACCTCCGAGCGTTGCGATTTCGCAGGAGATTGAACTCTTCTTCGGAAACGCAAGTGAGAATTGAACGATGCTTTAAACGTTCTCGCAACGATTCCATCGATTAACGTTGCGCGACGTTGATTTTCGTCCGCATATCGTTTACACTTAAGAAAAAGGAATTCCCAGTTGCTCACTGCTATTTCGCAATGGAACTTCAAATCTTTGTGGAAGCACGCTTATAGAAACCATTTTAAGATTCAGTAAAACCTCTTTCATCGCATTCCCCAAGTTTGCAGCCACTAACTCCTATTCTACTCACAATTATACTGCGGTACATCTACAATGGACGTCCTACAATTCTAAATTTTCAAGTTCATCCACGCATCAGCCGCAAAATGGTGAAGGCCAAATATGAATGGCTCAAACACGCAACGACGACGAAGCGTCTACAAAGAAGTTTGGCGACGCTCATCCATTTTCACAGCTGTATTTACAGCACACGTGCGTATGCTACTGGCAAACCGCCTCTAAAAGAGTTTCTCGACGTTTCTTAGGTGTCGGACAACGACACGAGAAGACTATGCGATGATCCGTGGCCAATTTTCGCAGCTCAGTCGACTTTGTCTTCTCGTTCGGTGTGCTTTGTCACGGCAAACGGACACGCCGCGCGTTCTTCTCTTCTCTCGCCCCCTCTTCCGGTTTTCGTCTTCATTGATCGGACAGAGGAGAGATACAATTGCCGGCTTGATTGATACCGATCGAGAAGCGTGCCACTTCGACGGGGCTCATCGCGGATGATAGAACGGCACGCCTGAATGGACCGCAAGATCGAGACCGGTGAGTCGAACGGAATCCCCGAACTGTGCGGGAGAAGTTTCGCAGTGAAGACGTTTCACGGACTTCTTTAGAGACGTTTGCTCGGTGAGAATACCGATTTCATCTCGTTTTAGACACTGGTGGTTACGACTGCGCTACCAGAAGCGTGAAACTGACCCATTCCTGGATTCTTCTTTCTCTGTTATCGAAAAAGACGCTTCTCCGAGGAATTACCGGAGAAATTAGCACTAGATGAACTGGACCATTCGAGAGAAGACTTAACCCTTTGCACCGTTTGATACAGTAAAATTATAAAGTTTGATGTTTAACACTAAACTTTGTATAACGCGTCACTATGTGAAATATCAAAGTAAATAGTTTTATCCTTCAATTTATCGATTAAATTATTTGCATTAGTCGCAACAAGCATCGTCTATATTTTATCAAAGAGTGTTGAATATTTCTAGTGAAAAACTTTCGAGTGCAAAGGGTTAATGGGTATATTCCTAGCGTTCCTATAGAAGAATTTGGGAAAGTCAGTTCGACTGCTTACTAGTTCTAGTTAAGTTCCGACGACTTAAGGATGAAGTGGCTTTATAGTTGAGACTCTCCTCTTCGTTTCGTTTCAATTCGCTTCGCTTCGTTCCATTCCTGTTTTCATCGAACGATTTATCTTCCCGCGTTTTGTATGTTTTCGTTAGTTTGCTCCTCGATTTTCTTGTCGTTTACCGATATTATTGTAGACGCATTGTACGTAACGAAGATACTGTTTGTTGTTATTCCGTACATTGTAATTGAATTGGAAGCGAAGTTAGCTAAATACACTGTACCGATAACTGTTCAATAGTTCAACGTTTAACCTTTTTGCACCGTGAGTCATCGAATAGTGCAACACGAAAGGCATCTAATGACATTGCGTAAACGATTTATCATTCGCGGGCGCATCTTTCTGGGAGAATAAGCTGGTTATCGTGTGATATAATACCGTGGCGGGCGTTTATCCGCCAATAACGTGTCGCGAACGAACTGTAGAGTGAACAAACCCCAATCGATACGATTTTATCGGTTCGCGGACCACACTGTGTCACGTTCGGACAGACCTCGAGACACTTCGTCGGAGATCCTTTCAAAAATTCTTCTCGCAAACCTGACTTGATGCTCTTCAATCTCTCGCTTCCAAATCTTCCCCGAAATCTCCGAACATCCGTTAATCAACACTGGAACTACTGATCACTTAAATCTCTTTATAAAAAACTGCAAACCTGCGTTTATTCCAATTTCAACGAATAGTTTCATATTGAATAATTAATTACTTTCAGTAACTGCGAAAGAATGAATCAGAAATGAGTCATTTCAACTATTCAGTAGTTCCAGTGTTAATTCTCGAACGTCCCAGTAGCAATGGTAGTTCTAATTCATCAAAATTTTGAAAAAATCATACCTCCATCCACCTTGAAGCTGGCAATCCTCTCACGAGTTCGATTTCAAGGTGGTTTGACGATGTTTGACACGGTTTGACGACGCTCAACCGGTTCAAACTCGTCGTAACTAGTGAGACGACCTTAAACTTCGTCTCTAGACAAAGGAAACGAAGCCTGAGAGCGTGGATCAGCGAAAAGAAGCAGAGATTGCTCGCCTCCGGTTCCCCTGTAACGAGAAGACGAGATCCCAAAGTCAATAACTTTTATAGCCGCCGTTAAGAGACGCGAAGTCGTTGTTCGCAAAGCATCCGACGCTCTTGACACCGTTCCCAGGTAACGGCCGTGCGAAAATAGTCACTTGGCGAAATAAACTCCGGCCCACATGCGCGTTTCACCCCGGCGAAAGTTGAGGATACACCGTTGCGCGGCGTAATTTCTTTCGAAACCCTTATCAACGCTCCGCGCGGAGAAAAATCCACCAACACGCGCACACGCACACGGCCGCCCGTTAATCGTGGCATGGTTATCAGGCCAATTGTCGTTATCAGGGAATCGATAACGGCCGTATAGCTGCAGCAACCTCAAGTGGCTGGCAGCCACTTATCGTGGCTGATTTATCGCGCGATACGCGTGGCGCGAAACGCGTCTCAACAAGTGGGTTTATCGCGCCGCGCGGTTCAAACGTAGCCGCCACGGATTTCGCTATTATCGTTTCTATTCGATTGAAGCGTGCTTTCGACGAGATCTGGAAACTGACCGGGGGCAACGATTGTCATCGAGTACTTCGTACTCCATCGTTTCCATTCGATCTTTGATTTAAACTTTAGAAACCCTTTGCACTCGACGTGCTCCTTCATTGGAAACGTTCGAGACTTTCTGATAAGATATAGACAACGATAGAACGAAGCTATTTTACTTAATATTTCGCATATCTATGCGTCAGAAGTTTAACCCCTTACTATTTATTTTCGCTACCAAACTCGTGTAACATTTTATTATTAATTTAGAAGAAATGCAGAATTTTCCATTCTACTTCAAGCGGAAATTTCATTCGAAGATCATACACTGGTAATAGCGAAATATGGATAATGAACAGCATTGATTGTTGTCAAATTAGTCTAGAAATCTTCATCGCTATAATATTGTATAGGAGACTTTATCATATTGTTATATCGAACGAAATGGCTCTCGCTCTCGAGTGCGAAGGATTAACTATGTACTCCGACTCTCTGATCGTTTAATTGGATCGTGGAATAATCTCCTCGTTATATTCTTACCGTAGTTGCTTCATAGCAAGTGTCTCGATTCTAATGTAACGAGAAAGGATTGATTTGATAAAGCGTCGGAATGTTCAGATCCGACTCACCTGAATTCCACGCGTTCTTTCGCTAAGCGCACCGTTCATTTTCTTCCGGCGGCATTTGACTGGCTATTAGACAGGTTTTCATCGATTTTCCTCCGTTCCCTTCACTCGCGCCTCCTTCAACCGGGAGATGCAATCGTTGAAACCTGTCTCGCAGGTGTCCCACATTGCTTTATAATAGATCTACTCGCGAGAGCGCCTCTGACCGGCCGATCTCGTAAGAAAAACAACTGCTCCGTTGTTCCGTCGTCGATCCAGTACTGCCGCACCACGGACTGACAGATCGATGTTAACCCTTTGCACTCGAGAGATGATTCTCGGTCCTGCTTGATTCGATACAGCAGCAATTATAATGTTCAACCCTTTGCTGACGAAGATTCTTTCGATTTATCGAATGCTTAAATAATAGAGAATAAGGAAACCATGTACTGATTTCTTGCTGCTTGAGTATTTTAATCATTGCTTTGCAACTTGGTGTTCCAAACGTGAAAGTATCTCGGCAAATGTCGATATTCGTCTGCGAAGGGTTAATATTTAGAAACAATATAGTTCTGTTCCTTAGTTTTCGAGTGAGTGATCGCTAAGCTAGTTTAACACTAGAACTAACGAGCATTTAATACGATTAACCCTTTGCACTCGGAAATTTCTCAATAGAAATATTTTAAATTTTTTGACGAGGCGAAGACGACATTCTTTGAAATTAACTCGAACGGAAAACACAAGTACATTAAGGAACAAATATCATATTTTATAGTTTTACCGTGTCAAATCAAGTGGTGACTGAGAGTCACCTCCCGAGTGCAAAGGGTTAATATGCAATTCCTATAAAAATTGTAACAATAGATTATTTTCAGTTTCTTCGTGCATTCGTTATAGTACTCAAATGAAACTATTCATTTTCAAAATCATTTCGGATATTCAATACTTCGAAGATATCAATACTTTCTAAACAAAAAAATCAAAACCAGTCATTTTGACTGGTAGTTCTAGTGTTAAAGAAGATAATCTCGTCTTACGAATAACTGATAATCCTAAAATTACTTTGTACCACTCTGATCTGTATTATTTCAAATTTGATTAATACACGCGTGCCTTACGTTCGGAATTGTACAATCAGCTAATAATAAAGCCGAATATGAAACACTTAAGCCAGACGACGGCTAAACAAAAAAATCGAAACCAGTCATTTTGACTGGTACAGTAGTTCTAGTGTTAAAAGATGCGTCGATATCTCGTCGGATACCGTCGAGTATTTCCAGCGAGAAACTTTCGAGTGCAAAGGGTTAATCGTATTTGAAGCGAAGTTCGGCGCTGCCTTATTATGACCGTGAACGACAAAGTATTCTATCTCATTTAAAAGTCCGCGAACTATCGTATCTGACCGACGAGCGCGGGACGACTGGCCGCGAACGGAGAGAAAGGGGATAGAAGACAGCGGATTCTTTAAATAGACAGCACGCGCGGCGCGCTCCGTTGAAAAATTCGAGTAAATAAACATTGAACTTCGAGTGGCACTTAATCGGGCACAACCGCAACTTTTCCAGGCCGCAATCGAGGCCGATTAGTTTATCTGAAATTGCCGTCTGTATCGCGGCGCGAACTAAATTCCTTTTGCCATCTGCAGCGTTCGCGATAACGCCGAACTCTGACGGAATTCCGCGACGGCCGACCCGGAATTTCGACGAACCGCGCGGATCCGAGCGGTTTCGAAATAGACGTGTCTTTTAACCTTTGGAGAATAGATTTTCTTAACGCTAGAACTACCGAGCATTTAATACGATTAATATGCGATTCTTATAAAAATTGTAACAATAGATTACTTTCAGTTTCTTTAGGCACTCGTTATAGTACTCAAATGAAACTATTTATTTTCAAAATCATTTCGAATATTCAATGCTTCGAAGATATCAATAATTGCCAAACAAAAGAATCGAAACCAGTCATTTTGACTGGTACAGTATTTCTAGTGTTGACACTAGATTTACGGAACGAGCCAGTTTGACTCATATTGAACTTTATAAACATCATTGAGTAAATATTTGGGTCGATTTTAATTCAATCACGTGATTATAGTTCCTAGTAATATATTTCTAAACATTTCATTTCCTGGATCTAAACGGAAACGCACATTTCCCGATCAGTTTAGCGTTTTCTGTTCCAACTTCGATCGGAAGAAACTCAGTTTTCTAAATTTCATTGATGAAATTGAGTTCAGATGGACTCGCGTGACGCTAAGGGTCGATAAACGATACTTCACGAGAGAAATAGCTATGGTTTCAATGACTATTCAGCACTTCGTCCTGTTCACTTCGCAGATTCCTCGTGATTGTCCTTTAATCCTCCTGGCGGCGCTAAATCCGTCGAAATCCAAGTTCCTCGACGTTTATTCCTGTCAAAGCCAAGTTTCGGAGAGCGTCGCAGAGATTCGTGGGTATTGAAGGGAATCTGTGCCGAGGTGAATGAAAAGGAAGAGTGAATGATGTCGCTGTTCAATGTCCTACGCGCCAGCGGCGAATTACGAGTGACATTTAAACGGTGTGACACGGCTCGCAGGGACTGCAGATGCGCGGATTCCTTGCGTCAGCGTTTCCCAAGCTCCGCGAACCGGTACTCCTCGCAATCAGCTTTCGTGGATGTTACAAAACAAATTCTTATCGCGACGATTTATGAAACTTTCTCACGTGGAACGGCGAACTTTCTGCGATGCAACCGCCGAAAAATAAAAACGCGCCGCGAATCTTAACTATGTCCTAAATAACTCGCCTTGCAGCGGGTCTCCTTTTAGCAAAATGTTAGCTTCGAAGTAGCTGATGAAAAAAATTGGAAATTAGAAACTAAATTCTCTATGCGGTTACTTCTCCTTACTAATTTATGTATGAAAGATCTATCCGTGGATCGAAGCAACGATGCAAATCACTGCTAAACATCGACGAAGATTAAAAAAAGAAACTATCTGCCAGCACATCGACCATCGATTCCCTATCGCCGCGAGTCCCATCCGTCTCAATTCGTCAATGTTACCCGTCGTCGCAACAATCGCTCTCGCTCGGTCGCTACAGCTGTTTGGCAAGCGGCCGATAAGAAGCTATCGCCGATTAGGCGGTCGTGGGCGTAGATAGTCGCAATACCCAAGTTACGAGGTAAGGGAACACAGAATAGATCCGAAAGAGCGAGAAAAGAATGAGAGAAAGAATGGCGGAAGATAAGAACGTCGAAGAAACGAGACTCGTTATCGTGGCTGATTAGAGGGGAGGCCAGTAGTCGATTAGTCCAGGGTTTCTCAAAGTGTATTTCGGGGTCGCGGAGATGTACGCAGAAATAAGCGATTTCTAACGAGAACATTCGCTACGCGAATCTCTATAAATTATACCATGATTTATCAGCAAACGTTTCAATTCTCTATCCCTAGCTCACAATATTCCCCATTGCTCAGAAGAACAAAAAAGCCTTTCCCTATTTCATTTATGATTTCCATTAGTGTAATAATCAGTGTAATCAATAGTGTAATCAGATCCACATTTTTCAGCCTAGTCATCTAGATACCCTAACCCTTAGCAGTCTGACTCGACATTCTATTTTATTGCAACCTCTACCTTTTAACAATTTTTTCTATATTTGTAGTATCACAATTTTACCATTTAAAGGTAACATTTCAGACTCCCAAATATTCTTGAATAAATAAATAGAGCGTCACATTAAGCTGTAATTGAATGAACAAACGTTTCAATTGGTATCCCTAGTTCACAATATTCCCCATTGCTCAGAACAAAAAAGCCTCTCAATTTCATTTGTGATTTCCATTAGTAATATTCAACATCAATCTAACATCGTGAAAATGAGAACAGATTAATCAGATCCACAATTTAGATACGCTAACCCTTAGCAGTCCTACGTCGAGTCAGACTCGACATTCTATTTTATTGCAACCTCTACCTGTTTTAGCAATTTTTTCTATATTTATTTATAATATCACAATTGTACCATTTAAAGGTAACATTTCAGACACCCAAATATTCTTGAAAAATGAACAAACGTTTCAATTGGTATCCCTAGTTCCCAATATTCCCCATTGCTCAGAACAAAAAAGCCTCTCAATTTCATTTGTGATTTCCATTAGTAATATTCAACATCAATCTAGCATCGTGAAAATGAGAACAGATTAATCAGATCCACATCTTCCAGTCTATTCATCCAGATACCCTAAAGTACCGACAGACCCAGGGAAGCTTGTGTTCGCTCGAGCAAAGGGGCTCGCCAAGTGGAAAAGTTTGAGAAGCCCTGACGGTTAGTCGATCCCGCGGCCGCGGCGCGACGCGACAGAACGCGTGTTCGGGGGATCGGTGTGTGCAGCGTGTGCAAGGCCGCTAGCGGCGACTAGCGCGGAACCGACCGGGCGAGCAATCGACGCCGGAGTCGGCGCAGCGATGCGTTAGTTTCGCGCGCGTACGATGTCCGGCGATATCGCTCGATTGGAACACGAGCCAGCCGCGTCCGACCCGCTAGTCGCTGGGGACGCTGTCTCCACGTTACAAGGTAAAACCGTCTTCTCCCTTTCGCACTTCGATCGATTCCCTTCTTTCATCTTCCCTCTACCCCGATTCTCACCCCCGGTTCGCGAAACGATCGTCCCATCATCCCTCGTCTCTCCGAGAAACTTCTCGAACGGAGTATCCGCATCCTCCGGGGGCTAGATCGGAAGGTATCCGACGACAACCGAGTTGCATTCGTGTGTTTCGTACGTTTCACGTTCGTTTGACGTTTCTTTCTATCGTTGCTTTGTCGGGGAAACAATTGTGTTGTTGATTCCAGAGGATTCGTTCAGTGTTGCTCTTCGAAGAGGAGATGGAGGACCGAGTCTGCGGCAGTGCCCCTTGGAGTTTGGTATGTTTCTGGATTTCGATTCTACCGGGATCGGTTGTCGGGATTCTTGAGAGTTCCCTGATCGCGTTAGTTCTTGGGCTGGTCAGTACCAGACATCTGGGCCTCGGTGTTTTTCCATGGCGAATCGTTTATCCTTCGGTCGTGTCCTTTTTACAGCCGCGACTTCTTCGAGAGAGACTTGAGATATCATTGAGGAATCGGTGAATTTTCTTGACAGTTGATTTCCGATCGACGGGTATGTGACTTGTCTGTGGCATTTCTTGCGGAGACGTTTGTTGTTACGAGATTAGTCTCCTTTGATTCTGTTTGATGCTTTTAGTTTGATAGTGTGTCGTTTGTCGAAATAAAAGTGTGCTCTTCTCCTTTCTTCTCGCTCCTTGCACGTCAAGGTGTCATTTTCAAAGAAATCCTCGTGTTACGGGGCTGACAGAGAAAAGATCGGTATAGGATTGCAGAATAAAAGCCCTAAGATCGATTGCTCTGCGCTGGAAGAGATTCTGTCCAGCGTCAGGCTGTCAAAGCTGTCGAAACGAGGAATCGTCTGTCCTTTTTCAGAAATATCCAAGTCGTAACGTGTTTATAGGAAGTTCGTTAAGGAAATTCATTTATTCTCTCATTTACTCCGACGTTCTTAAGAATTCGCAATATTGTTTCAGCGAGGCTGATTACGTCGCGGATGTTTATGCACCTCTCGAGCCGCGGAATGCGGTGAGATGAAAATTTGAATGACACTGAATCGGTAATTCTCTTGTTCGCAACTCGAAGTAACGATCGTCCACATTCTAGAAGTTACAAACCAGTTTGCTGCCGCGTTAGATCTGACCTGGACGATATTAATCAGGAAGTGAGGCGGCGTTCGTTTTGCTCCTCGATTCCCGCGCCGAACCAGTTCGAACTCTTGTTCCACCTTTTTCCCTTTTTTTCTCGGGACACGTCATTCGTAGCGCAACATCTGCGTTGTGAGGTAACGAAGCATTTCGCTCCCCGGTCTCTTTCTTCGAGCGGAAACAACCGATTCCAGGGAACATTAGGGAAGATGATCTACGAGTACTCTAGATCCGACACGACTCGTCAGACCTTTCTCTTGCTCCTCGTTTTTCTCCGAGAAAAATTAACCTTACAGAAAAATGAGAAGGTAATTACGTAACGTAGTCTCTCAAGAAAACTCACGAATTCGATGAAGAAGAGATCATCTTTCCTATATTCCAGACTAAACCTCAATCTAGACCTTTGTTTCTTGCTTCTCGCCTTTCTTCGTCGAGAATCAACGATTCCACAGAAAAAGGTACAAAGAACCTTACAGAAAAATGAGAAGGTAATCACGTAACGTAGTCTCTCGAGAAAAATCGCGAATTCGATGAAGAATAGAAGAGATCATCTTTCCTATATTCCAGACTAAACCTCAATCTAGACCTTTGTTTCTTGCTTCTCGCCTTTCTTCGTGGCGAGAGGTACAAAAAGCATTCAACACCTAGCTGAATTCAAACCTTTTCTTTCTCACTGCCACCCTTGTTCGCCAAGTAACAACAATTTCACACAGAGAAGACAGAAAGAGAAGAATACAAAGTTGACAAAGGAGCAGGCGATAAACTGTTTGCCGAGGTGCTCAGCTCGAAACAAAGAGACAACGAACTAAGCCACGCTATAGACGTTGCACGGTCGACACGCGATTTCAGCCGCTCGTTGTTCAGATCGATGAACTCCGCTTTCCGAATTCTTGAAAATTTCATCGTCGAATCGCTCGATCGACCTCTGCGGTACTCGAAATTTGATTATTCCGAAGATACACTATTTTCGTGTATCTTACACGTCCCATAGATCGAGTTGCGCCTATATTAAAGTAAAATAGATTCTACAATATTCATTCGATACTCCGTTTAACCTTTTGCACTCGAAAGATTTCCACTGGAAATATTCAACATTAATGGTAATTCACAGATAAATTAAGGAACAAAGCTATTTTATTCAAATATTTCACACAGCAACACAAACTTTAATTTAACCCTTAGCACTCCAGATGGTTTTGTAATCTATCAGCAACTGCAACTAATTTTTATAGTATCCCTAGCGAAATTAGAAATGCTATAATTCCTTAGATCTTTTATTGTCCTTCTTAGTGCAAGATTTGGATGTGTGAAAAATCTAATAATTACAGGGTAGTTTCTTTAAGATCCGTTAAAATATCTAATATTATTCCTGGTGCAATATTCGAGCCTACAAAGTTCAAAGGGTTAAAATACTGAATATTCAACTTCATAGTTCCGTTGCATCAAATCAAGCGATGACTGAGAGCCACCTCTTGCAAAGTGTTAAAGGGAGATTTGGAAAATCAATGTAGACCGTCGCGTCGTTGTTTTCTATTTTTTTATTTTCCGGAGCGAACCGATTTGTCAGACGAGTGACTCATTCATCGGAAAGAGAAGTCGCTCGGGGTCGACGTTGCTCCGTCGGAAGCGGTTCCCGTCGCGGAGCCTTTGTCCCGACGTGTTTTGCCATTTGCTGGCGCCACGTGGGCCACGGGATCGCGTTTTATTCCCGGAATAAAACCGAACGGAGCCGTGCAACTTTCACGTCCGCCTGTACGCGGACGCGCGATTCTTTCTTTGCACCGGGGACTGACGATCGATGATTTTCTCGTGTTCGCAGGTAGCAAGCAGACCGCGGAGAGCGTTGCCCAGGATGCCGTCGACCAAACAGGCAAGTGATCTTTCGTTTGTTAACGCTCAACTGCGAGTGTTTATGCAATTTACGATGCAAATACTTCTTACGACAACGCAGACGTGGAACTAGAATATCTTAGAATTCATTAGAATATCTATATTATAACTTTGTCGACCGGTCGAGTAATTGCTTATTAATGATTACATAGTTAGGGAAATTCACGCCGATAATCTCTGATAGCCTTTACAAGTGCGCCAACTCTGACAGTATAATTACTGACGCAGAATTTTGTTATTCTGCCATTGAATTTTAGAACGTTCCACAGACCTCTGTAAATTGCGAATGCAAAAGTTTCAGCAGTCTAGCGACTGTCGTAGGGAAAGTTTTATTATCCCGTTCAATTAGAGACGGGAATTTCCAGGCAAAAAGCACCTTCTTCAATTACACGTAATTCGAGCCGCGCTCTTAGAAAGGAAATAAAGGTACTCCGTAAAGATCCGTCGAGCCGGGTTTATTGCCTTCGGCGTATTCAAATGAAGCCGTCATAAATGCATACAAAATCCGCAGTCTAGTCGTCGTAAGCTCGCCGTATTAAAACTCGCTACAGGCCCGACGAAAGCAGTGTTCAAAAATCGAGTTATCTGTCTGTCATTTGATAACGCAATCCGCAATTTATCATTGTCGTTGCACGCGTAGAGCCCACGCAGCCCGTTTTCGTTCCGGTGATACGCGTTTTCGTTGCAGCTGTCAATTACGCTGAGAAATTTATTAACCTCGTGTTTTATGGCACCCGGGAGATTAGCTAGATCGCTGGCACCTGCGATTAAAGGTGGACGAGATCGATTAATGCAGCTTACGCCGACTTAGACGACGCGAAACAGTCGGATGAACAAACAATTGAAATCATGCTGCACTTCGTGATGATCATGATTCCCAATTTCTCTGGAAACGAAATTTCAGAGAGTGTATATACCACTCGAGATGAATTGTAAGAATAAATCTAAAACGTAAATGGAGCAAGGGAAACTAATATCAATGTTGAATTATTAGATACCGAACGTAATAACAAGCATAATGTTATTAACACGTTCACTGCCAGGAGAATTTTAGGCATTCTATGCAATATTCCTTATTCTTTTATAACAATGGCAAATCTTGTAACCCGTTCACTGCTAGCATAAAATGTGTGATTTCATTTGCACTTTCAATTTATTTATGGTAACCAAGATTGTACCAAACTGACAATCTCTTGCTACGAGTATATTCGTGACTGTCAGCGAATGGGTTAAATATTAACACTAGAACTACCGAACAGTCGAATTGACTTTTAGACATTTTTTCTGTGGAGACTCTATTGAGATTTCTATTGATACAATTCAGTTTGCTTATTGTTGAATCAATTTCTGTAGTAATTCTCTGAGGATTATACTGTGTTTTTAATGATTGTTAAAGAAGCTATCAGGAATGAGTCATTTTGATCTCTTTAGTAGTTCTAGTGTTAAATATTCAACACTGAAGCTTCTGAATTTTTCCTTGTATATTTTATAATCTGTCTCTTTTTCCAATTCCAGGATTTGGCAAGTTTAACCTTAAGGTTATGGCCGTCTGCAGTCTGATTTTCATGAATGTGGCGTTCAGTATTACCAGTATTGGTTTCATATTGCCATCCGCAGCATGCGACTTCCAGATGACCACGGTTGACAAGGGCCGTCTGAGCGCCGCTCCCATGTTAGGTAAATATCGACCCCGGCAATTTCCCAGCCCCGGTCTCTTTTGGAGCGTCGTGTACAAGGAAACGAGCGTTTCCTGCGAAACTCCGCGTCGCCGAAGGACGAGAATTTACGACGTCCGTCTGCTTTCCCGATTTTCTTGGCGGCGCCGTTGTTTTTCTCTGTGCCCGCGCCAGGATTTCGACCGTCTGCCAATCCGATTATTTATATCCGCGAACAAAGCTCGCGGACACTGAATCGAGTCACTGGAAGCCATTTCTTCTCACGATGAACCGTCTTTGTCACGAATCGCCCCGAAAATGAACGCTTCGAGCTTCGAGCTTTCTTTCTCTAGAAGACATTTATAGAATATTCGATAACTCGCAATATTCTACGAAAGAATGGTTAACAAATGATAATGAAATAATAAAAATGGTAATTTCAAGGTGAATTGCACTTGCGAAACTCTAGTAGTTGATAGTTAAATGGCTCGTATTGAATAAAAAGACGTGGCGAGTAGTTATTGTTCGCGATAATATCGTAGAACGGCGTCGAAAGAAATACTTGGAACTCCAGGCGCGAACAGTCTCGCTAATAAGGTGGAACGGAGCTTTCTAATCGCGGAATTGGGAGCCTATTCTTTTTTTTGTTCGTTTCTGCCTCTCCCGGGAACACGTCTGTGCGACGCGCAATCAGCGAAAGTATGGCTCCCCTTATCGCTGGAATTATACTTTCTCGCGTGCCGTTCGATGGCACGCACCCAACACGCCCCTTCGTCTATCTGGCTCCTAGCTTTGCGTCAATTATACACGTTGCTTCAAAAAAAAGCGAGAGACAGACGTTTCGAACCGTGCACTTAACTCATTTCGCGTGGCAAGCAATCTTCTTTCGAGGAATTCGAGGGAAACGGTTTTTTCTTATCGAAAACATGTTCGGAGAACACGTTTAAGTTCCTTGAAAATACCGCTCGACGTTTATTTAATAAATACGTACTGTTTATTTAATAAATAAAACTGCTTAAAACGGTATAAAACGATATAAAACTATACAAAACTATTTAAAACTATATAAAACTACATACAACTATACAAAACTATATAAAACTATATAAAACTATATAAAACAATGTAAAACTAAATAAAACTATATAAAATTTATTTAATAACCCGAGTTCAAGAAAGTTGTGCCAGTAGAATAGGACAGAATGGTTTAAATCGATAAAGCTGGGAAGTTAAACCGATCGTTTAAGAGGTTTGTTGTATGCAAACCGCGGATCGATAGACAAATCGAAGTTTCTATGATCGTAATTGGGCAGATAAGACTTTCTAATGAATTAACTTCATTTTCATTTTCGTGAACACATGGAAACCGATCGATCGTCGTCGAACGCAGCAGTTCGCACAGGAAAATTTTCATTGGCGCGAGTCGGAGGTCTTTAAACGGCACGCGGCATAAATTGAATGAATCGCCTCGCGTCTCAGGGACGTGCACCGTTTACGAGCAATGTGACTAAGAAAACGGAAATGTGTGCAGATGTCTGATGCTCGTTGAGGACCTCTGAGAACCTTGTCCTCGGTTGTTTTCTTCACTGAACGTATTAATGCCTAATGATCTAACGCTTCGACCTCCGCGCCTACTAAATCAGGCTGAGCAATTGTCGATTTATAGATTAATTTCTTCTATATTATACTGATCGAAGAAACTAGGATCTATAAGATGCAAGATCAAAGAGTCGAGAAGAATCTTGACCTCCCAGTTTTCTGTTTGGCAAACCGTTTCATCTTGGATCGATGTGTTCAGCAATGGTGGGGCTCACGAAATCGTGAATACGATACTGAGCTCGAACTAAAGCACATCCTCCATCGATATTCCTTTCTTGCGAAGTGATTTAACGACGAAATGAGTAGGAAGAATATGGGAATTATCTTTCAACGAGGAGACACGATTTTTTGAGCCTCCTGTACCGTGCAGCGATCAAAGCGCGACAAAAAGCGGTTGTTGCAGTCGCCGGGGCAACGCGACTGCGACTCGAATGCAAAACAATTAAACCTTGAGTATTTGCGTCGCACCAGAACGCGACCACAACTGCACCCGGTAATTTTCACTTCGGACAATGCCTACCATACATCATTCCGCTTCTTTGTTCAAGGAAAAACAATAAATTGCTCGCGCGTATCTTCTTCCCTGCTCTGTCCATATTTACTCGTTCACGAAACGATAAACGTTAATTGCGGTCGGCCGAACAACCGATTACCCGCGTTCGGCTGGCGCTGTCACTGTTCTGAAGCACGTTCGCCCACCTTGTTCAGCGAAGATTCGAATCGCGAGCGATTCGTCGTTAATCTTCCGATACCGATCGTGAAGACGACTCGAACTTGTTATGTTCAGTCTGCATAAGCAGTCCGTTTTTACACATTGCTTCTCTTCAAGCTAGAACCATCCATTGAAATCGCTGAATAGCTTCACTATTTCACCGTGCATTTAATCAAACTGAATAATTCTTCACTGTTTCCTCCATGTATTTATTAAAATCGTTGAATAACCGCATGAAGTATCAGAAGTATCACGATCTTACTGACTGCACACGGAGAGTCTGGAATCTGTTCAATTCCGCGAGTTAGATAGGTCTAGCGTTAAGTAGAAGCGTTCGACAATGACCAGACGTGTCTATTTAAGAGCACGCGAGCCCAATGAACGTCCAAATTCGATTTCATACAAAATACAGCCCCGCTCTAGCAAATTCGCTTCCTTTCTACTCATCTTGTATATAATTAGCTCATAATACATTCGATTATTGTATCTCACTCGATGGGATCTCTACAGTTTCATGCGATCGCGGGAGAAACGTTAAAGGACCGAATGGTTTCGCAGGTATGCTGGCTGGATCGTACATCTGGGGCTGCTACGCGGCGATAAAAGGCCGGAGGATGTCTCTATTGGTCGCGCTGACACTCCACGGTGCCTCGGAATTATTGGCGTCCGTGGTGCCTCTCTACTGGGTCTTCCTGTTTCTAAAATTCCTGAGCGGCGCAGCGTTAGTACACTATTATTTATAGCCCGCGAAAAACTTGTATTCGCGAGTGACGAACACGCGTGACGAATACTTGCAGAATGAACGGACAGTCGGCCGTGGTGTTCCTGTATCTCGGAGAATTCCAGCCGACCAAGTACCGCGACAAGATGCTGTCGTGGATGGAAATGGCGTGGGTGATGGGAATGATCATTCTGGCAGGTGAATGCTTCAGCTGATAGTCATCTTGCGCCAGTGGTTGTCTGGCCATAACGGAAATATCTACTTGAGATCAAATGCTAATCTATTCTTTCGTCTAACGCTGAAACCGAGAATTTTTCCATAAATTTCTAGAGATTATTAACTCCGTTTTATCAATGACAATCGACGGCGTCAATTACTTTGCTGTCGATCTAAGATCTAAGCTCAAGAGGTTTTCACACAGATGCCTAGCGTCGTTTCCTTATCTCGAGACTAACGATTTAACGACTGATTATTTAAGGTGTCGGTTGGATCATCATTCCGTTGGAGGTAAATATTAAGATCGGCAGCGTGGTCTTCCATTCGTGGAATCTTTTCGTGTTCATCTGTTCCCTGCCAGCGATATTCACCGGCACCTGGCTGCTGTTTTTCCCGGAGACGCCGAAATACCTGGCGGAAACCGGGCAGAACGTGCAAATGCTGGACGTACTGATGAGGATGTACTCGGAGAACAGCGGACAGCCTCCCAAGGAGTACATAGTAAGCATACTTGCTCGTCAAATACCAATCGTTAACCGTTAACATCTTGAACAAACACACCGGGCAGAAGTTTGCAATCTCTTCGCGAGACTGGGGAGAGTAAATAAATTTCCCAGTTGAGCTAACAAACTTGAAGGATTATCAAACGCATTGTGATCACAAACTTCTGACCAGCGATAAGAAAAGAGACTCTGCGACACTCGGAAAGAAAAGAGTCGAGGAGCTCTCTCGCGGAGAAAATGGTAGCTTTCTCGCGGAGAAAACGATAGCTCTCTCGCGGAGAAAATAATAGCTTTCTCCCGGAGAAAATGATAGCTCTTTCGCGGGGAATACGATAATAGCGGATATCCTACGGCACTCGATGCCTAATTCAATCTCCTGATCGAACGCAGACGAAGCTTCGTAACAGCGGCAACAACAACCTGAACGACCTGGTGCATCGAATAATGCACATGAAGGAGTTGAAGGAAGAATCGCCGGAGAAGTCCTTCCAGCTGATGATAAAGGACATCTGGATGAAGACAGTGATGATCCTGAAGCCGCCGTTCCTCTGCCGGACGATCGTGGTCTGCTTGATCGCCTGTTTCGTCACGTCCGCGTATTACACGCTAACTCTGTGGCTGCCGGAGCTGTTCCACAGGTACGCGGACTTCCAGGAGTCCTATCCGAACCAGACAGCCAGCGTGTGCACGCTGAACAGCATAAGGAACGTCACGGTAGCGGTAAGTTACCGATATTCGTACCGGAATATTCTATTCGAAAGACTTGAAACTAAATTCGAACGAATTCAGGTGCCAACGGATGATCCGTTCGGTTGTGAATCGAGAGTACAAACTAGCGTCTTCATCCACACGTTCATCCTGGGTGCCTCTTGCATCCCCACGGGCCTAATTTTGCCGATGCTCGTCAATTACGTAGGATACAAATTCTTCCTTGGTAAGTCGCCTCTTCGGCTTCCTTTTCCTTCTCGGTTACTTCGAGAAGGAAGCGCTGGAGATTGAGCAACGAGTTTAATTAAACCTTAAGCTACGATCAATCTTTCCGAAGCACGATCGAACATCTGTTCATGTGATTTCAGTGATAACAGCGTTCATACCTGCTGTGGTGACGGCCTGTCTCTTCTTGGTGCAGACGTCCATTCAGAACCTGGTGCTCTCGTGCGCCTACGAGTCCGTCACTTCCGTCTGCCTGAGCGTCGTCTATTGCGTCTTGGTAGATCTCTATCCGACGCACTTAAGGTGCTTATCCGATCGAATCTCGAACAATTACGACAGATTCGGACGATCCGACGGCGAAATCTCGAGACTCGAATCTAATTAGCATTCCGCGAGCGGTATTTTCGAAAACGTGCACACCGATACGGCTCACTATCGCGATTCCCGGATCGATCGTCTCTTGACGAGCGAACAGCGATTCGCTTATCGATCGCCGCAGAGAATTATCGAGCGAAATCCAGCTACGCCGCTCGACTGTTTGTCACCTGCTCGCCTTATCGAGCACATCGTGCCTTATCTAATTTATAAATATCCGGTCGTGCCGCTTATTTTCCTCCAGCCGGTTATATTTAAAGCGATCGGATCGCCGCGATCGATCTTGGACACGGTCTCGAACTGCAATTTCGCGCCGCTACCGAAACAATGTTATCGCCCGAAGATTCCATCGGATCGGAATCGACGGAGAAGAAGAGAAAGAGACGCTGAGATAATTTCAGGAACTCCATCTTCGTCTGATTTTTAATTAAAATCTCGCGTTCTTATCGGTTGAGAAATCCTAGCGATCTCGGGACAGGCGAGCCTTTAACGAGACACCGGGGAAACGACCGAAAACGATCGTCGTTCTTTTTTATGGAGATTTCTCGTTATGTGGAACTCGTTGATTGTAGAATACAAATGGAATTTTTGTATTCAGACAATAATTCTGACGGTTCTCTTTCAGAGCGATAGCGGCTGGTCTGTCCGCCTTCATTAGTCGAATAGGTGCCATAAGCGGAACCCTGATGATCGGCTACTTGATCGACGATTACTGCATGCTAGTGATCCTCATAGTAGCGGCTCAGCTCTTCCGTGAGTATCGTAACAGATGTACAGGTTGATTAAGAAACTGTATTCAGTGATCTATGAATCGACACTAAGCTTGACAGAGAAATCTTCTGAAACATCGAACATTCGAATCAACCTGTATCGATAAATTACGAGTTTGTACTTTTATTTTACTCGATCTCTTTGTTTATTTGATCTCGCGAAACGTGAATATAAAACTGAATAGTGGATCACAGACGAATCTGACGTTTCAGTGAGCGGTATACTAGCCCTCTTCACGCCTGGCAGGAAGAAACCGCCGAAGAGTCCGGACGTCGAGAAGTCTTAATGGAATCGAATCACCGATCGCCATCGATGGAAGCTTCCGGAGAAAACGGAAGCTTTCTGTACCGTTACTAGCGTATTACAGACACTAAAAGCGTCGTATCTCGAAACGACGCGAATGCATTTCATTTAGAAAAGGAACGGTGCGCCGAGGCTCGACATTTTGGGATCGTTTGACTCTGATCTTTCCTCTACAAGCGGCCCCAGAGTTTCGAGCTGCGTGTAGTTAGCTGTGCTGCGATTAATCTCGCGCGAGAGAGGTGAATTGCGCTTTCCTCTGTTCGGATGTTGAAGAAGGATTCAAGTGTTACTTAAAAAACAACGAGATTTGCATGTGCTTTAAGAACGAAGATTCGTTAATGATTAATCCAAGCCGTAGGTCATATTATTGTATCGAGTGATCAACGGTCGCGTGACTTCTGACAGAGAAAAATCTGTAGCACGTCCGCCAATGAGAATGATCGATGGCCGTTGCGCACGTGGCTCTATGGGTCCGGGTCACGTGACGAGCCCTAGCTTCGCCCACTCGTCGTGCTATTGGCTGTAGATAAAAAGTGGGAGGGAACTATTCGCTCGACGATAAATGTTCAAACATCGCGCGCAACGCTCGAAGTAATCGGAGAAACTGCTTAAACCGAGACGTTTAAATATCAGTTATACAAAAATACCACACGTACTTACCGAGCATTTCGAAGCAAGGGAAATTAAGAGGTACTTAACGGACCGTGTTGCTTAAAATTCGCTTGTTCCTCTGATTGTTTCGAGCAGTGGAGAGTTCTCGTGTTTGACAGTGTTGACGTAGTACGACGAATAGAAGAGTACGAAGAGAACGAGCGTGATTAATCAATGGAATCTCTTCGACAAGAGCTTCACTGTTGCTTAAGAGCGCGGTCTGGTGCTGCGCGTCTCGTCGCTGAATGAACGTTCGCTCCCGTAAACGCACGAAGAGGACGAACCACTTGCAAAATACTCAAGAAGAGACGAGTTTGATTCAGTATTCGCTCCTTCGAGTTCGGCTGGAAACTTTGGGAAAATGAAGGAAGAACTGCTGCTCGGAAATATTTGATCGTTCGCGTCTTACAGTATTCAAAGGGAAACGTAATTTACGGAATTTACTAGAATCTTTCGCCGTTTTCTCTAAAAATATTCTATGAAACTTGCAATTATCGTAATCTTCCCTTCGAATTCTTCAAATTCTATAGGAAGTCTAAGAGCGCGGCTAAGATCTCAATTGACTTATGATTCAGTTTTCTATTAGATCAGTTTCTTTAGTAATTTCTCAGAGAAGTATCTATCTGTTAATTGGGAAAGAAGAATTCAGGAATGAGCCTTCTCTGTATGAAGGAATTCGGTCCGATCGAATATCGTTGAAAGCAGCAGCGCGCGCGTCGCCATCCGTGTATCTCGTTAAACGTAATTTTCGATTGTTTATTGTAATCAACGACTCGCCTTGACAGATATATTAGCAGCTAAGTACTTCTCGTCGATGATAGCAGATAGTGATCAACGTGACCGAATCACACAGGTGCCTTCTTCTCGCGTAAACGCGTGCCTGTACTTAAATCACGCGAGAAACGACTGCTCAAACGCAACAAAGAATTCAAGTGAATTTGCAAAAAGCACATCGACACGCAACAACGAGCTAGATTACTATCGCCGAGATCGACGGTCGCGTGTCCGCGACGCGAGGCGTCCGTGCGTTATAATATACTTTATTTTTTCTATATACGAGACTTTTTGTATTGTGTACTGTTTATCATGCCGGCCATTGAGGTGCAATAAAAAAGTATTCGTATCGCACACGGACCAACTGTTTCTTCACCCTTCCTCCCACCATTCGAATCTGATGAACATTAAATTTTCTATGAAGAAAAGGCAGCAAATGTTAATTACACCGGTAGGTCATTTAAAAGGTGAACTATATACGTTACATTACATAATGCTCCTGATTTTATTACCTACTAAAGTATCGTGTAAGATTATTCAATTAACCACGGACAACACTTCTAGTAAATGATAAACAAGAAAGAAGTAAATGCACGATATCGTGATTAAATTCTTAATACGAAGCAACGAATTCATTTACAACGTGATACTGAGATGAATTTTTCAAGTGAACACCGGCATGTTTTACGGTGGTTTTACAACCAATCATTCGAGATCCTAAACCGACTACTTTCCTTAAACCATTGCCACGTTCGAAAATCGATACCCAAAGAAGACAGGAAGCCAGTTATCGCAGACTGTATCGAATATTGCAACACGGATAACATCTGGACCATCGATCATCGATCTTCATTTGCACCGATGTCGTTGGACAAGTGTAATGCGAAACACTTGATCATTCGCGATCGAACAGCGAACATTCGATTGTTTGTTCAATCAGGCGCACCACTGTGACTGATTTCGCGGAAGTTACAATTCCTCGAAGGTCGAGAGAAAGCTACCGAGTTGGAGTCTACCTCCAAACGTAAACTCAACACGCAAAATCGAGAGAAAGCTACCAATATACTCCTAAAGTCCAAGCGAGCTCGTCAGACCCAAAGCCGAGTGAAACCTAAATTAAAGCCAAGATTGAAGGAACAGGGAAAATGTCCAAGAACCGCGTCCAAGATTCTAAATAAAATAAACAAGCGGTCGGTTCCACTCGTCCGAGAGCCTCGCTATCACTGGAAAGTTCTCCAGGCCGCAAATGCCACGAGCCACGCGACGCGGACCGCGCGGAACGAGCGTATCGCGCGGTAACCCCGACGCTAATCATCTGATCCAAGCGGCACAGTAACCCCACCCCTAGGACCGACTGAGTTGGGCACACGCTACAGGTAACGATCGCCGAAGCGGATCCCAGACATGAATCGAGACGGTGTTGCAGTGCACCGCGTAAGCGCGACAAGACCGTCGACCGAATTAGAAAGGAAGCGGAGGCATCGGGGTCGCCGCGTTTTGCGTTTGTACACAACAAAAACACGGCGCGTCGCTCGCGCCTCCTGCTCTGTGCGTCTCACCCCGTAGCTTATCAACCGGCGCGTGACCGTGATCGAGCAGTCCTTAGCCGTGGCTCGGTTTCTAATTAAGGGTGGCCCACCTCGCGCGGACGCGTTGCGACGAGGTTTGCGACGAGCTTTCCGACCGCGAACCGAATCATCCTCTATTGCCATTGCCCCCCCTAGGATTCCGGGATCGCGGCGTGTGACACGACCGCGCGCCAGAGGAGAGCAAAACAAAGAGACTTAGAGGGAAAGAGAAAGACGAAGGCAGAGAGAGAGGGAAAAGAAAGGTAGAGAGAAAGGAGTAGGGAGACAGAGAGAGAGAGAGAGAAAGAGGGAGAGATAGAAAGAGATGCATCGATGACACGTGCGGGGGACACGTCGCGTCCAACAACGGCCGTCCAACGACTGTCAACACCCTAGGTGTCCTAGCTGCTAGGGGATTTATGAATGATCAACGATCGGTGGGACGGAACCGATTGATCCATCGATCAGCCACGTCGAACTGAAACTATCTCCGCGAAAGACTCGTGGAAATTCGGTAAGGCACAACGATCATCCCCTAAGTTTCACCGCCGCGTCCCCCTTTTCGAACGCCAGGCCGCGCGAACCACCCCGCGATTTCTTTTTTCGATTTGATTCGTTCGCAATCGGTCCGCTTTCTTTTTATATACACCTGTCCCGCCGTCGTTCTCCGCCGTCCTGCGCCACGCGCGCCGTTGACATTGAAACCAGGCCGAAATAGAGCGAATTTGGAGCGAAGCCCACTCCGACGGCAGCTTCTTTGCTGATCGGACACGTGGTTTCGGGGTCGAGGGGAAAAGTTGAGGGGTCATCGCGCGGCTCTCGGGGGAAACGAGTACGTTTCCTTCGAATTCTCGTCCGTCTCCTTGAGACGGCAGTTGCCTTTTATGTTCGTATCCGCGTGTCCGCGTATTAGATTTCTTATTTATTATCTATCACTTGGCAGCCTGTCCGTTGACATAATAGGTCGATTATGCCGAGAGTAACTGGCGTTACGAGCGCGAATATAGCGATTCTACGTTAGAAAATGAATTGGAGAACGCGGGAACGTTAGTCTTGACAGACGTTTCCCGAGGCAATTGATTTTCGACGGTTCTCTAGCTAGTGACAGCGGTAGCTAAAAAGGTTAGCAATCAACGAAAACAACTTAGACCTTCGGACAATTAAAGACTGCACTTTTTTGCCCATACTTTCGCTAAGAATTTTGCTTACAGAGGAACTTTGTTCCGTTAAGTAAGTAAACATCAAAGAATCAAAAGTCAAAGGCTATAGAACATAGGTGGTTCAGTTGAAGAGACTATTAAATAGAGCTGTTAGCAGCGTAATCCCGACGAACACAGAATAACCAAGCGAACCGTAGGAGATAAAAGTCGCCGATAGAGACAGACACGTTGCACCGATGACGGAAATATTACGACGACGATCGAATATTTGGCGCGAGTCCACCGGGTGCGACGAGCACGCGCCAACAACACGCGCAGTCGGCGACGCCGCGCAGTGGGCAAGATCACAGCTTTACTGGTCGAAAGTCTGCAACGTTTGAATAAACGAAGACGAGCTGATCTTCTGGTAATAATGGAATGCTCCTTGGTAATTCCACGAAAACGAGAATCACCTCTGCAGCGTTACTTCCGATAGTTGCTTTAACAGTGTTCGACGAGTATACTCGTCGTTGCTTCTTCCCAACGGACCCGAGGAACTATAGAAAATTGATTTTTGACCGCAGAAACGTCGATGCTTTCCCACCGTGCGCCGATATCTATTGAAAAATAGTTTCACGGGAACACCATGAAAATGACGAGCGCGCTCGCAACGATGACCCGCGATTCCTCTTTCGGATCCAACGTTCGAGTCTTCTGATCCACGGATTTAAGTCTCCCGTTCTCGGAACGATCCTCGACCGGTTGAACAAATAAATCAGCAACATTGTTTCCGCCCGCGTTCCGCCAACGGTTCCACGACGGTGATTACTTTGACTCAGCCAGGTATTATTCGCCGGTTTTATAGAACTGTTTGCGTAGCTCGCGAGTATTAACAGGATCCTCGATTTTCCCGGGGAAACGAGATTCCAACGGGCGCCTCGACGATACGTCGTCGTCCTCCCGATTACGTAAACCCGCGAGAGAGGCTTCTTGGCCGGTTTCCGAATCGGATTTTCGATCTCTCGTCTAGCCGCGGCCATTTCGCGTATCAATGGAAATGATTGCGACGGAATTTCGGTTCGATCGAGGGATAACGAGTCTCGAGTGTAAACTTAATGAACAGATAAAGATAATCCGTTTCTCACCTATTTTTAGTTTTCGCGGCTGAGATTGTGAACCTTTTTAAAAGAATAATATACACTCGATGTACATTTTAGTTTAATGCGTTTTAACAGATTAAAAGAACCCATCGGAGTTGGATTCTTACAAACGCAGGAGGAAAGATGTGGGATCTTCGATAAATTTAATTAAATTCCCCATTGGAGAAGACGTATTACTAATAATTTATTACACGTCTCAGCGATCATAATAAAAAGTATTTATATCTTTTCCGAAATTATATATCATGAATTTTATGACAGTCTAATTGTCACCGTTAAGGGAACGTCATTCGAAAGATGAAGAATTTCTCGTACAAAAATTAGTCCAGCTCGACAATAAGCGTTGGATAATCTCGTGCGCGATCTGCGAAGCCACGGATGATCGCCGGCGGCGAGAAGATCCCTCGATCCGATAATAAATCGGAGAAATCTCTGGGTTTCCCTGTTCGTCGATAGAATCACCGATGGCAATAACGCGATGACAAACTAGCCAAGTGTCATCGTTACACGATGATCGAAAACAAATTCGCGAATAATATTAGGAACGATATTTTCGCGGCATTTGAACCCTCGATCAGATAAACTCATTCGTTCGATCGATCACGACTTATCGTCATAAATCCGTAAGTCCCGTGACGCTAACTTATTTGCGCGACGAACTGAACCTGCAACGTGTCTGTCGATTGCCTTTTATTAGTGTAAACGATTATTCTGGGAAATAGTACTGATAAGTGGGATGACTGCGAAGGAATCCGTTGTTTGCGTTCGGTCCTTGAGTTGGCGGGATGATTTCGGTGAACTTGATTAATTCGGGGAACAAGGGATAAAAGCTACTGGTAGGATCTACTACTTTTTACTACTTGTTGATCCACCAACGTAACATTAAGAAGCTGCAAACAGTTTTAATCGGAAGTCTTTAAAGAACGAAGTAAGACTCAACTTGTACCAATAGACTCACTAATCTGAAAGTGCTATGAAAACGAAAATTCAACGTTTTACTAACACATAATATTCATGAAATGTTCTTCACTTCATCGCATATTATTCTTACTCTACATCCATCTATATATCTAGAAGACAATCAACACTCAGCAAATACATTCTACATTCGATGCAGTTCTACAAATACACCTCCATTGTCAGGACAAAAATACTCTCGGTCCACTGGAAATTCCGAAAGTGGATCAGCGCAGAAGTGAAGCAGACCTTGGCAAGGTCCGCCCTAAGCGGTCGAGGTCTAGGTTAGATCTGGGTTAAGCTAACGAAGCGGCAGAGCCCGTGATCCGTCGCCAAACAACAGGCCTGTCTCGGGAAACAAAGAAATTTAAGGTTGATGCGCGCCTGTAGTCGACGCGCGTCGCGATAAACATGTTTGCGCTCTCCGATGAACACCGATTTCCCCCGGGCGGGATTATCACGGGCCTCGCCTATTGTCACGGATACTTACAAAGTGACGTTACAAGATCTCCGGTTCGATAACGTATTTCCGAATCAATCCGGATTCGTCAAAACACGGTGGTCGAGTTGAAGGACGGCTCGTATCGACCGAAAGGTCTTGGTTAGCCGACCACGTGCCGGCAAAAACAGGCTATTAGGCTTTTCTGAAGGGGGGAATTAGCGTGTCGAAATAGATCGGCGGATAAAACGATCGTAAATAAGTCTCGTTGAGTAGATAGGAGGGCTCGCGATAAGGTCGACGATCGATATTTATATTTCAGTATCGATGACTGCCGGCTTTCGAGGAAACATGGCGCCCGGAAGCGGTGCAGCGGCTGCATCCACTTCGTTCCCTTGGCGTTCGATACGAATTTGATTATCGAGACGTTCTTATCTGAACTTAGCCGAAGCTTTTTGGATCTCGGATTCGAATGGATCTTTAATTATCCGCGGATTACGTTATAAGTAGGCCCAATCATCGGTTTAACGAATGGATCCAGGAATGATCGTCTCAAAAATATTTCGAGATGTTTATTTTAGCCGTCGTTGTTACGTTCGCTTGACGGAACCGATATCTTTTCTAATAACGTTATCTCGAGAGTGAATGAATCGAGCGCCCGAAAAATTGCATAAGGTGACATTTCAACTCTACTCTACGAGGGTTCGCTTCTCACGCCCTAGAAAAAGAACTTTGAACCTTTCGCACCCGAGTTACTCGATTCGGTGCGACAACGTTCTAAAGTCTTATATATAACGCACTATGTTTTCTACAATGCAGCAGGGGTTAAACACTGTTTATTGGCGCGCCGCGCACCGTTCTTGATTATTTACAACTATAAAACACGTCGTCACCGTATTGTCATCGCGGTGTCTCTATTACTTAAACGTTTGCACGGGATTCGTTCGCTCGGACGACTTGTTTGTCCGGGCAGTATATCATCGGCGCGCACACGTTCCTCGAACGTCGTTCTGTGTCGAGTCGAGCGTCGACGTTTCACCCTTTTCACTCGAAAGTTTTTCACTAAAAATATTCAACATTTAACGGGACGTGTACGATGCTTTTTGAAATTAACTTGGTAATAATTCAATCATAAATAAAGAAGCGAACGGCTGATAACCAATGAAAAGACAGACGTCGATATTCGTCGGAAAATTCGCGTTCGTTTGCTAATACGATCAACTAATATTTCAACGTGGAACACGGTTCATCTCGTTTTAATTGGGGTAGAAAGATAAGGAGCGAATTTTCGGGAATCACGTGTGTAAGTCGATTCTTTAATGAAGCTTCTCGAAAGCGAAGCCGAGAAGGGAGTCGAAGTAAGCAACATCGAACGGGAACGTTCGAAATTCCTCGTTTCTTAGTAGGTCGACAAATAAGAGACCCCCTTCTTCTTCCCTCTCGCGAGACGCCAGATAACTTGCTTGATATCTTTCAAAACCCGCTCGTACACAGGGAACGACGCGGGCAAACAGTTTTCGCGTATTTTAATCGAAAATGTAATCCCGAGAGCAATTAGAAATCCCGTGATGCTTGTTTCAACTACGTTATCGAGCATTGCCGGCGATTGCGCGGTGACAATCGTTGCAAAATCGGGGCCTGCGTACGCTCGGGGCTTGGTTCCACCTGTCACCCGGCGAGACGAGTTAACTCGTCGATGTATCCTAAGATCACGTTCTATCAGCTTCTATTCAAATATTGCCATACGTTAATCAAATACACCGAGGAAGGGAGATAAAGAAACATAAGGAAGTATCCATTGAAAGGGCAAAAAGAACGACACGAGTAAAGTACCCGAGTAAAGAGTGGCATTGCGCAAAGACACATCTGAATAGAAGGAAACGGTTATTCGGTTAACAAGCACAGGTTATTTAAATAAAGAAAAAGACATTTCATCGCAGATAAGATGTTCATGGAAAAGTATCCGAGTGAAAAGGAAGGGTTACACGAATAAAGTAGAACAAGCTAACTATCCCACAGTCTCATCCCCAACAATCACCTCACCGTTACCCTAGAAAACCTTCTAACAGTATCCTCGAAAACCGAACAAGATCGGTCGCCAATCTAATCGAAAAAGGAAGCCTCGCAGCTGTGGAAGTCCCCGAGGGATCTGATTTAGCAAGTTACAAGGTAGACTAGAGGCAGGTAGTCACCGCGAGAGGAAGAAGAAGAAGGGGGTTATATCTTATCTAGCTGTTAACAAGCAGCTACTGAAAAACTGTAGATACGTTAAGGCATGATCAATTTTTGGTCAGTTGCACGCTCGCCGTCGATCGTTGCCGGATCGTTCGGAAAGAGGGATCAGTCGATCTTGCCGATCTTGCGGAGAATCTTGCGGAGGATCTTGCGGAGGATTCAGCTGGCCCTAGGAGAAACGAGGTGACATCTCGTCCCGCAGAAAAGAAAGAAGAAGCCATCGGGGAAGAGGAAGAGGCTGCTTCAGCCGAAGGAGTAGAGAGGGAAAGGAAAAGAGAGAGAGACAAGAGAGGGAGGGATTCTAGGTGGTAATAATCGTCGAATTCGCTCGGGCGATAAAGACGGCGATCAAACACCACCGCGTGTTCACCAATGAGCGTAGCGTGCAGTGGTTGCAAACAAGGAGAAAACCGTGGAACGCGCACGAGGAACAGACAGTGCAGCGCTTCGGCGACCGGGGTCCTCCAGATACCCGGCTCACCATCGACATCACCTGACCCGAGCGTCACTGCCATACAGACAGACGATCCGCGCAACGTAACCGCCAACCACCATGGGTGAGTTAGCCGGAACAATCCACGATCGATCTCGATCCTTTAAACCTACGGAGTTTAACCCCCCTTGCCTTACGATTCATTTCTCAACTATGATCGATACAATTACTTTGTAATGAATAATTTAAGGACAGATTTAAAGGTAGATTCCATATGAATCTTTGCTTGAAAATATAGTAATCGATAATGGAAGAATAATATTCAATTTGAACTCCAAGAGATCGAGTAATGTTCATGCTTGTTCGATTCTGTTTAAAATCTACGCTACGTGTCTGACACGTTATTGTAAGGCAAGGGGTTAAGGATGGAGCTTCTCGGAGTTGTATTAACTATTGAGGTTTGCTAATTAATTCATATAGAGAACTAGCGATTTTCGTTGAACTTATAGAAATTACGAGGGTATATTTATTGAGATTTTCATTGAAATATCGTTTCGTTCTTGTATAATGTATCGTTGATAATCTCGTTCGGAATATTCGAGAATAATTTGTATCGTTGAGAATGATTTTCTGCTTTTCTACTGTCTGCTCGATCGGTGGACGAAAACAAGGAGAAACTCGGCAAATATTGGTGCGGATGATTCAATCGACCCCCCAATGAAGAGTTAATCCTCCGCGCTGATAGCGAAACACTGGAAAAATCACTTAAAAAAAGCGAACGGTTTACGTCGCGCATTATATAACAGATGGCAAACAAATTTGTCAACCGAGTGGTCCGGCGATTAAAGTATTAACCGAGAAAGATTGTGTTGTACGCGGGATTGCATAAACTTTCCGCAATGATGTTTTGCACAAAAATTTACTTGCAAATCATTTATTTACCTAGACGCTTCATTGTCCTTCGGCTATTTCGAGCACCGCGAGTAATCCGATAGCACACTCTGTTTTTATTGATATACCAGAACGGAAGTCAATGATAAAATCGATAAGGTTAATATTTTTAATAGCCATAGACTCGATCGGTGCATAACGACCTCCCGCAGGATCTCGAACGAAAGACGACAAAAGAGAAATGAGACGATGAAATCGCGAGACTAATGAAATAATTACGTTCCCCGACAGGTCTCGACTTCTTGGCAGACGGAGGTGCCGATTTCGAGCATGCAATCACCGTAACAGGTGAGTCACGAGAACAAATTCATATTAATTGCGCATTAACGAAACTCGAGATATCCCGGTAAGTTTGCCGTGTTATCGAAAGCCTGACGAGAGCTGTTGAAAGCTTAATCTGAAGCAATCGTATCGAATCTGAGAAAAATGAACGAAAATCTCCACCCGGCAATTACCCATTTCCCGCCACTCGAGAAATAATCGCTAATTATCTGTGCGCTATTCATTAAAGTGCTCGATTGCCGAGCAACTTATCGGTCAAATCGTACAATTCAACGATTTCACAATTGCACATGAAACCTCGGTTGATCGAGGAAAAGGAGCTTGAACTTTTTTTAATTCAGTTTCAATTCTGCTCGAAGAATTTCGAGGTTCCACGGTGTTCTGGAAGAATCTCCAGGTTCCTCCAATTATGCTATTCCTTCGATAAAACGAGATAACGCGCACCGGAGCACGTTGAGCGACTCGGGATAACAAACTGGTAGCAAGTTCAAGAGCACCGAGCTTGATTTACGGAGTCTCGCGGAATCAGCTTGTTATCGCGAGCGTATTCAAACTGGCACGTCTCGATACGCGTTCCCCGTGATGCCGAAACGTTACCGTTATCGATTTCAATTATCCCGATCAAATAATACACTGGAAAATATTCAAACCGACGGAACTGCCTAAGATCTCTATCGTAATCGATCACTGCGAATTTCAATTAGGCTTCGGGAAGTTCCATTATATGCTGCTGGCGGTATGCGGACTGATTTACATGGACACCGCGATCGGGGTTACGATACTCTCGTTCGTGCTACCTGCGGCGCAATGCGACTTGGAAATGGACTCTACGTCCAAAGGGTGGCTGACTGCGTCCCCTATGTTAGGTAAGCGATGAAAATCGAATAATTCTATCAATTACTATATTTTCGAAAACTGGGCTTCCAAAAATTCCAAGTTTAATCTAAGTTGAATCCGTGATCGCTTGATCAATGCAGCTTCTTTCCACTGGAATATCTATTCAGATCTACACAAATATTTGCGAGAATTCTATGATTGCGAAGTAACTTATCAACTCCCGTGAACCTTACAAGGTTCCTGATAAAACTATACAAGCGTCTGACCAATACCATACGTTTCCACTAGAAATGAAGATTACTCTTATTCCCTGTTCTATATATATTCTACACGTATTAACCCTTTAAATTTTCAATTCAATATTAAACCTTGTGTAATGTATCAACACATAAAACATCGAAGTAAAATAGTTCTGTCTCTTAATTTATAGAAGATAATCAATTGTGTTGGTTGCGAGAAATATCGTTAATATTTAGTCAGAAAGTAATGAATATTTTTCATGAAAAATATTGTCGAGTGCAAAGGGTTAAATCGCAACAGCGTGAAACTCAGTTTTCCAAAAATTTGTCACAGGAATGGTGATTGGGTCCTACATATGGGGATGCCTGGCTGACACGAAGGGTCGCAAAGTCGTGTTAATCATCACATTGTTAATGGACGGTATCGTGGGCATCATTTCCTCGTTCGTCCAGTACTTCTGGGTATTCCTGGCCTTCCGTTTCTTCAACGGGTTCGCGTAAGTGTCACCGACAACCGCCGTTCCACATTTCTCTTTTCTTTTTTCTTTTTTCTTTTACCGCTACTTCTATTTTTTATTTTACACACGCAGCGTTACGGGAGCTATGGGAATTTGTTTTCCGTATTTAGGGGAGTTCCAGCCGACAAAGTATCGCGAAAGATGTCTTTGTTGGATGGAAATGTTCTGGACCGTCGGAGTTATAGTATTGCCACGTGAGTATTGCGTTCAAATCACGATAATACCGACGCGACGCTCTATCCAAGCATTGAAATCACCGACACTCGGTGTAACACCGCGTTACACGAGGTGTCCGAAAATTCTAGTAAACAGTTCGACAAACTTACTCTCGTTGAGAATTCTCTTCGTAATTGTAACAGGACGTCGAAGATTAATTTCACTTTGTTTCTCGATCGATCTAGTGATCGCATGGCTGATCATACCAATGGACTTCATGTACGTCTCAGACGCGTTCTACTTTAAGTCGTGGAATCTCTTCGTAGCGCTGTGCGCGCTACCCTCGCTGATGCTGGGCCTCTGGCTGTTCGCGTTCCCAGAGAGCCCGAAGTTTCTTCTCGAGTGCGGCGAGACGGAAGCCGCCCTCGAGGTCTTTAAATGGATCTACTCGCAGAATACCGGGAAGAGTGCCGATAGTTACCCGGTAATTATTCTCGATTAAGTAACACTTTGGCTGCCATGTCACACGAATTCGGGTGACACCATGATTCTCATAAAGTTAAACATTACTTTTCTCGATGATGAAACGAACAAACTGAATTCTGTTAGATGTGAGATACTATAAAGATAGTAGAGCAATCGTTATGAAGAATATTGACTTCTTAGTTTCAGCGTTGTTAAGAAAATTGCTTTGATTGCGTTAGGAGTTTCGATGAGTGTATACTTGGCAGTCAAAGTGTTAAAGCAGCTCGGATATAGAAAAATATATAAAGTCAGTCAATCGGAATATTTCTCTTGATCTATATACATAATTCGAAGATGGCGATCTTTAATAGTAATAGAATGATCTACCAGTAATATCCGAAATTTCTAAAGTCGTAATAACGTGATAATCGAATTTCTTATCGCACAGGTGAAATGCTTGCAAGAGAAGACCAAAGATAAGAGTACAAGGTCGCTGAAGCTACACAAGAGGAAGGATCTAAAGGTCCTGTTGAAGGAAGTGCGAGACCTCACGGCTGCTCTGTGCAAATCGCCGTATCTTCGCAACACACTGCTGGCCTGCGGTATCCAATTTGGACTAACCAGCAGCTACTACACCCTCATGGTTTGGTTCCCGGAATTGTTCACCAGGTAATTATCATTCTATTCGAAAGAGCCCTCAACGAAGTTGTTCACATTTCAACTTCTACATTTGAGAGAACTTCCGTTATTCGATGATCACAGATTCGAGCATTTCGAGCACCTTAATCCCGATCAGAGCACGTCGGTGTGCATAGTATCGCAGCAGTCGGACAACACGACGATCACCGACCCTTTCGGATGCAACACGGACATCACGCCCTCCGTTTACTTGCACACCGTGTACATAGGACTCGCTTGCATTCCTGGATCCATCATTCTACCGCTGTTCGTGCACAAATTGGGCGCGAAGTTCTTCCTAAGTACGTATGAATTACTCGATCGTCAATACCTTTCCCACGATTTCTGCCTTTATCATTACTGAAAAGATACTGAACGCTTTTTCAAAATTAGAGTACAAGTGAACCGAAAGAAATGCAATCTTGCAATCTTCTTTTAGAAAATACGAGTCAATTTGACTACCATAGATGCAATATTGATTTAATATTACTCTTTAATTAGCATACTGATAATTGCTACGATAATCACGCATCGACTCCAAAATGTCGTTCAATCCTTTCAAGTCGAACGCAACATTTCAGTTCCTATCCGTCCAAGAAACTGTTTAATCATTCTTCGAAGACCGTGATTGCTAAAACTGACTGTAAATTTGTTCTCCTTTCAGTCGTGTCTCTGTTAGTATCGGGCGCAGTGACAGTCGCCTTTTATTATGTCGTGAACGCGACGCAGAATCTGATATTGTCCTGCGTGTTCGAGGCACTGACGTCTCTCGGTATCTCGTTAGTGTATTGCGTAATCGTCGACATGTTCCCGACGAATCTCAGGTGAGCCGACATTATTTTACTGCCTTCTGAATTATTTATTGGCCGGGGTACCGAACAAACAGACCCGGCCGAGATTTATGCCCGTCCAACGTTTTGCAGTTGTTTATCTACGACTGTACGAGGACGGGACAGCGATAACGGTGATCGCGCGATTCGTGTAATTAGGTTGTTACACGGATCGACTCGTTCGCAATTACCACACGCGATAACCAATCGTTTATCGAACTCTCAGCCCGAGCTGTTGGACGCTTAACGGGATTATGATCGTCCGAACGATTGAATTTTCAGAGTAATGGCCGCTGCGTTGTCCCTAACAATGGGTCGACTGGGTGCTCTCGTGGGTAATTTGGTGTTCGGATACCTGATCGACTTGGCCTGCGTGGTTCCTATAGTTTTATTCGCGGCATTTTTATTCAGTAAGTATTCTCTTACTTAACATTTTCTAACTAGACAAAGACGATGGTTTTTTTTAACGAATTCAAAGAGAAATCACAGGTAAATTGAGAAACAAAGCTTTCTTATCCCAATGTTTCGCGCACCGATGCATTATACATAGTTCAGTATTAAATATTAAATTTTCTAATTTCACTGCGTCAAATCAAATGGCGACTGAGTGTCACCTCTCGAGTGCAAACGGTTAATTCTCTATACTGTTGCTACAGAATTATATATCGTTTCTTGCTATTACCGTTCTATCGTAGAATTATGCATCATAGCTGTAGAAATAATTGAGTAAATCAATTGGGAAACTCAAGGAAGTGTTGAAGAAACAAGGCAGCAATAGTTTACTGATCGATACTCTGCTTTGTTTCAGTATGCGGGTTCATGTCGTTCCTGTTGCCGAAGACAGGAAAAGAGACACTCGAATAACGGGAAGACGGAGTCGCCTTCCGGCGAGAAACGACCAAAGAGACTATTCAACCAAAGTAGAACGAGGAACAGAAAATAATTCGCGTCGAAAACAATTGTTCGAACTTCGAACGGAGTCGCAAATGTTTTCCGTTTTCACGGTTATCATAAGGTAGACCGTGTGACCCGTTAACCGAGTGATTTTTCATCGCGAAAACTCGCGCAATCGAGTACGGAGATGAGAGACAATGCAATCGACGCTACACTAAATAGGAAAACGAAAACTGTTTCGGAAATGATCGACCAGTTGACTCATCTTCCTCGGTTAACGATCTTAACGAAAGCGTAGGGAGACTTTCTACGGGAGTCCGCTTACCATTTCCGGTTGCTTCTGTAAATTTCGTGTAGATACATAATATTTATTCGCGCATGCGACTACCTCGCGTCTTTTTTCGTTCTCATTTCCCGTTTCGTTTCGTCGCGAGTAACTTCCGCCGTGGTAGAGAAAATTCATTAGGAAATAATAACCGGAGGTAATTAGACTGCGAACGTTCGCGAAGCGTTCCCGGACCGTGAGTCTTGTGCATTTACAGCATACCTCGAGAGAAATATTGCGCTAGGATTTCGTACGGTTATTGAACTAGTTCGGGAGTCGATAGAAATGCTTGAGAACAAGCTTTAAACTTTGAACTCTTTTATATTTGTCTTAGGACGAAATTAATTGGGGGGGCGGAAGTTATTTGCGACTGCGATCAGTGTAATGTATATTTAAGGAAACTGTATATCTATGCGCGAAATGGACGCCACGCGACGTTAGGGAGTCCTGTTTTATTCGTTTGTAAAAGCCTGTATTCCTGGATGAATTCGAATAAACATAATTTACCATAATGTAATAAACACTGAGTTTATTGGTTGTATTCGACCTTTGAAATATTGTGAAAAATATACAGTCCTTTCCCATCAGCTTGTTTGTCTCTGAAATCAAGTCAATGTTACAGCAATGAAACAATAATTAATGTTTAATTTAGAAATATTATGCATTAAAGGACTCTCCTCGAAAGGACTGCTCAATAGAATGGACATAATCTTGTTATGATTAAATAACAACTGAACTAACTGATATATAACTGTATTAACAAATCATAATCTAATCTGAAATTAAGTACAAGTGGATATGTGTGGCGACCACACATGTTCCTGTGAAGAACAAGTTGACAATCCACAAATCAAATCATCTCCTAACACTTTTATACATTCAACCTGAACTCCAAGCTTGTAGAACGCATAAGGATAGAATTCACAATGCTTTCAACAAGATAGGTAAAATAGCTGCCACTACACCATTGACAATTACAAAGCCAAATTGGAGTGTTAACAAAGTAGACAACTATTGACTACCACCATGTTGATGTACCGTGTTCACGATAATGTGCCAAATCGATGTCCAAAAAGAGGATGTCGAACATAATGCAGATTAAATACTCGGGGACTTCGTATAGTCCATTAATTGGGAGCATCCTATATTACCAGTATCAAACCTATGTGCAATGGGATGCGTTCCTTTCATATACTCCTGAATAAGAGACTAGATGGTGTAAACTGCTACCCAAAACCTTTTAGTTTACCTTTATACATAGTTTTATCTTTTGCATCTTACTCAAGCCACAAAATAAGCTGAAAACTATTGATGATCTTTTACTCAGGGAAATGGTTCTTAAAGTTTAGAAGATTAAAAAGAAAATAAACACCATTTAACACTATCTATTGTACATCATTGTCACCAGACGTTCAAGACTGATTAAAGGTAAAAAGAGAATTTCTAATAAAGTAATATAGATCGTACAATGAAGTAATACGTTACTTAACATAAGTTCATCAATTTTTTAAGTTAAACGATCGTATTACTTACGAAATTAGGCTTGTATACCGGCGTTGGTTTTCAGCGACATTTGAATCGTTGATCACATTACTGAAATAAAGTAATGACAACATAGAAACACGAATATAACTAGAACGTCGATTCTAACCCCAACAAAGTTCGTCGATAGCATAGATGGCTGTATTCAGTTACGTATTAAGTACCATGATGAATTGGGAAAGATAGTTAGTATCAACAGTATCTGAAGAAGCGATTACGTGATGAATTGTGTGTGATCGTAGTTGCGTTTTGCTCGTGCTATGATAATCGTCTTAAAGGCAGGGAAAATTCACTCGTGGTGCTGTTTCAACAGCTGATCAAAGGAGAGATAGAATCGAGGGCAAAATTTTCATTCTAGTCGATTCGGTGTTCGCGGAGGAACGATGGCTGGATTCGTGTTGAGGGTCAAAACAAAATCAGGTCAGAAGGTTGTGAATGGATTAATCCCACAGGATAAGGTGTCCGAATTGAAATCGAAACTCGCCGAGATTACGGGTATACCAGTTAAGGCACTCCACGTTCTCGGCGGGTTTCCACCGAAGGCGATTAATCTAAACGATGAGACGGCAACGATCGAGAAAAGCGGCATCGTTTCTGGGGATACGTTAATTGTAGAAGAAAAACCGCCTCAATATAATGGGGAACGAAATCCCGATGAAATCGGTCGATCTCACATCGTAAACAGTGAAAAGTTTGTCGATACCCCTGGTGTATTAATGAAGAAAGTTGTACCTGCCGATAACTCCTGCTTGTTTACCAGTGTTGGCTATGTTCTTAATGGTACATATCATTGCACTAACCGTATTATTTATAGGTGGTGTAATAATATATTTTCCACCCATTGTATTTTTAAATAAGCATTTTATACACCTTTTAATCTTGTAGTATAATTCCAGGTAAGGTTGACCCCAGTTGTGCTAGTTTTATGAGGGAAATCATAGCGAACGCTGTAGCAGCGGACCCAGAAGAATATTCTGAAGCCTTCCTTGGCAGACCAAACCATGAATATTGTGAATGGATTTTGAAACCTACCTCTTGGGGAGGAGCCATAGAATTGTCAATATTGTCACACTTCTATGGACTAGAGATAGCAGTAATTGATAGTATTAATGCGATTATTAATCGTTTCGGGGAAGATCAACATCATGCTCAAAGAGTGTTTTTAATATTTGATGGGATCCATTATGATCCTTTGTATTTAGAACCACTTGATGTAGGTATAATTTTTCATAGGTAATAGATAATTTGTTCATTTGGTTTTTTGATCATTCGTTATATTTTATTACAGGGTGGTAGCATACAGACAGTCTTTCCCGTGGAAGATGAAAACATGTTATTGGAGGCTGCAGAGTTAGCAAGAGAAGCAAAGTCTAGTCGTCAATTCATTGATGTTGAAAAATTTACCCTAATGTGCATTGATTGCAAAACTAAATTGAGTGGACAAACAGCTGCTCAGCAACATGCAAAAGAAACTGGTCATATGAATTTTAGAGAAGTAGTGGTGTAGCAAAATAAATCTGTCCTTTGCCAATTATCAATTACTTTTGATCAGAGTACTGTTTGAGAATCCTATTAAATTCAAGTCTCAAGCAGAATTTTCTACTTAAGTGAGGCTTGCAAGAAAACTAGCTATTTGATATGGATAATTTTATTGTTGACAGAAAATATGCAGTGCACTATGAGGATTGTTTAGACAATTAATATACACAGGTTTTTAATTTTGACTAAAGATTTAGAATTATTTAATAAAAGTTTCTCAGGAAATCATGGATTTATCATTATACATATACGTTTGAGCCCCAAAATACATAAAATTATCTGTATATTACATATTAGGGATTTTGCTGAACCCCAACCTTTTTGTTAATTCAAGATTTATAATCAACTTGTAACTTTGGCAAGATTAAGAATCTGTGATATTTGATTAAATTCGCCTAAACGGAATTCATAGCCATTACTGGCAGAGAATGTATTTCATGCCATATATAAGTAAATCTTAAGAACAAGCGTATTGCAAAGCGAAATCAAATTTAGTTAATTTCGCTTTCGAGAAGCAAATCGATTTAGTACTGTTAATAGCAAATTTTATATCGATAAACTACTGTTCAGAAAGGAAAAGGTAGGAAAAACAAATTACTGATAATACAAGTAACATCATACTTCTATCAATAAAGCATGTTACTCATTGAATATTGCAGAGTGTTGTCTTAAAGGTTTGATCTCTATACTCTATGATAGTTTAATTTATGGTCCAAATATGTATATGATAGAAATTAAAACGTAAAAGTGCATAATTAAATAAAAATTATCTACTAAACCTTTATTATATACTAGTGTGTAATGTTAGGATATTGTAATTATTTTGTTATTGAGATTTTTACTTGATTCAACAAGCACTAGAGAAATTTAAGCGTTCCAAATAAAGGAACATAACTAGATTTTTGTAATGGAGTATAATATTTATTAGAAATATGTCAATCTAACACACAAGTCTTTTTTATGTGCAAGGATATAGCGAATAGTATTGCCGTACTATAACACAGAGTATAAAACAGTGCAATTGCCTATAAATAAATCAATGCGAATTTATTAGATCTGAGTAAAAGGATTTGCAATTCTACATTACTCAGGAACTATTAATAATAAAAATACACATACTTATATTTATATGGCAGTACAGTGCATTTTGTAAGCTCCATCCTTCCGATAAAGTGAAATAAACAAGCTATTTACATTACTTTCTGTTCTCATCATTTACATGTAATACGAAACTTGGGAGACTTTTTACTTGTTTGAATTTTAAAGGACCCAATATCTTAAATAACCAATAAATTGTTCTTACCGTCGTTTAGAATGTAGAAACAATATCTTCGGGTAGAAACAAATATTTATGACGACCCAACACGTAATTTCTTAAAGAAACACTGAGAAAAATTGCTCCTGTTCAACCATCAAAAGTAACAGAAAAGCTTGACTATCGTCGACGCGCGAAATTTAAATGCAAACCGTCTGAATTTGTCGGTGGCACAGATGGCGTAGCATCACTAAAGCAGAAAACGGCGCACCGTTTTTAGTAGCATGGATTACTTAGTACCTAACATTGGTTTAGTAGTCTGCCAACCGTAAAGGGGGGTTAGTGTTCGCCTGGTTTGGTACGTGAACAATACGAGAATAAAGAAAATCGGGAATGTGAATTTTGTTTCACAGACAAATAAAAGGTGTAGTTCCCTGCGATCAATTGTAGAAAGCAGAAGCTCGCCTAATGAAGTGAATGCGAGTGTCATTCACGAAGATCTGGGCATGGTGTGTCTCGCAGGAAGATTATTCCCATAAGATGTCGCCAACATCGATACATTTAGCCGAAAAAAATTTACTCACGAATAGGTGAAAATGGAAGATGAAGCGGACCTGAGGGAACAACTATTTCATAACACCGTGCGAGAAAACATTGTGAGTACGATTTCGCTTATGATCACTCTATTGTTTATTGACCACCGACTGATAGCAAGGGTTCTTCGAACACCTTGCGACGTTCCTGCAATCGCCACGTTCCCCCGTGATTAACTGTAGCGTTTCTTGTTTAAGTATTTAATTTTTCACCGAGCGAATTCTCCTTTAATTATAATAAAAAAATGCCAACAGAAATTCATTCGGCATCTCTAACCTTTAAAGCATCGAGGTAACATCCTTTCTGTAATTAGAAATTACCTCGAATCATTGCTCTTTCCTTAATTACAAATATACGCTTTAGCAATCACAGACAACAATAAACTTATCGAACCACATAAGATATAACATTATTTTTGGTTCTTCGCGTACTGGATCACTGACGAGCGTCATTGTTAAGGGTAGAAATTCTACATGCATTATCATTGTCATTCCCTTATAGATTGACTCATAACGAAAATAAGTTCTCGAAAACAATAGGATAGTCGCATTACGATATGTAACACGAGACGATAAAGAAATACCTATTTCCTTTTGTGTCAGCACAAGAATAAATCTGCGTAGATACGTGGATGTAGAAATACAATGAAATGTGGGTTTAAAACCTGCGGATCGACTTCCGTTAATATCGCAGATTTTCTTTCGCAAGAAACGAAGGAACAAGATAAGTAACGGTACAATTTACTGAAATAAATTTTTATTCTTATTCTCGCGATACAAATGAAGTTGAAATTTTTCTCTGCCGATAGTGCCATTTAAACGGAATTTCCCAAATTTACATAACCGACAGTAATATTATTCAATTACGACGAGTGGACGATATCTCGTTCGGAATATTTCTGCTGGGTGCAATAATAGAATGCAAATGTTTTTATCTGATGTTCACACAGTGATTTTTACGCAAAAGAGATTTAAGCTGCAATGCTGCCAGACGAAAAACGTCACGGTAATACGGTTTCACGAGCGTGGGCTGGCCGGGAAGCACCGCCGCGTAGTTTACCATTTACCTGTTGGTAATACGGAAACGCGAATCTGTTTAACCGATTGACTGAAATCCTTAATAATATTATATTACGCGCGTTGTCCTCGCGTGACGTAATTGTAAATATACACGATCGTAGGGTACAAGTTTCGTTCAGCTATAGATACCGCTTCCATGCGCGTTCTTTAGCCTTGACTTAGACACGTTTTTATTCAATCGATTTAATCGCATAATCGTTGACATTTGATGGCACAGCAGAATTCCGAACAGAAGTCGGTCTTCGCGGACATGCTTTCCCAATACTTTCACGCGAAGAGTCGTTGACCACGCATTATTTCTGATCCTCGACCGGTTTTTCCTTCCACCGTCGTCCTTCTGTAAAAAGTCGTTTCCAACGCGGCGTGCCATTGCATCTCCGCTCGCCCCGCGAGAACTTCATGCCGGATTAATCTGCGCCGCTTCATCCCTCCAAAACAATTTCACGGTTCGTGTTTATCCGCTGCACGAGGAAACGATAATAATTCCGTGCTATGCATCGTGCACTCGCGCGTGTTACGTTTAGTAAACAGGCCGCGATAAGAACACGCCTTAAACGTTCGTTGCTTCACCGTCACCAAGGAATGCCATTTAGGCCTGACAACTTAGCTGCGATGCTCTTGATCTAGAAATGCTAAAAATACAGTTGCTCGGTCAAAGACACGTGCGTTCCGTTGTGAAACGTGGCGGTAATCTTCTTTTCTTCCTTCGACATTTAAACCGCACGTTCGGACGCCTCTTGCCGAGGCACGTTCCGTTGCTGCATACCTCCGCCGATTTTTGCCGGCGTGCAGCACGCGCGGCCAGTGAGATTTTCACGTCACCGTGTATACCCGTGCTCGCTATAAATCGAACTAAATTTAATAACGTGATCAAAACATCGGATATAGCCTAGGGGAATTACATTGCCAGATTTTATTCGATCCATATCGTCGTTGTCCCATTCGTTAACGTCAATTCTCGTTTCCGCAATATTCGCCAATTATATTCATTCAGTTCCTCCATCGCCAAATCCGATCGGTCGTTTCGAAAACCGTTCGCGCGTCCCATCATCATCGCAAATTTTCCATTTCACGTCTCGTCCCCTTGTCCGCGCCTTATCTGTACACGAACGTGAATGCAGTGGACGTAACCTACACCGGTCAAATGATTCTTGCCGCCCGAACCCCAAGTTGGTCAATTAAGAACGGCAAGAATTCCCGTGTACAGCGGCCGTCGTGTATCCCTCGAGGATATCATAGTGCGATGAGACTAACGGTAATTCCGCCGATCAGTTTTTCAAGCTGCTACCAACCGATCGACCGAATGCAATCGAGAGTTTCGGGGCGCCTAGCATGTCCGGCTGCTCCCGAAACACCTCCGGACTAATCTCGTTCTCAGCTGTTGAATAATCCCTGCCAACCGGGCGGCGCTAGCGCATAACAAAAGCCTGTTCAACGGCCAAATATCAAACGACTGTTCGAATTATTTCAGTGTATTCTATTGTACACTCGTGCTGCTCGTTTGAAGCCGATCGTTGAAATTGATACACGTACAGGTCAAAGATAACAGATAAATATAGCGAGGGATTAATATACATGTGCCAGTATCCTTTGTGTGCCAGGCTATCTTTTCTCGTTCTACGATGAGGACAACGCACTTTGACGTTAGCGGTTCTCCACGTGACGTTGCTTTTCAGTCGCGTAACAATGGTAATCTCTTGAAAAATTTTCACGAGTTATCGCTGCAACGATAAGGAATTTACCGATCTTTTCGGAATCCGCGATGCATTTGTGAATAGTATAATACGGGTTCGGCATATTATAGCCTCTTCGCTGGAGGTGATCGATAAGTTATCCATATCCAATTGATAATCGTCGATAGTTGTCCCATGTAGGACACTGGTCGATGTACGGCGTTTATCGATCGAAAAAGAACACGTAGCCGAACAACGTCCTAACAGGTAGTTCTCCATCGATCGTGGAGTTTTGTCGAACCAAGGTCAAGCGTGACACGTTTACGATCTATCGTGTCTTTTCCGCTGTTCTTGCCCATATAACTTCATTATTGTTTTTGTCGTGATTCAATTTACTAATTTACCATCCGGTACGAACACCTACCGTTTCTTTTCGAATTCAAGCTACCTCTTTATAGACTATATGTATCTGTTATATACATTGAATAAATAAACATTTATTATTTTATGAAAAGCTTCGTGTATATTTTATTTACGAAATTGTGCAACTCGCTGGAATGTTTTTTCCGTGCCCGAGGACGAAATGAATGAATGTGTTGAGCAGCGTCGTTACGCCACGCATACGAATATTTTTCATTTAAAGCCTGCCGCGCGCGGCGAATCGTTTAAGTCCGCCTTTACTTGAGCGCGATACGACGCAAATCAACGCAAATTGCACGCTCGACGAATGCACCGAAAGATTACATACATGCATATATACACACACACACACACACACACACACGCACACACATGCGCGTACACATAGAGACGTCACGTAAGATTATTAAAACAGTCGTGTGGTTTCCAAAGGTATCTGACATTTCGTGGAGCTGAAAAACACATGTTATTTACGACTCTGCCTGTACACGTTCGGCAAAATCATCCGATTTGTACTTGAACAGCGGCGTGGACGAAATGTTATTGGATCATTTCAGATATTCCTGCTTTTGTTCCTGGTCCTCTACGTCTCCAGTTACGCCTTGATCGCGAGATTTCGCCGCAGAGATCGCGAGGACTACTTTTCCGTAGACGAGGATGAGGCGACCGTTTACAGAATCAGCCTGTGGCTGTGCACCGTCGCTCTGGCGGTTTCCGTTGGGGCAACCTTACTACTTCCGGTCTCCATCGCCAGCAACGAAGTTCTCATTTTGTACCCGAACAGCTATTATGTCAAGTGGCTTAATAGCTCGCTCATCCAAGGTACAATGATGCTTCTTCATTTCCAGAGAAATCTTTTCTTCCCTTTTATTTCAAGGCCGTCGACATGAGATTAACCGAGAGATTCGATAACTAATCCTTTTGAATTTTCGTTAATGACCAGGTCTATGGAATCACGTGTTCCTCTTCTCGAATTTATCTCTGTTCGTGTTTCTACCATTTGCCTACTTGTTTACAGAGTCTGAAGGATTTGTGGGGTATAGGAAGGTAGGAGTTTTTTTTTTAGATATTTCA